GTGAAATATTCCAAGTAGAAAAGAGTGGCCGATCTCTTTAACATGTGCGGAGTTGCGGAGTTGCGGCGCGGAGCTCCCGAACAAAATTTCTCAACTTTGGAATCAACAACTCCCGTCCTCACTTCTCATTCACCAACGTTTATTTTTTGCTATTGGGCTTAAGTTAACAGCCTCTTTACATTGAAGAAAAGTCCGATCGTATTTTCCACGGATAATCACAGATAAGTACGTCGCAAAGTCGTGTTACTTTTTGGCTCTACTAACAATGTTCTCAGTGGCTCCGGCTGGAGTTGACCTCTATGGTATGTGCTTGTTTGCGCCGATCAACTATAGAGAAATGCCATATTGATCAGTTACTAATTTATATAGAGGTCCTCGAGATCCATCAGAGCTCGACTAAAGATGACATCCGCAAGGCATACCGCAAGGTAAGACGAATCCCGTCCATCTCCGTATTCCGGCGATACTGATAGTCGGCTTTCTAATAGGCGGCCTTGACCAACCACCCCGACAAAGTCCCCGAATCCGAGCGCGAGGAAGCCTCAATCAGGTTCAAGGCGGTGCAGGAGGCCTACGATATTCTCTACGATGATGACAAGCGACACCTCTACGACACACACGGCATGTCTGCCTTTAACGGCTCGGGTGAGCCGGGCATGGCAGGACAACCTGATCTGGATGACTTGCTGGCACAGATGTTCGGTGGTGGCATGGGCGGCATGGGCGGCATGCCTGGTATGGGAGGTATGGGAGGAATGCCCGGAGGTGGTCGCCCCAACAAACCGCGCAAGAGCCCCAGCGAAGAGCAAGATTACGAAGTCAGCCTGGAGGATTTGTACAAGGGCAAGACCGTGAGGTTTTCCAGCGTCAAGAACATCATTTGCGGACATTGCAAGGGCAAGGGTGGCAAGGAAAAGGCCACTGCCAAAAAGTGCTCGACTTGCGGTGGCCATGGCCACAAGGAGGTCTTGCAGCGCATGGGCCAGTTTGTGACCCAGCAGACGGTTGTTTGCACCACATGTAACGGAGAAGGCTCATACTACGCTCCGAAGGATAAGTGCAAGAAGTGCAAGGGCACGAGAACGACCGAGGCGAAGAAGATCCTGGAGATTTACATCCCCCGAGGCGCGAGGTAAGCCTGCCTTTTTTTTATATTTTCTAACGGGATCATATACTCACTGTACTCTAGGGAAGGAGACAGAATTGTGTTGGAAGGCGAGGCCGATCAGGTGCCCGATCAAGAGCCCGGCGACATTATTTTCAAAATCATCGAGGAAGAGCACCCCGTGTTCACACGTGCCGGCTCGGATCTCCGCGCAACTATTGATATCACTCTTGCTGAATCCTTGACCGGGTTCTCCCGCGTTGTGATCAAGCACCTCGATGGCCGTGGTATTGAGCTTAACCACCCCCTCACCGCCGGCGATGTCCTCTCTCCCCGGACAGGTCCTCAAAGTTCCCGGAGAGGGAATGCCAATGAAGCGTACCGATGCCCGTGGCGACCTGTACTTGGTTGTCGACGTCAAGTTCCCCGATAACAAGTGGAAGCCCACCCCAGAGATGATGGAGAAGCTCAAGGAAATCCTCCCCAAACCCAGCCCCCCTATCAAGGCCGACACCGTGGACGAAGTTGAATACAACCCCAAGGGCCGGATGGAAGAATTCGGTGCGCAGGATGGCCATGACGCATCTGGATGGGAAGACGAGGAAGACGACGAGGAACCAGCACAGTGCGCAGCTCAGTAAAATTCTTCTTGCATAGATGGCGTCTGGGACCTTGTATTAATAGGGGACTTGTGAATAGAACAACCCTCTTGACTTCAAAACACATTATAGACCAATGTATATCGACGTAGGGAATGGGTTCCACTCATCCCGGAGTGGATCAATGTGGATAGCGTGGAGACATTCTATATCGTCTACAAGTATTCATCTGTTTCTTTGTACTATTGTCTATCGGAATACTCCGTAGAGATATTCAATCAGACCAAATCCGGGGCCGGGATGCCGAACTCCGGGGTCGGCCCCGGCACATTTTCGGCTTCGATCTCGGCTTCCCTTTTCTTTTCTTTTACTTGGGTTTTCTTCCTTATACAGACCATCCACTCCATCCCTATCAAGCCCAGTCCCAATAGTATATAGTCCCCCAAAATACAATCCCCGAACAAAACAACCCGATGTCGTGCAACACCAAACCCTCCTGCAAAGGCTGTTCCTGCACCAATAACCCACCCCCAAACATCGAAGATTGCGAAAGTGAGCTCCTCGCCCTCCGCAAGCGAACCCACGATCTAGAACAAACCCTAGCAACCCTCCAAGTCCGCACCACAGCACCACACCGCAAGCTCCGCTCAACACGATGGTTCAACAACGACGAAAATCCAGGCATGACAGCACTATATATCGAGCGGTATCTGAACTACGGACTGACGCGCGAGGAGCTCATGTCCGGGAAGCCGATTATCGGCATTGCGCAGTCGGGCTCGGATCTCGTCCCTTGTAACCGGCACCATCTGGAATTGGCGAAGCGAGTGCGTGAGGGGATTCGCAGTGCTGGTGGGATTGCGTTGGAGTTTCCTACGCATCCGATTCAGGAGAGCTCGCGTAGACCAACGGCGTGTTTGGATCGAAATCTTGCGTATCTTGGTTTGGTGGAGATTTTGTATGCTTATCCGCTGGACGGCGTTGTACTTTTGACGGGTTGTGATAAGACGACGCCTGCTGCGTTGATGGCGGCTGCTACTGTGGTATGTGTGGGCTTTGTTGTGTTTTTCGTTCCCTTGTTGATGGTAAAGCTGACATATCTGCGATTAGAATATACCGGCCATTTGTTTGAATGTTGGTCCGATGCTGAATGGTTATCTGAAGAACGAGCTCGCCGGATCAGGAATGGTAGTCTGGAAGGGACGAGAGATGTATGCTGCCGGCGAGATGAACCGGGAGGAGTTTATGGATTATGTGGCTCGCGGGTATGTTTCTGTCAGGATTGAAGTTAAAAATGGGAATAAGCACATGCTGATCTTATACAGGGCACCGTCTGTCGGCCATTGCAATACTATGGGCACAGCATCAACGATGAACGCGCTAGCAGAAGCACTGGGCATGGCACTCCCAGGCTCGGCAGCAATCCCAGCTCCATACCGGGAGCGTGGCCAATGCGCCTACGAGACTGGCGAGCGCATCGTCGAAATGGTCCACGCAGACCGTAAGCCTAGCGATATCATGACACGGGCAGCATTCGAAAACGTTATAGCCACAAATACTGCCATTGGCGGGAGCACAAATGCTCCTATACATATTAATGCCATGGCCAAACATATCGGCGTCGATCTATCTCTCGACGACTGGGATGAGATCGGGTTCCACATTCCTCTAATACTGAACATGCAGCCCGCCGGCGACTTCTTGGGAGAAGAGTACTTCCGCGCGGGCGGACTCCCTGCTATCATGGCAGAGTTGCTAGACGCCGGGAAACTACGCCCAGATGCATTAACCTGTAATGGAAAGACTGTGGAGCAAAACGTGCGTGGCAAGCATACCTGGAATCGGCAGATAATCCGGGCATATACCGAGCCGATGATGAAGGATGCCGGATTCGTGCATCTGAAAGGCACTCTTTTCCACTCGGCGATTATGAAGACATGCGTGATATCACCGGCCTTCCGGCAAAGATTCCTCGAGAACCCAGATGACCCCAATGCATTCGAGAGTGCCGTTGTGGTCTTCGATGGACCGGAAGATTACCATAGCCGGCTCGACGACCCCGCGACACCAATCGACGAAAGAAGTATCCTAGTTATGCGCGGCGCAGGTCCCATGGGCTACCCGGGCGCCGCCGAAGTGGTCAACATGCATCCTCCAGCACGGTTATTGCGGCAGGGGATTACCTCACTTCCCTGCATCGGCGACGGCCGCCAGTCCGGCACGTCTGGGTCGCCTTCTATTCTGAACGCCAGCCCCGAAGCAGCAGCTGGCGGGAACCTTGCGCTTCTTCGTGACGGGGATCGGTTACGGGTGGATTTGAATAAGCGTCGGGTTGACATTTTGATTGGAGATGAGGAACTCCAGCGTCGTCGTGAGGATCATAAGGTTCGGGGTGGGTTCTCTGTTCCTGAAAGCCAAACGCCGTGGCAAGACATCTTCCGACGCGAGACTGATCAGTTGAATGAGGGTATGGTTTTACGTGATGCCGTTAAGTACCAGCGTGTTGCACAGCGCTCAGAACCTCGGCATAACCATTGATGTTCAGACTGAGTATTTTACTCGGTTGATTCCGGCATTGATATTTACACTATGTGGAGAATAAGCGGCTGTGGGGGAATAGAGTACGGCAAATGCGGAGATAATGAACAAGATAATGCCGGTAATCCGAGCCGTATGAGCCAACCGAATTCAATGATTTGTTCGGATTTAAATGTATACCCGTTGTCGGGTGAGATGGTATCGGCATTTGAACGGCTTCATGGGAAGCCGACCCCGGGAGGCTTGGCGGGTATTGCTAAGAATTTGGTATGACTGTTAAGTCGCAGCCATTACCTAGATAACAAAAAGAAGCATGGAACAATACATTCCTTGCATTGAAGGTGAATTGGAAGAGGAATGGAGAGAATATCAGTCGGGTAAAAGTGTTCGAGTTCGGTTATAGACGGTCTGGGCTTGGGCTCGCCATACTTTCCCCTTTTTCCTGAGAATGTCAAGTTGATTGGTGCATTAATTTCATTTCCTATAATTTTTCCGTGTATATCGAACAGAGACGTCATTTCTCCAGGATATTAAATCCACAATCATCCACTCTCGGCTATTGAAACCCCCATACGAGATAGATCCGGGGTACTCTTTCCCCCAGAATCCAATTTGAAATTATGAAAGATGTCTACCTAGGTATAATTATGTATATGCGGGGACCGCGGGGTGTCTGTGTGCTCTTCTAGGGCTTTATAAGTCTAATCCTTCCGAATTCTTTCTCCCTAACTTCATACTCTGGAAGTCTGGACTTCAAAATGGGCATATTCAAGAATAGTCGTGTGTACGTGCTCGCCACGGTGGCGTATACGGGTTCATTCCTATTCGGTAAGATGAATCTCTCTCGATCAAATACACTATACTAATAACTTTCTCAAAGGATATGACACCGGTGTGATGGGAAGTGTACTGGAACTTCCAAGTTTCAAGGCCGATTTTGGACTTACGGGTGAAAGTTCGGGTTTCTCAGATGCCAAAAAATCCCAAGTCTCATCAAATGTCGTTTCACTTCTCACGGCCGGATGTTTCTTCGGCGCTATTCTTGCCTCCTTCGTTAACGAGAAGTTCGGCCGTCGTTATTCCATCATGGGCTTCCTCATGTTCTTCCTTATCGGCTCTGCCGTTCAAACCGCCGCTCACGGCGCGCTCTCTTATATGTACGGTGGACGAGTGATTGCCGGTTTCGGAGTTGGAGGCATGTCAGCCATCACACCAGTCTTCGTGTCCGAGAACTGCCCACCGGCGATCCGTGGTCGTATCGCTGGTCTCTTCCAGGAGTTCCTCGTCATTGGTGTCACCGTTGCATACTGGCTTTGCTATGGTGTCTCAGAAACCATCGCCCCTACAACCAAACAGTGGCGCATCCCCGTTGGATTCCAGCTTGTGCCGGGTGGTCTGATGATGATAGGCCTGTTCTTTTTGACCGAGTCTCCTCGTTGGTTAGCGAAGGAGAATCGCTTCGAGGAAGCCCTCGAAGCCCTTGCATATATGCGCAACGAGTCAACTACCAGCCCTGCCGTCCAGACTGAGATGGCGGAAATTAAAGCGGCCGTTGAACACGAGGTCGAATCAACTCAGGGTCTTACTTGGCGGGAACCATTCCTACCTGGAAATCGCATCCGCTTCATCAACTGTTTCTTGATTATGTTCTGGCAGCAGTGGACCGGCACCAACAGTATCGGATACTATGCTCCCCAGCTCTTCCAGACCGTTGGAGTGGCCGGAGGCAGCACGAGCTTGTTCACAACGGGCATCTATGGTATCGTCAAGGTAGTTACCACCGGAATCTTCCTCGTGATTGGTATCGACAAAATTGGTCGACGATGGTCTCTTATTGGTGGCGCTCTTTGGATGTGCACGATGATGTTCATCCTGGGTGGTGTTCTGGTGTCCTATCCTCCGGACCCGGATGGTAACAGTGGGATTTCGTCTGCATCCCTCGCTATGATTGTCATGATTTATTTCTACGTCATTGGCTACTCCGCGTCGTGGGGACCGATTCCATGGGTTTACATTTCTGAGATTTTCCCAACTCGTCTTCGCTCGTACGGTGTTGCTACCGGATCGGCAACTCAATGGCTCTTCAACTTTGTGGTCACTTATGTGACTCCTGCTGCCATCAATAACCTTGGCTGGCGAACCTTTATCATGTTTGGTTGCTTCTGCTTTGTTATGGCTATCTGGGTTTTCCTTGTCGTCAGGGAAACAAAGGGTCGCTCCCTCGAGGAGATGGATGTCCTCTTCGAGAAGTTCCATGCCTTTGGCAAAGTACGTGATATTGAAACTTCGGCCCTTGAAAGGAAGCTTTCATTCGATGACGCTGCTACTTCGACTCATAATGAGGTACAGGGTATTGAAACTGAGGATCGTGTGAAGAGATAAAGATTTTGGACCAACATACATGAACCAACACTCGAAGCGTACTCTGTATACAACACGATAAGCTATATATATGTTAGTTGATCAAAAACCCTTATTATAAGTTATTCTAATATGTCTTATTTTAATCATAAATAAATTAGATCGTAGGACGTGTATACCTAGTATAAAAATCAGCTCTCACTTTACTCTCGTTTTACGCTCACTTCTACTACTATATGTTTAGTACTTAGGGAATTAGTAACCCCTTATAGCTGAGGGTTTCTTCATTTCATTATTCGAAAAAAATAAATATCATTGAGGGCTCCATCTATGAATACTATAACGCCCTGAGGGCCCAGAGCCCGATTTGGTGTTTTCTTTGTGACATCAAGATCTGCCTTTCCACTTTCTTAGAGATTCAATGGCTCAGGGCCATCGATATCAATTTCGAAGTTGTCATATATATGATAGCTTTGATGTTAGTAATAGTTTCATCAGTCTATCTATAGATAGAACAGATGATAGATGATGGGCTGGAGGATGATGGGACCTTGAGATGGAGGAAAGGAAACTCGATAAGACATGCCAACTTCGTGAGTGCTGGTAGGCGCAGCATTCAGATGTCTGATCAAGCTTAGTAGAACGTGTGTCAGGCTTTCGAACAAGCATTTCCCATAACTTCGGGGGAGGCATCAGAGGAAAAATAAACCAGACATGGCAAAGGAACCTAGAACAGCCGAGGTGGAAGGCCGATTCTGTTTCTTTGGGCTCCCTGCTGTTGCGTACTGAGGAAGAGATATGTAAAGTGTAAAGAGTCTCTGGTATTCAATATATGAGAAGGGGGTATTTATACCCTCATAGGAATGACAAACAAAGGGGGGTTGTATATCAGACCATCCTATGACTGATTGTTTGTCAGACTGAGCGTTTGCTTGATCGACAGGGTATATATACTCCGCTCTTTGCTAGATTGAATTATAACGTTTCTTCTTTCTCTTCCTCCCCTTCGCCAGTACACACTCGAATGAGCAGGGATTCCTCAAAAGTGTGACTTTACGCAAATGCGGATAGGATTTGTGTATTCCAGATGTGACCATATCGAAGCTTTGTTTTGACGATCGATAGAGTTATAATGAATGATCTTTAACTATGATCAAGAGGACATGCTAGTGGTCCCTTGTTTTGGGGGGGAAGATGGCTCAAGGAAAAGGACCATATATAACGCAATGAGCAAACGTCTAACCATGCGGGTTTATTTGTATTGAAAGTGCGTTTATGTTTCGCGTTGATTCATTTACAGCGTTCCAAGGGGAGCACAGACTGCCGTTTTCTAATAGGAGTCGTAGTCGTCTTTTCGGACCAAATATCGGCGTACTGGTCACATTGTGAAGTCAGCAGAGTGGTATCATGAAGACATAGACAAAAAGATTCAGAAATATGATATATGTAGAAGGCATTTTCAAGAAAGGAACCCCTAAAGGACAACATTAGTTCGTAGCAGCTGCCTCTGTGGCTTCACGGGGAGACTCGTTCATCCTCGCAGCAGCATCGGCGATATTGACAAGACCGACGCCTTCTACAAGCACTGTGCCAGTCGTTGCATCTGCAGCATAGTCATCATCACCCAAGTCAGCCGGAACAGTCCCATGGCCAATGACAATTTCCTCGCCTTCAGCAGCAGGAACCCAGTCCGGACACTTGTGAGGACCTTCCATGCCCGCAGGAGGCAAGCCCCAGCGAGGCATGGGGCTGCGGTAAGACCAATCACCATCTTTGTCGGCGTACGCGACAGCATGCAAGAAAATACCCAGCTCGTGGGGGCCCGGGTCCGAGTACAGCTCTGTACTGCAGATTTCACAGAGATTGCCGGACAGACGCTCACCCTTGCGCTTTTCGTAGTCCTCAGCTGCGGCCACCTGCTCGCGATGCATGATCTCGTTGACAAGCACTGGATCGGTGTTCGGCGGGACATTCGGTGCCGCGGTCAGGTGAAGGCGGTACGAGACCGTGTCAGGGATCTCGGTCTTACCCATGAGAGACAACCGCGCGACGATCTCTTCATCGCGCTCTGCGGTCACCTCGGCTTTGCCAAGCTCAGGTCCAAACACACGACGGTTGGAGTAGATGGGGTCGTTGGTAATCGGGTGACCCAAGAACTGGAGGTGGACACGGATTTGGTGAGTACGGCCTGTCAGAGGGAAACAGTGCACGATACTGTAGCCCTCGCTCTCATTGGCAAAAACCGCGGGCGGGGTAGCGGGACGCTCGTCGTCGCTAGATGACTCGGTCTCCTTTGCTGTCTCGGGAGGGTAGTAAGCCAGGCGACGGAACTTGGTTGTTGCTTCTTTGCCAGTGGCGCGCACACGGTTGAGACCCAGCTTCGGGCTAACCTGCATGATCGGCTGGTCACAGACCACCACGCCGTCGGGGAACTTGCCCTTCACGCGCGCGACATACTCTTTCTGTACAGTTCGGGCCTTGAGCGCGGTGGCCATTTTCTCGGCGCCCTGAGGGTGCTTTCCAATAAACATAATTCCAGATGTCAATCGATCAAGTCGGTTGCATGGGCGGGGTAGCCATTCGGAGTTGCGCTCCGAGCGCAGGATTTCAACGACCGTGTTGAAGTGGTATCGACCCGCAGCGTGCACCGGTACGCCAGCAGGCTTATCAATAACCATGAGGTCATCGTCTTCGTAGATGATTCCAATTGGAAGGCTCGTAACGGGAGGTTCGTGGCGGTGGAGGGTGTGTGAGATGACCTGGCCGTTCTTAAGCGTCGTTTCGGGACGGGCTGTTACACCGTTAACCTGCACAAGGCCATCTTCCAGGGCTTTTCTCTGGTAATTGTCAGTTTGCGACTCTTTCATATCTGGACGTCCACGTTTCCACGCATTCACGTACATAGTATTCTGGCTTCCGATCGCGGAACTCGGAAGTGAAGATCTCGACCAGCTGACGGCCGCGCCACCGCTCCTTGCAATTGGTGTTATAGGTGTAGTGGTATGGCGTGACGCGACGGAAACCACCATCTAAATAGTAAGGTGCAGGCCATGGATCGCAAGGGGTCACGAGTACATCGGGAGTCTTTTCTTCAACCGGGTTCGAGGTAACTTGATCGACGGTCATGAGGGCCATGGTGGGAAGTTTAAGCTTGCCTTGCCGAAGCAAATAGGCCGTAATACGAGGTGAGGGAGCCAGGTAGGCGAATGTGAGAATTGAAAGGAGACGTGGAGAATTCAAAAAGAAAATAAGAAAAGTTAAGATAGTAAGTTGCCCCACATGAACAAATCAGGCACAGAAAATATTTTGATTTTCAATTTTCCATTTTGCCCCTCGATATTGCTTTTTGGAGTTAGCGTTGCTTTTTGGAGTTAGCGTTGCCTTTTGGAGTTAGCGTTGCCTTTTGGGGTTAGCGTTGCCCTTCTGGGTTTAGCGCCCTTGTAGCCTTACCTACAAGACCCGTCTCTTCCTCCCCTTCTCTCACTTTTCGGGTGGAGCAACCTCACCCTATTGTCATTGTCAGTTTCTCCTTATCTTCCAAAGCGCAGATGTATTTGGAAACGCCGCGGTGACACTAGCCAATGAGGAAATTCGTGTCGGCTCTCGCCTGTCTTCAATGCTTTACGGTTGCTCAATTTGCCTGTGGCCAGGCAACTACATCGCAAAAGGAGACAGATTGGAAGTTTACGATGAATCTGGATAACTTCCTGGTGGTCTGTCAACCTTGTTGTGAGACTGGCGTGGTCTATAGCTTGGATTGAAGAAGCTGGTCGACATCTTTCTCGCGTGTAAAGGACGGTCGATCGGGCTCAAACAACTGACAATATCACCGGCATTGCAACTCATCTGGGAGCATGTCCCGCAAGGTTAAGTCACTTCGAAACAGAGCCCCTCCTCCAACGTAGAATACAAGGGACGATGGATACTGATTGCTAGTCCTTGAATTCGAAAGGCTCGGAAGTTAGGAAAAGGCACATTGTACGAAACATAGCTCCTGTCGGTCTGGCAAAGGGTCTTGCCATAGTCAGACCATTATCTTCCCTACCGGTCATGCTGAGTTCTAGTCGAATTTCGACTAAAGTTCCTATCCTGGCTTTCTTAATGTGTTCTACCTCATTGCGCTACTAGGCCTTTAAGCACAGATGTATCTCCACCCCAGACATTGACGTAACGTATTATTGTGAACACGAGCTTGAACACCACTACATCCAAGTACATGGGCCTGCATTTAGGGCTAAAGAGATCCTAACTCCGCTTAAGTGGACTCACTCCGGAAGCCTTAAAGCTGGGCAACCAATAATGTAACAGTCAAATCTTTTCATTCTCGTGGTCTATACTATGTACCTACTGCGTACAAAAATGACGAACATCAAACGGATTTGGGCACAAGCCAGGGTCAAGGATAGAAAAATTCAACAAAAAAGCTGGTCTATTCCATTCCATGATCTTTGCCATTTCGTGTGCTTTTGTAGTCCGGAGTCAATTGTCACTCTGTGCACATGCATAACTCCGGCTAAATCTACACTTGATGCGCACTAGCTCTGTGGATCCCGTCCCGTGTCGACCAATGGGTGGTGGGCTATCGCGAACCCCTGTCATCGGCTCGTTATCTCGCCGGCTTCTGGGCCACAACTGTTTTATGTGTCCGAAGGACGAGTTGGCCCGATGCGAAAAAAATGTCTCCGATTACGCTGAAAAATATCGAGATCAATCATCAATACAACACTGACCAGGGCCAATGTCTACGACTTTACCATGGGGGTTTCCAGCATAACTGCCCTGTTCCTCCTGGGGTAGAAACCATTTTTTTCTCCAGCTACATCGATTCATTCCGTTGTGTCAGTAAATAGATCAGTTCCGAGTTTTATTGAAGTTTCGCACATCAAGATGGAGGCCTACTTTCAGAACCGCCGTCTTCGCCGACAAGCAGAAGAAGACTTGGCCAACAGTCAAACCAACTCCGTGCGCAACACTACCTCATCGCCCTCATTGGGGTCAGACCTGGAGGCAGGAGTATCAGAAAAGCCCGTCGTGCTCACAGATGATCCCCTTGTACCCGGCGTGACAGTTTCTCGGCCAGATGGAGGCAATGGTGAGGTGGTCTTTGTGGTTGGTTGGAGGGAAAACGACCCAAATAACCCGCAGAATTGGTCTCTGCTCCGAAAATGGATGGCCATGTTAACCTGCTCTCTAATTGCCATCGCAATGACAGTACCCTCCTCGGTAGAGGGTGCGACTCAGGACGCCTTTGATGCCCACTTTGGTGTAAACGCCATGGCTGGGTCGATGACAACCGGTAAGCTTGTTCTTTTTGTGTTATTTGAATCCAGCCCATACTGATAATTCTGGGCAGGGATCTTCCTTATTGGAGTTGGTGTAGGGTCGCTGTTCTCTGGTCCGTTCTCTGAAACTTTTGGCCGCAACATCGTCTACTTCACTGCCCTGGTCGTCGTGATACTGTTCCTCATGGCCAAGGCACTAGCACCAAACTATGGCGCTGCCCTCGCCTTCCGATTTCTCTGTGCTCTCTTCGCAGCCACCCCAATGACGGTGGCTGGTGGGACTGTCGGTGATATCTGGCGGCCATTACAAATTCCCTTTGGCCTGCCCTTGCTCACTATCGCCGCCTACGCCGGTCCTATCTTGGGTCCTGTGATCGGTGCCTACACGCCCGAAATTGGCTACGCGTGGGCCGACTGGATATCGATGATCATTGCTGGTGTCGCTTTGGTGGTGGTTCTGCTTGCGCAACCTGAGACTTTCAGCCCGGTTCTGTTAGAATGGCGTGCGAAACACCTGCGCGAGTTGACTGGTGACGACCGATACCGCGCCGCCTCCGCTTCTGCCAACTCTCTGGGTCCCCGGCTGCTTCAAAATGTGTCTCGGCCCTTTGTGATGATCTGGACTGAGCCCATCATTCTGATTTTCAGCTTCTACCTGGTCTTGCTCTACTTTGTGCTGTTCACCTTCCTTAACGGCTATCCCTTCATATTCGCCGATGTGTACGGGATCAGCACGAGCGTGACCTTTGTCATCTTCGTCGCGATGATCCCGGGTATCATGGTCGCTCTGGCCATGGTCCCTCTTGTATACGGCATGACAAAGAAGGCGGCGAGACAGGCGGAGGCGGAGGGTAAGGCTTTGCAACCAGAGGTATCGCTTTACTGGGCGATGGCGGGCGCATCTATCCTGATGCCAATTTCCCTCTTCTGGATGGCTTGGACCTGCTATGTAAGTTCTGCTGATACCCGCCTACCCCTTCTTGCAACCCTTTTACTGACATCGTTTTCCAGTCCACTATCAGTATCTGGTCGCCAATCGTGGCTTCCGCTGTCTTCGGCTGGGCGTTTGTTTGCATCTTCACCACGACCTACATGTACATCATTTTTGTGTACCTGCAATATGCAGCCTCGGCTCTGGGATTCATGACCTTCACGCGGTACATCGTCGCTGGTGCCCTCAGTCCTGCCTCGGTCAAGATGTACGAGAACATCGGTCCCCATTGGTCGGTGACGATTGTCGGTATTCTTGCAACTATCATGGCACCCGTTCCTTATGTGTTATATAAGTATGGTCACAAGGTTCGGGCCATGAGCAAGAATGCCGTCAACAAGGCGTAAATACCAGTTTTTGGTTTCTATGCTCACATTTACTTACGAGTGGACGCTGAAAGAGATAGATTCTGATTGAAGTGGGTGGCTTCTTGTGTGGGATTATATATATTACTTCAATGCATTTCCTCCTGAATTTAACGAAAGTACGATCTTACTGTGGACCATGCCTATGTAGCTTTGCTAATATGGAGTGTAAGATACTATAACTCAGCACTGTTATTTTTTTCCCTTATTTTTTTTAGGGCCACATGGAGTCCGGGATAACCATAACAACAACTAGAAACACTTGCTCTTTGCAGCCTCGCCAGGCCAAACTTGCAGATATGATGCCCTGTTACGCTTTCTTGGACCTATCAAGAACTTCTACCTGGCGAGGTTAACGAGGTCATATTACCCTGGTTCAGCCTCTCGGAACTCAATCCCTGATTCGCAGCCTCCCTCTACTCGTAGCAATATTCTTCTTAGACGCATCAGAACGATTTACATCATGAGGCCATTGCGCCAGGTGGAATCGTAGATATAAAATGTAAAGTAACTCTTCCATCCACTCTCTTCACCTGAACAACAACGACGCCTCTTGTTTTTGATTATTGTTGGATACAGACAGAAATTGACATAGGTGAATAAGAAACAGTGTCGCGGGAAGAACGTTGTGTTAAGCTCTTGATGGCGACCCACTTGCTTCCCACGTGGGATACCCCAAATGGGATAAGTCTATGCATTTGAACTCTACCTATACAGGTAACTCTAGCCTTGGTTGGAAGGCATCAATAGCACCTGGGCAGCAGGCGCGCGGCAACTTTATTAGAACCCTCCAAAGTTTGCACTGAACCTTGGAACCCTCATCAGGCCCAAACCTTATCATTTCATTAAGAACTACATAACTTATAGAAGGCCTGTACAATTCCATTTGCACTTACTACTGCTTTTGCGTATTAAATACGTTCTCTATGAGTATCAAAGATGCTCTTTATGATATGTACAGACGTCACATGACTTATTCAATCCCAAAACTTTGACGAGCGGCCTAAGACACCACCAGTTAAGAAGTACTATGGGTCTCTTGGCAAGCCAGGTAAAACCAATCATGATAACCCATGATAAATGGGCAAAAAAGAAAAAAGAATTGCAACCTGTGGGAATCGAACCCACGCTACTTTCGTAACTAGAATGCTCACTGTATTCAGTGAAGAGGAAGATCTCTTGAGTCTAGCGCCTTAACCGCTCGGCCAAAGTTGCTGAGGGACATAAAATGAAGCGCATTGGAAGAACTCATAAAGAGCTTTTGTTGAAGTGCTGAGGGAGAGATATGTAAAAGTGTAAAGAGTCTAGTATTCAAACTATGAGAAGTAGAGTATTTATACCCTGATGGAAATGATAAACAAGCTCTTAGTCATTGGAATAACTCATAAGGGAATCATTGGACGGTCTAATGGCCAACAAAATATGATAAGGCCGAGGAAGAACAAGAAGCAAGGTAGTACAGATCAGATGCTATGAATCTACAAAAACAACACTTTAAAACAGCAATAGCTAGCCCGGGCTGCCCGACGATTCATGCGTGTAAGTTGAGAAATAAGAGTATTCTCATACTATCGCTCCTCTCTAATACAGACTCGGTCTATTTGAGTGATGAGTATCTCGAAAGTGAAGGTAGACAAGGTTGGAGGTTCTCAATACCTGTTGATTTACAGGGGCAAAGTACGGAAGAAGAACTGAAACAAATTCCCGTAAAGGAGGTTTGAACCCTGGGCGCTATGGGTCTTCGTACTCTCAATGAGTTTCCTTGATACCGAAAAACTGTAATAAATGCAAAAGGTAATTATAAAGGCAAGCCCTATAATCAAAAACTAGGCATTCTAGCAACTTTCCACAAACATGCCAGCATCTGAATCCTCCTCAAGATCTTCCAAAAGTGGCATAAACTTCTCATTTTTAGCCTCAGTTTGTTCAGGAACAACATTAAACTCCTGAACCTCACAATCCATCAGCACCGAGCCATTGCCGATATAACTGTGGCTCCCAACTACACATCCAGTCAAGACACAATGTTCTCCAACAACAACGTTATCAAGAATGACGCATCGCGTAATTCGAGCACCGCTGCAGATCTTGGAGTTTGGGCCAATACAAGATTCTTTTATAACAGAACGACTCTCGACAAGTACGTTGGATCCAAGGAGGCAGTCTGCCTTCGAAATAAAGCAGTTTGGAGCCACACATTGAGGAGAGGCAATCTTTCGGTCGTGGGCGAAGGGGGATCGAGTAGCTATATGGTTGGCCTCTTCAATGGATGCCTGTTTGGCCAGACGAAGGGATGTTGACAGTAGAAGAGCGGGGTTGTCAACACGACGGACAAGTGTAGACCCTGTATGCAGATATGCTAGAAGAGGCGGTACTCCCGCGACATCGTTCTGTGGTGATTGGTGGGTGACTGTGCTCAATTCCCGGTAGCCCTTCTCTTCATGGCTTTCTTTCTGCTGGCTCAAACGAGTATCCATCCCTAGCTTTTTATGTAGTCCTCGCTGCCATGCAGACTTGGCCCATAGCCCAATGAGATCTTCGCTGACAGATACTACTCTTTCCTGACGCTGTACGAGGTCCTTGACCCAGTATGGGAAAATGTAGAGGTGTGCATCGCGAAAGCCAGTCAATATCTTAGCTTGTGTGGTTTGCCGCTTTGAAAAGGATTGACGAAGAAGAAAACCTTTATCACGGTCCAGGTTTCTTTTCACAGTATCAATCCCGATAGACATGAGCAGTTTCAATAGCCTGGTCTGCCGAAGTGGCTCAACAGCTATCAGATCCAAGCTCTCATACTTCACTGCATCTTCCGCATGATAATACATACAAAGACCGCCTCGACGGTGCCTTTCTTCTTCGGCCATTACGGCCTGACCTTGAGATGCCGTCCACATCTGTAGCAGATATGTGCCCTCGATTTCACAGACGAGATCGCAAGGCAGGAGGAGGAAATCGGACTCTATGCAGGCTTGCACCTCGGGAAGGCGAAGCAACTGTGCTGTTGCCATTGTTGCTTGGAGATCTTGAGGGGAGATGACTTTTGGTAAAGGCAGTGATTTCAAATAAGAGTCTTGCTGTAAAGCAAATTTGATTTGAGCGAGGGTAGAGGGAGGTATGATCAGTGTGACATCTGAAACAATTAGTACATCATAATAACGAAAATACCATTTGAGGTCCGAATGTTCTCTAACTCACCACTGATATGTGATATCTTACAGAACTTTAGCGGATAATATATCATCGGTTTGTTAGCGATTAGAGCAAGACATTTTGGTGTCTTTTCTTGGTCAAGAAGAGTCCCAAATGAGGTCCCAGGACCGCACAGGATCAGAGCTTGAATCCCAGCTTTAGGCACAGGAGCCTCCATCGTCTCTTGATGAACTATAGCGCGATATTTCGATGCAAGTATGATAATAAGGCTGCTGAAAAGAGATTCAATTGAATGATGAATATTGCTCCAAAAAAAATATTGATAAGCCCTAATATTTACACAGACCGGGGCATTACTAAATATATAAGATGAAAGACTCGATATGTATCTACTTCTTTGTTGCTGGATGTGGATCAGATGAAAGACAAGTGGATCAAAGAAGGGCTCTGGAAGCCCCGGGCCTGGGGCATCAGTTACATAATCACCGAGATGCCGAGGTCCTCGCGGGACGCATTCTTGTTATGTCAAGGAAGCATAAACACATCTATTGTAGAATCACACTTGAACCAAATCCGACCATCCTATCGGAAAATAAAAATAAAATGGCCACCCCAGAGTCCGAAGCCAAGAAGTACCGCAAGCGCAGCGACTATGGCTTCCATCAAGTACACCAGACCCGATGGTCAGTACCAGGACCTCCGCACGAGCACACCCGAAGCAACCAGACACCGAGACCAATACTAACACCCACAGGTTCGACAACGACATGTACGCGCACCTCAACAATGCAGTATACACACATCTCTTTGACACAATCGCGAACACGTACCTAATCCAGCACTGCGGGATGGACCCCTTCAGTGTAAACAACCCAACCCCGGCGCCGACTCACGGCCAACCCTCCAATTTTCCCTCCCCATCGAACCTAGCAACTGGCGCCGACCAAATAGGTCTGATTGTCTCGACACACGCCGATTTCTTCGCCTCGGTGCGCTTCCCGGATCTGCTAGAGGTCGGGTTGCGTGTTAATAGGCTCAGCAAGTCTAGCGTTACGTGGGAAGTGGGTATCTTCCGGGAGGGCGAGGAGGATGTTAAGATGGTTGGGACTTATACGCATGTTTTTGTGTTGAGGGAGACTATGCGGGTTGGGAAGACGGGGATGGAGGAGCGGACTAGACGGGGCTTAGAGAAGCTGCTTGTTAAACCCGAGGCCAAATTGTGAGGGATAGAATGTTGGGCTCCGGGCTGGGCTTCCAAGGTTGTACATACATAGTTTTCTTATCGGAAGATAGGTAACCCCTTGCATTCCAAAGCAGTCGTATAATCCTGGGTTTGCTGAGAGAAATTGGGATTCTAGACTTTCAATTGATCAAATGATCCCTGTAGGAATTCGAGAGAAAATAAGCGAGATAGATATATGTACGTAGGTAGCTCAGCAATAAATCCTGTCCCGATTGGTATTGATCATCCTAGGAATGTGAGATGCCGTGAAGAAAGACAAAAACGTGCGCCGTGTAGATCAAGAAGATCATCCAAACTCCTGAATCATTAAAAAGTCTAATCTAACCTGAGATCTATGAGACAAAGAAAAGCGAAAAGGTATCCATCACCGTAACATAAAACCAAAACCAAAAACTTTTGTGGGTTATCATAAGAATAAGAGAGACACGCTAAATCGCTTCGAAATATCGAAAAGCGCCAACAGAAAGGGTATACATGTATGATGGAATTTCCAATCATGAAAATGGTTGTCATTTGACAACCTCAGAAGTTGTGGTTGAGACAGGTTGCTCAGTCAAATTTGCCAGCAATGATGCTGCTGCAACGGGACACGTTGGAACTGGTAGGAGGCGAGGCACCGCGGCGCATGGTGTATCCATCTTCATCGAGCCACCACTTGGGGTAAGGGCCAAGAATGAAGCTTCCCTCAGCGTCCCAGCCAGCGACCCAGTGAATGCCGTCATCGAGGAGGAAAAAGCGCAGCTTTTCCGGGCGGCCGCCCCTGTGCATCGGGGCGTCGAACCAGCGACAGCGCTCCTCGAGTTCGGATTCAAACATGTAACGGTGGAGGATGCGGCAGTAGACTAGCGCAGCAGGGACTTTTTCGTCGTCTTCGCACCCATCCCGATGGATGAGGTGCCATCCGCGACCCGGGAGGAACTTGTATGTTCCTGGGACGGGGGATTCCCAGTGTTGTTCCTTGAGATTGCTTTTGCCATCACCCTTCTGGAACCAGTAGGTAGGACAGAAGATGGTGCGTGCACAGAGGAAGAGGTTGGGGGCCATGGTTGAGGATGGTATCAAGATAAAAAGGTATGTGCAAGGATGACTCTGTGAAAATCGGGGGAGAAGACCGAGTTGATATAGAAACACTGAAGTGCAAAGAATCAAGGGCTATATGGGGTTATAAGTCGACAGCCATGACGGAAAATAATAAAATATCCAATCGGTCAAAAATTCAAGTTGAGATAGGAATTTGACTGGTCTTCCGCGGTCACAAAAGCTCGGTGAAGGACCCCTGAGAACTTTTCGGGAGACAAAGAATGTGAAAGGACAAGTACACTTGGCACGGGGTTATAATCTGAGGCAAGGACTGGTTGGGAATGTCCAATTCAAACAGCACTGGCCAGACAGCAAGGTGTTTTTCGTTATCGATGCGGTGAGTAGGGGTTGGCGTGTTTTAACAAGGAAATGGGGTCGTGATAAGCTTGCAGCTTTGAAGAAGGAACAGCTTTGTCCCTGATAACGGGGAATGAGGGAGGGTAGGCGAATAGGGAGTGTTGAAAAGAGCTTGGACTTGCAGCAATCGGTAACATGCAGTAGCACGCACGCGCACGGCCGATGTTAGAGCTCAGCAAGAGCGTGTGCTAGAGATTGGGCATTTAACTGGAGGAATGTCGCCATGGTGATTTGATGTAGATATATAGAAATCAAGAAGAATGTGTGTGCTTATATTTGGCGGTCACGGAAAAGTCAATTGATCCACTTTTTCCCTAGCCCCAAGAGGCCAAGCCACAACGGGTAGCTCTAGACTTTCCCGCATTTTCCCGCAGCTTTCGAGTGGCTGAAAATGGCTGAAATTGTGGATTAGTAACCGCTGACCTCAGAGATTTTCACGTGCGGGACTGGCCGAGCCTTGGCAGTCCCATCGTTTGGCTTGCGGGAATTTTTCATCTCCTGTTATTGTCCTCTTTAGGGCCCTTACCGTTTTTCAGCGTCATAGCTTAGTGCGTTTTATGGGAAAACTTTCTGACTCAATATTATAAACCCTCGAGCACTTGGCCACTTGGCATACATTCCCGACAGGAAATTTCCAGGCTGCAAAGTTCTTTGTGGCGCAGTTCTCGTCAGCCCTACGTTTCTCGGCGTTGTCCTAGCTTGCAAGCCTGGCGGGATTTTCTTCTAGCCTAGTCTATTTGAAGTCGACATTCTTTAATAAATCGTTTCCATAACCTTCGATTATCTGTGTATCAGCCTCGCTATGAGCAGCATACCTAATATATGGTGTGATGACTGCATGCCGCACCTCTACAAATCCATCACTACCTGTGCTTGAGTATCCCTGTCCATGCATAATCAGAATCCCGACTCAACAAACCAGAAAACATTGCGGTGCCACCTGGTCCAGAGCCTCGCTGTAGGCGATCGCCAAGCAAATCCTTGCTGGATTTGCAATATGACATGACGCATGGCTTGGCTTTACAATAATAGAATTGTTGAAAAAAAATTTCTACACTTTGACAAAATTAGTCTAGTGCTAAGCATTGACGGAAGATAATGCGACAGCAATTTCTTTGACCTCTGAGCCCTAATATGTTTTGGTTTTTCATGCCCTCGAGCCCCTTTGGGGCCGCCAGCCTTCTTTCAAACTGCCTAGGGGAGATGATTTTCTCTCACTAATCTAATTCGCGTGTAGGGTGCCGTCAGCAAGCTTAATCGAAGCTCACCAGGTTAGGTGCATCGACCTAGGTTTCATTGGTGGCCTATGGTGTTGTCTGTACGAGACAACATATCATTAAACCTGTGTGCTTCTTTGGACATTTTCTAATTGAAAAGTCTAAAGAGGGATTCTAGACCATGACGGCTAGGAGAAGGATTTCTAGCCGACAGAAATCACTAAGATGTATCTAAATATAAACAAACCGTCTTCTGACTTGCACAGTTCTACTTTCAAGGCCAACTCTAGACAACGTAGAGCTGTAGGGTTGATGATATGCTGCAAATAGATGTTTTAATGAGTACATATATGACACTACTCCGTATATGTACCAGATTTAAATGAGATGACGCAATAAAAGAACGCTTTTACGCTTTTATTAGACAAGCCCATGCGACTAAAAAGGCTACACGCAGGAGTGTGGAAGATTATTCCACTATCCGTTTCTAGGGATACACCAATATCTTACTCCCTTTCCGTGGGAGATCTCAAATATTTGGGCCTCCTCGACTCACTTCTAGCGGGATACTCTCTTTTGGCTATGCAATAGCCGAACCGGAAACCGGCCTAGCACTGCGCCGGTACTCATTATAACAAACGCGTCGAGCTGATTCGTCCATCACAGCGTCCACGCGCTACACTTACGCGAAGTTGCTCCGAGGGGCGAACTACGGCCACAATAGGCGTCGCTAAGACTAAACATGCTTCCAAATGTGAACTGGCCGGAGGTGGTACGGGCCTGGCTCGACTCGTTGCTCGAGTTTCCACACCCGCGCCCACTATACTTGCTCCATAAGTACGTAATTCTACCTAGGTACATAAGCCTAGCTAGTCATTTTTATCAAGTTTATGACATCTAGTATCCAACTTTCATTACATCTTCACCCTCCGGCAACCTGGCAAGCAAAGTATCTACAACCACCTATATATCTTCATTTTCACCTAGGAAACCTCTAAAAATGGCAAGTCTTTTTTTTTTTTTTTTTTTTTTTTTTTAAAAGCACCTTTACCTTTACCGGGCCTCTTAATGCGTTCCCTTGGCTACGATTTATGTTCATAGTCCGAGAGTGTTCATTTTTTTTATTTACATCCTAAATATGAATATAGTACAGAGCGAACGATGAAATGAGCATTCAATTATAGTGCATCGGGGTACATATCGGCGAGCGGACAGAGGCAAAAGGACTTATTAAGAGATGTTGAAGTCTATAAGAGAAATATGAAAACACAAGAATTCGAAAAAGCACCCATTGACTGATGAAATTTGTCAGTGTTCAAAGCAACCCCCCAGCGCTGTAACTCAACCATAAACCTCGAATTATCCAGCCGGGTTCGCACAAGTGAAAGGGGTCAGACTACCTTCTGCGAATTGCTGGTGCATGGAAGTAACCGAAGCCCAAATTCCCAGACCAGCCGCGCCCAACGCACCAATCGCGTAGAGAACATCAAAGGTGTTCCACACAAACTTCTTCTTATAGCCTCTAACCCACCGCTTCATTCCACTATCCAAGCGCTGTGTCTGGCCAGTTGCCGAATTGAACTCCTCTTCGGGGAGTATGGCATCATTCTGGACGTTGAACCCAACCAGCAACAACGGTGGGAACGTGAAAGAGAACTGTAGAATGCAGGCGGCTCCCACGAAGGATGTTAGATTGCTGATTTGGGGGATCGCGGCGGCAATCACCCAGGCGAGAGCCCAGTAGGCAGGTGCTAGAGGTATTATCAATGATTTAGTTCAGATGGAGGTTTAGTGAACTAGATATAACTTACCGAGGCCAATCCACAGTAACTTGCCTGTTCGGCTGTTCAAGTCCGGGAAATGGAAGATATCGCGCAGCACGACGTTATAGAAGACTTTGATACCAATGTTACCATATAGCAGTGCTGCGATGACGCCGGTGATGAATGAGATGGCGTTGCCTAAGGTCTGGAACCTGTAGGCTGAATTTGGAATACCTGTTGCAGTTTTTAGCAATCTCAAAATCTCCCTTGCATATTATATGGCTTACCCTGGTAAGCAGGATTGAATGTAAATTGGCCCTGCGCACTGTACACAACCATGCCCGAGATAAGGTAGCAAACGTAGATGAATATCTCAGCAATGATAAAGCCCTTCCAAAAGTCATATGGCCGTCTCATCTCAGCCATGAGCTCATTGAACAGGGTTGCACCGCCATAGGCGAAAACAGCGTTCATCATAGCATTGACTTTGTTTTTGAGGGTTGAGTCCTCGGGCCAGTAACCGCTCGTTTTCACAGGTCCCTTTGGGGTTTCGTAACTAGTCAACGAGGCTTCGTAGTTCGGGGGATACTGGTGAACCACAGCCATGGTCATGATGATGACAATAACATTCAACCAGATCGCGATGTTGGCCAGGTAAGAAAGGCGTTGCAGGGTACGAATCTGCCCGAGCACAAAGCCAATGACCATGAAGACAACCTCGGCAGCGATGAAACACAGGAACCCCTGGCCATTGGCACCGACGACCATCTGCGCCAGTCCTTGTCCGTTGCTTACAATGAGCAGGGTCACATTAAGGAAGAACTGGAAGCTTTGTAGGACGTTCACAAGAATACGCGCCCAGTTTCCAAAGACGCGGAAAGCCACATCGCCATAATTGCGCATCGGGAATCGAGTCGAGTCGAGACCGACGAAGATCCTCCACAGTTGCATGCCGGAGTAACCAGCCATGCCTCCGAAAACAGTGTAAAGAACAGCTCCTGGTCCGTAGCCCATCTGACTGATCGCCCAGGGGACATTGGTCGGTCCGAGGATGTCGGTGGTAATGAGGTAGAAGATTGAACCCCAGGTTGCAGTTCGCCCAGCCCGTTGTGCCTGTTCCCATTCGGTCTCAGTGATGCCCCAACCATCGCCTGTGCCATCACCATTCGTTTTGATGGTATGCTTGTCGTTGGGCTCAGTGATGGTAGAGGTGTTCTGTACTGTGACGTCAGACCTTTTACTAAAAAGCCTCTTTTTCCAGTACGCAAATCCCGCATCGTCAGTTGAAATATGCTTCTCAACCTCGCGCGATCGCTTGGCCCAGTAGACATAGTTCTCAAAGGTGATGCTAGAATCCAAGTACATGGAGCGGTTGCCATCGATAAAGGCAGCCGGGGGTTCGTGAGCAACAGAGACGGTGCCCTCCTTGGTATCCATCTTTTCTCCCTCGTCCAGATGAGCATCGGCACCTATGTCGGCGCCGGAGATCTTATCCGCCATGATAGGAACAATCACAGACTATGATTGATTAAAGTAAGTTCAGAGAGAGATGCATGAAAAATAATGGGAATCTCCGAGGACAACACCGGTCTTCATATACCCTGAAAACAGATAAACAAGCCTATCGTGGACAAGAAATGCCAATATGTGCCATAAGCACTAGGATTGGATATCTCAATTACGTATGACCTTTCTCGTGACTCTCAATTAGTGGTCTGTCCAATATGTCAACAATCAGTTATCTGTCCACAATTTCGTCAGATGTAACATGGCTCCATCTTTCGGAAAACAAAGCTTCGTTATTGTACGACCTCTATGACTGGCCACTAAGGTCAGCCCCCATTCCACCGGAGATCCACATAAACCTCGGCAAAAGCTTGTATCTGCAGCCGAATTTGCTGACACGCAGATAATGGCCCGAAAGGGAATGTGCCGCACTGTTTTTGGTTAGTTCAGCGGAGCTCCATCGGAGACCGTGTACTTTCCACTAATAATTCATTCGCCAAACTATGGAGCATCCAATTGTGATTGAACACTTGCAATTGAACACTTGCAATCGCAGATTCCGGTTGATCCGGGGTTATGTTCGGTGAATGGGGCAACACGCCGCGTGATGTACTGGGGCCCCTTGAATCATCCATGGATACATATCTCCCAGCAAATCAGGTCACAATGACTTAATCAAATGCGAATGAATCTCATGGTAATGTGGTGTGCCTGGAGCATAGGCCTCAGGCCACTCAAATGCCGCACTCGGTTGAGCCGATTTCATTAGGGAAGCGCAATATACGCGCAATATACGATTGATAATTCTGTTTATGTAAATATCCGTCAATATCCAGGTGATATCCGGATAATCATTTGTTAGTAAATTATGTACAAAGTACAGCAACAAAAAGGCTTCTTACTAAGTATGAAGTATTGCCTACCTGGGGGTGAGGAGATCTGTATGTCAACTTTATATTTATCTCTAATTCTATCTATGTACAGTATTAATCTCACCCACATCGATCCAAGAACCCCGAAATGCGACGATACATCTCTACAGGGTTAGAATACATAGGGAAATGCCCAGCGCCCACAATATCGGCCAATTCAACACCTTCCTTCTCCAACAACGGCAGATACGACAAGCCACGCATCTCCTCCCCAAACATAAACATGCGCGGACACGGCAGTGCCAGAAACTTATCCATCAAGTCCCCATGATCAGTCAACTGCACCATAGACTCAAAGATTGGCCGAACCGCACCAGCCCGGACCCGGACGCGCAGGGTACTAGCATACATAGCACTAGCAAATGAGCCTGATGTGCGCGTGCGCTCAATAAATGCATCCATGAATGCATCTCCGTCATCGGCTGGGAACATGAAAATCTGGCGGCTGAGGAAGCAATCCTCTGGTGCGAGATTGCCTTTGATATCCACGAAGCTGAGGACACGGTTTGGATTCTGGTTCGCGAGAAGGAGGGCTGTTAAGCCGCCCATTGAGTGGCCTATCAGGTGGAATTTGTCTATATTAAAGCGCGTGAGGAAGGCTTCGGCGGTCGCCACGAGGAACGGGATGTCTGTTGCGGAGACGTTGTTGCTGACTGATTGGCCGCAACCGGGTGCATCATAGGCAATGAAGCCATGGTTTTTTAAGGATGGTTGGATTTTTAGATCGGCGAGATCTTCTTTACTCGAACCGAAGCCGTGGAGGAAGAGGATTGGTGGGGTTGAGTTGAGGCTATGGACCGCTGATAGGTTGAGGCTGACACCTTCGACTGTGAGGGGGATACATTCGAAGGTGAGGGACATGATGAGATGAATGGGTTTGAATGTCAGTGATTTTTTTTACATTGGATTTTATATTCAATTATCTGTGAAAAAATTAGAATGGATACTTTGAACGGTTCGGCGAAATATCATTTTGCCGCCAGTTACTCATAGAAGAGTCATAGCCTATGGGGTAGATTCACCTAACAGCTATCATAACTTGGGGTCGCTAGTCACCACAAATCCAGGAATATCTACCGGCTTGTATTTTTTTGGCTTCATTTTTTTACCAAGTTGGGAGACAAATCCGTGGACATCTACCTCTCTCCTGTAAAAAAAACGGTCTCCACTCCATACCGGTCTAGTTTTCCAGAGCACTCCAGCAAATCCTATACGAGCCACTTTGGTCAGAATGAAATCTTAAGACCCGGTGCGACGGGGTAGAGCGCCCAATAGGCGCGTGCCTGATTTTTAGAGTATATGGCTCAATCAGGCTTAGCTTTATACTGGCAGAAAACTACAGTACCTGAAGTACTATGACAGAGACCTTATAAATCATCTTGATAGCTCAAATGTATAAATACTATAACGCCTTAAAGGGGCCAGAGCCCGAGTTGGTGTTTTTTTTATATCAAGGTCTGCCTTTCCAATTCCTTGGAGATTGAGTGGCTCAGGTCCATCAATTTCAATCTCGAAGTTATCATCTATATAATAGTTTTGATGTTAGTAATAATTTTTTTAGTCTATCTATAAATAAAACAGATGATGGATGATGGGCTTGAGGATGATGGGAACTTGAGATGGAGGAAAGGAAACTAGATAAGACATACCAACTTCGTCAGTGGTGGTAGGTACGGTGGGTATTGCCCGGCTAGGGAGCCGGGATGGAAGAGGGCCATTTAGGTCCTACCGTAGGCACCGCGGCCGCCCCCACAGCTAGATAGGGTAGTGCTAGTTATAATCGAAGAGACGGGGGGGGAGGTCAAGCCCTTACGTAGACACCTTTGGTGCTAAATCCTTCCTATACTATATATATATATATATACAAGTAACGATTATAAGGGAAGTGTTAGAAGTGAGAGAAGAGTAATATGAGATGTGAGAGAAGTGTGAGAGAAGAATAAGAAGACCAATAGTATATAGAAGGTGGTAGCCTATCCAGGTTATCCTAATAACAAGATTTCAAGGAAGCCATTAGAATCAGACTATCCTCGGACCGTCTTCACCTAGGCAGACTATCTTTATATTTATTTATCAGACTAACCGCTTGTTCATCATTTCCATCAGGGTATAAATACCCTGCTTCTCATAGTTTGAATACCAGAGACTCTTTACAATTTTACATATCTCTCCCTCAGCACTTCAACGAAAGCTCCCTTGTGAGTTCTTCCAATGTGCTTTATTTAATAATTCATTCTAATGCGCTTCACTTTATGTCCCTCAGCAACTTTGGCCGAGCGGTTAAGGCGCTAGACTCAAGAGATCTTCCTCTTCACTGAATACAGTGAGCATTCTAGTTACGAAAGTAGCGTGGGTTCGATTCCCACAGGTTGCAATTCTTTTTTCTTTTTTTGCTTGTTTATCATGGGGTTATCATGATTGGTTTTACCGGCGCTTACGGTAGGTACCTTACGTTTTTTTTTACAAAAATTACAGATTCCCCTTACGGAGCCTCCCCATCCAACTTAAGCTTTCTACTATCTACATGATGGACGCCGGGGAGCAGCCGCCGCTCCGACCGGGGGCAATTGGGCCAAATCATGCCCGAAATGTGGCCTTCCGGTAGAGGAAAAAAGAAGCCAAGAAGCGAAAGAGAGAGGAGGCGGAGGCGGGGGAGAAGGAGGTAAGCTCTATCGTGTATGCAGATAGGACATACCACTAACAAATAGAAAGGCCGACTAGGGTGCCCTTGAGGCACAGATCCCAGCTCGTCGACACGAGCTGCAGGCAGATATTCTTCTGCCTTTGCTCCAGTGTCAGGTCGACGCTGCAATTGCCGTAAGATATCACTTACCCCCAGCCCATCATCGTCTCCAGCCCGTCAATGTCCCCAGCCGATCATCCTCCTTGTTTTGCCAACGTGGTGTTCGTTTCCGAAGGACGATCTCTCTGCCTATGATACTTGGGTGCTTCCCCGTACCGCTCGTGCTGTTCCTGAAGTCCGACGTGCCCCGTCATCGCTGGGACGACCTTACTATCAAAGCATCGAAACGTGCCCGACTCATGGATCATGAGGAATCGGTGGCCGCGTGGCACGGTGCTATGCATAACTTTCGGGCTACTTGTGAGCATGCTATTTCGGAGGCTAAACTCCCTAACGGCTTTGTTCAGTCGCTTGGTATCCTGTGACGGGCCCCTCTGGGAGAGAGCTACTAAGCAGTACGATGAGGTAATATGGACTATGGAGCAGCTTATGTAATGAGGAATGACGGGCTCTCAACATTATTATATAAGCGTGTGACATATCCATCTTAGTTACAACAGCAAACCATAGTAGTATGATCATCTTTACCACCATCAGACTTATACCGTAACACACCCATATGCAAGAGTTCCCGTTCGATTAGGAGGTTTGGCTCTGATGTCTCGTCATAAACTCGGTACCGATTCTGGTCCGGTTCGCGTTCCTCTTCTGCTTTTCTTGGTCCTGCTATAGTGAGATATACTAGGCTCTAGAAGGTAGGGAAGACTAGTACTAGGCATGGGGACATGCCTCTAAAAGGGGGAGATAGTTGTCACGGATAAACTATGTGCGCTACTATATATATTGGTCCCGGGCATATCAGAGCTCATGCTCTGATATAATGGTCTTTTGGCCGAGTGGGAGAATGTGCCCGGGCATACTCTTTACAATGCCCATCAATGTGTCCAGCCCATCATCATCCAGCCTATCATCCTCCAGCCGATCATCCTCTAGTCCATTAATATATCGGTGTCAGATTACTCACATATATATGGTATAAGAGGAGTTTGGCGATAGAATTGCCCGGGTTGGGGCTCGCCCCCCTCCCCCCACTACAATGACCAGTACCCCCTTCGGCCGTGGAGGTGGTCATAACGGATGGCGGGGTGGCCGTGTGGTTAGGGTGCCCGTGATGGTGGCCACCGTGGCCGTGGCCGTGGGGGCGGCCGCGGTGCCTACGGTGGGACCCGAACTGCCCCTCTTCCACCCCGGCCCTCTAGCCGGGCAATATCCACCTGCCGCCGCCGTGCCTACCACAACCCACAAGGTTGGTATTTCTTATCTAGTTTCCTTTCTTTCATTCTATCATCTATCCTGTCTATAGATAGACTAACGAAATTATTACTAACGCTAAAACTATCATACAGATGAAGACTTTGATATTGAGCTAGATGGCTAAGCCGCTCTATCTCTGGGGAAGAAGAGGGAAATTATTACGGAGCGAAGTGGAGAAATTAAATGATATTTATAGAATTGAGCCCTTACGGGTATTTATTTTTTTGAATGATGGATGAAATTGAGAAACCTTCGACTATAAGGGGTTACTGATTCTATAAGTATAAAACATGTAGTAGTAGGTGTCTCCCACGAGAGGTGTGGGTTAGACTCTGGTCTGTTAGATTTCTTGGTGGAGTTACAAAAGAGTCCGACCTTTAGAAAGTTAATGCATAAATGCTTATCTTTGGTCGAATTCTTGGCTCCAATGCTTAGCTCGAACTGCCTGTTGACCACGTTTTCCTGGCGGGTAACTCGGAATGTCTTTGGCCCAAAAGAGGCCCGCACATAAGTAATTCCAGGGGTCGGGCATATAACCCCTGCTACTCCGTACAAAGATTCGTAATTCGGGATGAACTTCAGAGTCGATTGGCAGATATTTCGAGTCATAGGAACTACCCTTGCCCCCGATGTTTCTCCAGACAATTATAGCTCTCAATATTCTTCCTTCCTAGCGGGGTGCCTGACATTCTACCATTACGCCATATTGCTGGCCCCCTTTCGGTACTGTTGAGGTCCAGGATCTCGTCCTGTATGCGCGGTATATTATAGCGCCGATGTCTCCATGTCAACTGGCCTGAAATGCAATTTATTACCCGAATCACTGCCGACCGCCATGATGACATTTGCTCTTGAGCTTGCCTGTATTTTGTATCTAGATTGTCATATGTAATTCCTCTGTATTCTATAGGTCTGAACCCAGAGATCTTGTACTTTATCATCCTTCTGGTACTCCGTATTCTCACATTGTAATGGTCAGGTGCGCCCCCTGGACGCCACCCTCGGGGTCCCCGAGTTAAGCCAGTCACGGCAGTTTCTAAAACCGCCAGTGTGCCGCGATATTACTCCGTAGTGTAAGTATAAAATACATGTTACAAATGCACTATAAACTACAGGCAACAATATGTTATGGCGCACTACCGTACAGCCGAATCCCGCTCCGTGGCACTAATGCACGCTCGACGTCAAGGGACGCTCTTGCTCGTGTCAATCTGACCTAGGCCCGCTAAGTCGCAGGTTACATTCCAATCTTCGAACAAAGCCGAGAGAAAGAAACGTATTCACCATCCACCTAGTTTCCCAGATATCCATCTTTGTATCGATGTGCAATGCTTATATCGTAGTGTATGCAGGTGCAGGTTCCCGACTTTCCGGGTGACCAACCTATAGGGGACCAAAGAATCCATTTGGTGTCGATGTGAATCTGACCTGGGAGTCGATTCTCACAAGACTTGGTGGATATCCTTGGACTTGACCTGATCACGAGTAAGAGAACAGCCCTGAATCACCTGCGTCATCTCAAAAGGATACACAGTCGCTGTAGGGATGTCCACCTATTAGGCGTTGATAAATTGACAAAGAGCAGGAAATTCCATGCAAAGCTAGCCATAACGTCACCGAGTAAGCGCGAGGCCATTTGCTGATGTTGGTCTGGACTTTCTCGGGGACAAGAAAGATAAGACCGAAGACCGAACCCCGCAACTATTGGCTATATAAGCTTCTAGTGGCTGCAATATGCGACGCTAAGAGGTGCTTCTTAAATAAACGGTTACAGCGCAGCGACCCACCGCAAGCTCGTAATTCTCCCCCTAATACATCCCTACTACAGTGCCAAATCAACTACGCCTGAGACCCCGGCTTTCTTAGAGAATGGCGTTCCCATACAAGCATTTCTTGGTTATCGGCGCGACAGCTGGAATCGGTAAGGCCCTCGCGACCCGTCTAATTGAGTCGGGGGCAAAGGTCACCGCCGTGGGTCGGCGGCAGGACCGTCTGGATGAATTCGTACAGACTTTCGGGGCTGCACATGCGAAAGGCGAGCGGTTCGACATTGGAGAGTTGGCCAAGATTCCAGATTTTGTCACAAAGTACGGTGTCTTTCCCGAGGTCCTCACCCGGGGCTTTCCACATACTAACGGGGTGATGGACAACAAATAGGGTGATGAAGGAATCGCCGGATATTGATTCCATTGTGTTTAATGCCGGGGTGCAAAGCCCATACGATCTGACAGATCTCGACAAATTTGATCTGACGGCGTTCCACCTGGAAGTGAAGATCAACTTTTCCAGCTTCATCTCTCTCACCCATGCCCTTTTGCCATATCTTCAGAGGAACCCGAACCCAACTAGTTTCATTTTGTAAGACGCCTACCCGGCCGCAATCCGCGGCAAGAGCTAACGGATGTATTAGTACCGGCTCGAACTTGGCCATCGTGCCTGCCGCCACGCTTCCGGCGTACTCGGCATCGAAGGCCGCCCTGAACGTCTTTACTCTCTGTTTGCGGGAGCAGCTGCGGCACTCGAACACCAAAGTGGTCGAGATTTCCCCTCCACCAGTCCAGAGTAAGGCAACCATGGCCCCATAATGTTGATATTTCAGTGCTGACCCTTGGCTATAGCGGAATTACACGACTACATGGGCGAGGATGCGGGTCGCCAGTTGGGAATGCCCTTGGACGCATTCACGCAGCAGGTTTATCAGGGGCTGGCCGAGGGCAAAGATCAGATTGTAATTGGTAGTATTGGGCCAGTAGACACATTCAACGGGATCGTGGACACTCGTCGCACTGCCTTCGAGAGTCTCTCCAAGATGATGCGTGGTGGGAAGCCCTAGGCAGGCCGCAGATCTGCGGGCGATCAAGAACGTTACATTCTTCGATAGCTTAGAAACCGGCTAGAATGAATGCTACTTACGTTTGAGAGCTCTATACCATCAAGTCTTTGCGTTTACCTTCAGTTCATGTACCCTCTATTCGCCTTTTAGTAAAGCCTTGGGACGCTCGAGGAGCGCCATGATGGGAACCATCTGTGGACCACTGCGGTACATGGAATTACTGCAGAATGCATATCCCGTAGGCCATGGTAATTGTGAAATGACAAATAATCGAGTGACCGACCCCTTACAAACGCGGTCCGAGAAAACTGGTACATTTTCTCTGGGGCTGGTTACCAGGTAACTAGTTTCACCGTGACTGAGTGACTGATCACAGCGGTAGCCCCACAATTGAAGCCCAAGCCCAGTATTTATAGTGCAACATCCCTGGGCTCATGCTGTTTGTATGGAATAGGCGGACGCAAGCCACCAGCGGTCACAAGCCTAACAAAGTCTCTCCTCGCCCATATACATACCCTGAAGTCTTCTTCACCCACCCAGAAGGTTCTGTGGAAGATAATGTGCGATATAAGTATGGCCTCAATCCCTTAGTCCACCAAACCCCGATGTGGTCGATTGGGAAGGCCCAGATGATCCCATAAATCCGATGAACTGGCCTATGAGAAAGAAAGTCGCTATCACCATCACCGCGGCACTGCTCACCATTTTAACATATGAGACTACTTCCCAAGCCCCCTTCGTCAGTAGTTCGGGAACTAAAGTAAAGACAAATCCCAGGCCACTGGGTTCATCAATTGTAGCACCAGCTGCCTCCCAGATCATGGAGGAATTCCAGCAGCCGCAGAATGATGAGTTGAGTACATTCGTCGTCTCGGTCTACCTTCTTGGGTATGATTTTGGACCGATGATCCTGGCCCCTCTGTCTGAATTATATGGACGCAACATCGTCTACCATGTCTGCAATGTACTCTACCTCCTCATGACCATCGCGTGTGCCCTGGCTTCTAACCTTCCGGGCTTCATGGTGTGTCGTCTGCTGGCCGGCGCGGCTGGCAGTGCGCCATTATTCATCGGAGCAGGATCTCGCGGATATTATTCCCTCAAAGAACCGCGGGCTAGCAATGGGTGCGTGGGTGCTCGGTCCTGTCCTTGGACCGGTGATAGCGCCCATAGGTGCGTATCTCCCCAGAATTGGTCCCCTGACGCCTGGAGCATACTGACAGACAGCGGGCGGATATTTGGTAGAGTCAAGAGGCTGGAGATGGACGTTTTGGGGTGCTTGCTATATTGGTAAGTCCATCCTTTGACTCACTAGCTTGTGTATCTAGGCACTTCCTGACAGGGAAAAAAGAGCTGGCGCCTTTTCAATTCTTGCCGTGATTTGCCTGCGCGAAACTCACCCGTACACTTTGCTTCGGAGAAAGACGAAATCTCTGCAAAGGCAGACGGGGAATCGCAACATCCGGTCTACCCTCGAGGCTGGGCAACCTACCTCTAGTCTTTTTATGTTCTCTATTCTCCGTCCCATGAAGATGCCATTTTACTCGCCGATTGTGTCTCTATTAGCCTTATATATTGCCGTGATTTACGGATACCTGTACCTCCTCTTCACCACCTTCCCGTCCGTCTTCCTGGATGTCTACCATTTCTCTTCTGGAGATGTAGGGTTAATCTATCTGGGAATTGGAGTCGGCTCCATTGTTGGTATGATCTTTCAGAGCCTGACTTCCGATATGGTATTCCAATGGCTGAGGGACCGACATGGCTTCTCCAAGCCCGAATATCGCCTGCTGCCTTTATTCTTGTCGTGCTGGATGATCCCGTTCTCGCTCTTCTGGTACGGCTGGGCGGCAAATAAAGATGTGCTTTGGATATCGCCTATTATTTCCACCTCCCTTATGGGATTAGGCATGGTCAACGCTTTTACAGCCGTCTCCACCTACCTGGTGGATGCATATACAGAGTACGCAGCCTCAGCCATCGCTGCAACTATCGTTCTTCGATCTATCATTGGCGCTTTTCTTCCCTTGGCGGGTGGTCCCATGTACAAAACCCTAGGGTTGGGCTGGGGAAATTCTGTCTTGACGTTTATCGCTTTGGCTATGTGCCCATTGCCGTTTCTCCTTTACAGGTTCGGCGAGAGGATTCGGAAAAAGACTTTTGTTACATTGTGAGAGAAGTGACTTTATAAAATAGTGTGACTACTTTACACGCATTGGCAATTGAACATCTCTGAGCTATTTTTCATTACCCATCCTCCTCGGTCTCCCAGACGGATGAACACACACCACTTCCACTCTCTACTTGATGGATGCTTCAAAATCTCCACAGAAGAGCCACCTTGTCTGTGCGGCAACTCCAGTGGACATTCAGTCGTTAATCCGGTGAGGAAACATCTTGATATGCTTTTTTAAGGTCTCATCGTGAGCCAAGATAACGAGGATATTATCTACAGCATCAAGCTCTTGTAGCTTCTTTACCGTGTCCATCGCTGCGTCGAATTCTGGAAAGAGGACGGGGGAGACGTTAAGGAAATGTTCTGTAGCGCTCCCATGGGGATGGAGATGCTGCAGCCAGTCTCCGGGGCATGTCGACCATTGCTGTATTGGTGATGGCTCTACGAGAGTAGGTATGGGCAGGTACTTAGTGGGCCGGAGGACACCGGGATGGTGGAAGGCATCTGCGCCCATGAGGACGTAGGAGTCCTGTCCATCCGGCCCATCTGCCGCTGTGACCCGCGCCAGGCCAATCATATGTCCCACCGGATGGCCCGGTGCGTCGAGAAGGTAGAATGAACCATCTCCGAAGAAGTCAAATGCATCAAAACGGCCAATTCGGCGGTGGTGAGGCGAGCTGCCCGTGAAACTAATTTCCCGCACACGGCGGCCCTGGATATTTTGGTCCAAGACCAACGAGTCCGGATTGGTGGGATATTTCGGCCAACAAACTGACCGTACTCCGGTGCCCATGACTAAGTCAGTGGACTCTGGGAATGTGAACGGGTCCCCGATGTGATCGAAGTGATGATCCGACCAAATTATGGCTTCGATATCCTTGCTCCGAACGACAGGGTCATCCTGGAGCCATCCTTCTTGCGTATCCAGGATCCCCGCTACGTTCTTTTCAACATGGACTCGCGTCGTCTGTTGGATCAGGCGGACCACCTTGGGGGCGTAATTCTCCCAGTCCACGCGCATGCCGAGGTCGAACAGCACATGTCGATTGCCATTCGAGACTAAAAAGCAGAAGTCCGAAACCGTCAGGCCGTGGAGCCCTTTGATCTCCGGTTGCCAAAACAACGGGGGGTTTAGGAAGAGAGAAGTTGTCCTGGGGCCGTATTGTCAACAGGGGATATATGGGATGACAAAGAGATACCCACGAGTCTATCACCCTCACTGTTACAGTGGCGGTTGACGGTGGAATTTGTAGTGGTGGCGGCGTCTTTGGTGGCACCAGATAGGAGGATTCGATCATTTCTTCTCTTGACTAGCGTAAAGATAATATTGGTATGCTGTTAGGGCGAACTTATGCCGTCTTCTGTTTTCTTTTTCCCTTTTTATATGAAACTTTATATTACGATGTCGAAAACTGTGTCAACTGTATCGCTTATTCAAGAAGTCCAAGAAATTTGGCTAGTAGTAATCAGAACTGCAGATTATTTTCCGAACCACCTGCTCAAATCTCTTTTCTTCAACTTCAATAATCACTCAACCTTGTCGGTGCTCCGGCATGTTTTAAATCCCAAGCCAATCAGAGACACAAGATCTTCTCATCACCGCTAATTACTCGGGACCTCTTGATCTCTACTCCGTACTTTACTCGGCACCCCCTGATATCTATTTTACTTGCCACCAGCACAAAATCCACAGTCTTATCGAGCCATTGGACAGCATTTAAGGCACATTCCCACATTCACCTGGAGTCGGCACTTACCTCTAACCAATTTTCCCTCCGCACCCCTTAGTGTAATGCTCAACTTTTGAGTTGGCCAGCAATCGGTTTAAGCTCTGATGCTATATCTTGTTTAGAGATCAGCAAATGGAACTTGCGCAATCTTAAGTGTCTAAAGCATATAGTTTGACAGGGATGTCATCAGAGACCAAAGAGGAAACTGGGTACACTTCATAAACATATCTACGAACTTCGGGGCATAACCATGATAATGTATCCAGCCAACTCAGTCTTATACAAACAAGTCACTAGGGGCCATCCGTCGAGATATTCTCTTCATACCGATTGATCCTGACATCAAGTCCGTATTGTCGGAAAAACCAAGCATTCTCCACTTGATAACTCCGCGGATCCAGAACGTCAAACTGAATTCCATTAGTGCTGTGAAAATCCGAGTGGTTGTAGAACGGGCCCATGACGGTACCTTATATCGAAGCGCCAGTACGGGGATGATCTTCTTCATTTCCAGCAACGCAATCTGACGACCAAGGCAAACACGCCTTCCGGCCCCGAACTATATGCACACCCTTGTCAGTCATTCCTAGTAATAATAATGTAAAAGCCACTTTGGACACTCACAGTCAAGACCCTGGCTTCTAGTTTTCGTTTGTGTTCCAGGGGAACCATCCATCGGGATGGGTTCCAAAGGTCGGCATCCTCTCCAAAGGTGGGCTTGTGGCGGTTAACCACATACGGACTCATTCCGACAACGGTGCCTTCTGGTATGTATATCTCGTCAACCATTATCCCACCCTTAGGAACCACTCGTTCAAATGGCAGGCAGAAAGGAGGATGCAGCCGCACTGCTTCGTTGATACAGGCATCTAGATAGGGAAGATCCGCAATGTCCCTCCACGACGGGAAAGGTTTCGAGAACCCTTTTGGGTTCTTTGCTTCTGCGTCCCGAAGCTCCTCTCGAAGGCGATCCAACGTCTCCGGATGAGAAAGGAGGTTGTGCCACACGGTTCGCAGGACGACGGCCGTGGAATCAGAGCCTGCAATGACATTGGAAAACGTCCAGGCAGTAACACACCTACGCGGACGTGTTAAAGGCACATCACAGCAACGAGGAGTCAATACCTACCACTTTGGAAGGGACGTATCATTCGCTTGGATCTCGAAGAACTGCGACAGCATATCCCGACCACATAGGTCAAGTTCACCTTTCCGGGTGAATTCGAGTGCTTCTCTTCTTTCGGCGATGAATTTGCCGACAATGCTGAGGATAGAGAAGCCAGTAGTTCTGCGAAACATGGCCATAAACGAGTTTTTATACCAGATATCATCAAACCAGGGGATCTGTGTCATCTATGCAAGGAAAGTGCCACCGTGTGTCAGTCTGGTCTCTGAAACTCAAGCAGAGGCTTAGTCCTACCGGTGCGGCTGTCTTCATATAATTCCAGATGGTAGCCAACATTTCGTGCACGTCTCCTCCCTGTTCAAGGAATCCGTATCTCTTTGAGAATGTCAATGTTCCCATCACATCAAAGGCGAAATACTGCAACCAGTCAGTCAGGTCGAAAGATCTTCCAGTCTCTGCAAAACGTTCATCTAGCTGTTGAACCATCACCCGAATAGCCTCGTCAACAAACTCCTCGAGGCGGAGGACATTTGACAAGGAGAAAAGCGGTGCTATCGGTGATTTGATTCTCTTGTGAAGCTCCTCGTCCCGGGTGTTGAAAACGGCCGGTAAGGCCCCTTCTGTCTTCGTGTAAGGCATGAGGGTTCTATAAAAATCGCTCTGCAAAGTAATTCAATCAGCCCCGAAAGTGTCGCTAGCGAGTTGGGTTGTTGTTGACACAAACCTTAGGAAATCCTGGGCGGATTGGGTATATAGTGGGAATCCAATCCGGATTCGCGAGAGAAATCATCTTTGGACCGAAGCGCACTATCTCACCATACCTTTTGTGCACCGCATGATGTATTTCATGGGCCCTTTTCGTCTTCACCCAGAGAACACGCTATATGTTGGTGAACCGGGCCCAGAAAGGTCCCGGGGCATGTCTCAGTTGCCTATAAGTCCGGAAGAGATGAACGAACACCGAAGATAACAGCAGTACCACGAAGGTCTGAGTCCACTGAGTAACTTCAAATAACCATGGCTCTGAAGATGCCATCTTCAAAGGGATTTGAAATATTCCTATGCCTTTGAAGTATTCCCTGGGGCGTAATCAGATGAGATACGCCCAAGTTCCCAGTCCTGATCTCAATACGGGCGTCAAAGTATTCAGTGAAACGTATTTGCTCGTGATATCTTGTTCCTCCTTGTTAGTCATGTATATAATACGAATTTCGAATAATCCGTGTTAACTCAAGGAAGTGGCCCCGAGTAAACGTCGCCGTGTAACAGAGTGGCACCGAGTAGAGCAGAGTAGAGCAGAGTAGGGAAACGGCTGGGAGACCGCTCCGCCGAAATGTTTGTCGCTCCAATTTGTGCGCGTTTATCATGATAGGCTTGGATAGGGCAATTGCATATGAGATGACTGGGTAAAATGTCACCAAAATCTTCCTCGGCCTTAGACGATGGTTGGAAAAGTAGTAAAGATGATAACCCACTACGAAGGGGCATAGGGATAAATAAAAGGCGGTTTATAATTCAAGCAATAATTCCTAATTTGGACGAAAATTAACAAAATACAGTCTATTTATCACTGACCGCTATGCCCCTTCGTACTCGTGAATTCACTCTGCCTGACCCTGAACTCGATCCCTTTCTGGAAAATATCAACTCCCATGAGACTACTGCATTCTCTGCAGTCGGGTCGCTGAGAGCCTTTATAAGTGGTCGAGTCAGTCATCACTTTGGATAGACCGGCCCATCGATCACATTTGACACTGCGTGCTCCTCGGGGGCAGTAGCAATTCACTCCGCGGTTAATGTAAGTAATCAAGATGAGATACATTTAGGGATTTATCAACAGCTAACCGCACAATAATCAGGCTTTGAAAAGTAAAGAGGTATCCATGGCTGTGGCCGGAGGCGTGAACGTGATTACTAGCCCGGTTTTGTATCAAAACATTGCTGGGGCATCTTTTCTGAGTCATAATGGCGCCTCAAAGGCCTTCGATGCAGGCGCCAACGGCTACTGTCGAGGAGAAGGGGTCGGAGTAGTGGTGCTTAAAACCCTTACTCAGGCTATTGCTGATGATAACTCCGTTCTCGCGGTTATCAGAGCGTCGGCTGTCAATCAGGCGATGAATTGCGGCCCCATCACGGTCCCTGTTTCAGCGTCCCAGACCTCGTTGTACCGGAAGGCACTATCGACGGCTGGAGTTGATCCAAGAGATGTCACGTATGTTGAAGCACATGGAACAGGTAATCTACTCCCCGTCACCATGCAAATACAACGATTAAGCTGACAAAAAATTCTCAAGGAACGCCTGTAGGCGATCTAATAGAATGCGAAAGTGTGCGCCAGGCGTTCGGAGGGCCCCAACGCGAACATGAACTGTTTTTTGGGTCGGTCAAGGACAACATCGGACACACTGGGTCAGCATCCGGTGAAGAACCAAATCTATAAGTTACTGGAAGAACAGGGCCTGATCGAATGCAACGCTTCCGGTCAATTCAGACGGACCAAGAAACCAGCGCCCCTCGAGCAGCCTGAAAAGTTGCTGGAGTGGATCATCTCGAAGTTCCCGCAGCATGCATTTGAGCACACTCTACTCGCATCCACGGGCTCCAAACTCGCCGAATGTCTTTCCAGGAAAGCCGACCCACTGGAGATACTCTTTGGCATTATCAAATCCAGAGCCTTGCTGGAAAACGTCTACACCAACGCCCCTATGTTCGAAAGTGGCACCCTGAGCTTGACACAGTATCTTGTGGGCGTGTTTCAAGCCTTTGGTGAAAGAAGACCGATCCGTATTTTAGAACTTGGCGCAGGCACAGGAGGAACCACCAAACGGCTTGTGGAGGCTCTCATCACCACTGGAAAAGAATTCGAATACACATTCACTGACATCTCGGCCTCGCTGGTGGCGGCTGCACGGCGAACGTTTGCGCAACACAGCTTTTTCCATTACGCGGTTATAGACATCGGGCAAGACCCACCGACACAGTACCAGAATCAGTACGATATCGTTATCTCAACGAATTTTATCCATGCCACGAAAGATTTGACCGTCTCGTGCACAAATGTCAACAAACTGCTGCATTCAAACGGCCTACTGTGTCTGGTGGAGCTCAGTCGAAACTTATTCTGGTTCGACCTTGTCTTTGGTCTCCTTGACGGATGGTGGCGCTTCGAAGATGATCGTCAACACGCATTGGCGAGCGAAAGCTTGTGGAGGAAATGTCTCACGCGATCAGGATTCCAGTGGGTGGACTGGACGGCAGGCGTCATGGAGGAATCGAGCATTCTCCGTGTCATTGTTGCTTCGCCCTCTAATGTCATTCACACTACGACAGAGACGGTCGAGTTCAAACGAGTGGGAGACCTTTCCCTCATGGCAGATATCTACTATCCTCAAATTGTCGTCAGCCGCGACAAGAGGCTTCCAGTTGGTGAGAGAACTGCAAACTTGCTAAAAGAAAAAAAGAAAAGAAAAAAAGAGTCTTTGATTGACTAACATGATGGATTTTCAGCTCTAATGATCCACGGAGGAGGTCATATCATGCTGTCGCGGAAGGACATCCGCCCCTCGCAAGTTGAAACACTACTCGATCACGGCTTTCTTCCTGTCAGTATAGGTTACCGACTGTGTCCGGAGATCACCTTGTCGGAGGGCCCAATGATCGATGTATACGACGCTCTTGCATGGGCACGTACTGTTCTGCCCCGTCTTCCACTCCAGCGTCGTGATATTGCTATTGATGGCGAGTGTGTTGTGGCGATTGGCTGGTCTACTGGAGGCCATCTCGCTCTTACACTGGGATTTACATCGTCGCTGAGGACAATCCGACCTCTTGACGCCACTCTGGTGTTTTACTGTCCACTGGACTATGAGGATCCGTTCTGGAGCGAGCCAAATTCTCCTTCGGGGATAGTGCATCACCGAGCACACTTATGCAACACGACCTTTTGCATGGCGTGCACGACAACTTATCACGGCCTATAACCCACCGAAGTCGAGGCGGGCTCTAGATGGATGGATGGCACCTAGCGATGACCGGTCATTGATCGCGCTGCACATGAACTGGAAGGGCCATACGCTGCGGATTTTGCTAAATGGCTTGTCAAGACACTCAGGGGTAAGGTCTAGCGATGAGCTCCCTGAGCCAACCCAAGTATAAATCCAAGCTGTGAGCCCACTGGCTCAGATACGCCGTGGTGCATATACCACCCCTACTTTCATCATTCACAGCACGGAAGACGATCTTATTCTCTGGAAACAGGCGGTGAGAACTTTTGAAGCACTGCGACAACGCAACGTCATTGCAGACCTCCGCATTCTCGACGGTGCAGAGCGCCTTTTCAATCTCTACCCATCTTACAAAGATGATTTGCAGGCAGCAAAAGCTGTACAGGATGGGTATGAATTTCTTCGTAGGCACGTTGGACTGTGATTAGATCTCCTTCTGTGGATATTTTGGCATCCATCTTATTGTACTTGGAAAGAGCATTACCCTTGTGGATAGATATGTGTTATTTTTGGTTATGTGAGGCGAGGTAAACTGTCAAGTTAACTAGTCGTGGCACTAAGCATCACTAAGCAATCAGACCTCGGGAGATCATCCAATGAACACTAAGCAAGCATCAGTTTTCACGTGACTGACTATCACTTGACTCCGTGCTGACACATGTACTTAGCCTGAACTTACTTAGTTAGCCTGAACTCTCATAAAAGCGACAGATCAAATAGGAAAGCCCTAGAGAAAATCCAGTACGTATGTTGTATAGTGCATAGAGATTTTCTGCTTTTAGAAGTATTATAGTGATATAAAGATATGTGCAATCTATCAAAATTCAGTCGCATAGCATACCACTTGTAAACCCAGAGTCCATATATATATGTGTTGTATCAGAGGCCCGAGATAGTCCAAATCCCTATTTGACCTTTCCCTTACAGATTATGTAAACGCGATATTATGGGACTTGCTAACCATTCCATTCAATACACATCAAGCTCCAGCACTTTGAGACCAAAGCCGAAAGCCGATCACTCCTGTTCTTCCTTCACAACCGAGGTCTCATCCTTGCCTCGAGATACCACGAACAAAGAAACAAGTCCATACTAATCTCGAATAGGAAGAGTTCGGAGGCACCATTCGTCTAAAGAGCCATATTCCCCAGGAAAGTTTGACTTCCCTTATCGACTCTCACCTGAATTGTTCCCTACACAAACTACAACTTGACACAACTCAAGATCCCGTACGGCACACCATCCACTTCCCAATAAACAGCATGTTCAATATAATTCTTTACCAATTTGTCTACCATCCCAGCCAATGCTATAAATGCCGGTATCTTTCAACCTTATGCAAAACCGAACCAGACCAAAACATAACGCTCAACGCTCAACGCCTAGTAATGTATCCCAACGATAAAACAGACGCCACTCGAAATCCAAAAATCTAGCTGGTCACCCACGTCACTTTCTCACACTGCCCTATCCGCCCCACCGCAGCATCAACCCGCCACAACATCGTCCCTGACTGCGTGCCTGGTTGGGGCTTCCCGCGCAGTACCGCGTCTGACGTTGTGCAGCGCATGTCGGCTGTCAGACGGTACTGGACGCAGTTTGGGTCTGCGGCGCAGTAATCCGCGCAGGCGGCGAAAGAAGTGGGCGTCGCGGGACCCTTGTAATCTTCTTTGTCGTCACCGGCGCTCGCGAGGTTGTCCCAGTTGTCTAGGTGGTCTGCGAGGGTTGGACGGATGAGATTGCGGAAGATGTCACTGTATGTGAGGACGCTTGAGTTTGTCTAGGGTTTGTCAGTGACATGTTCACATATTACAGAGAGATGGATATCATAATATCCGAATACGGGGTATCCAAAAAGGGGAAAAAGGAAAGCAACTCACATCCGCAAACCACTGCTGCTCGAATTCCCAAAACCGATCCACATCCGCCGGCGTCATATGGTGGAAAGTCGAAGGAGCAAAACACCAAGGCGTCTTCCCAAACGCCTCATGCAACATATCCTGCTCCCAAACCGACTGAGTTGTAACCTGGGGCCAAGACCAAGTAAGCCCAACACCAGCCGCATCAAGCGCCATGCCAAGAACGCAATCTCCCGCCCATTCCTGATCAGTGATGGCATCCCACTCATCAATATGCAATTTATGAAAATCCGCCACAGCATGAATAGCAGCATGCGAAAGCACAAAGCCTGACCCACCATGCGCAAACAGATTCTCTCCGATCTGCATCTGATTCCCTAGATACAGTCTATCCTCGGGATTGAAATGCGCCAGCCACCCGAGCACATTCGGCCAGATCGGATACGTGTCTGCTTCGAGGAACACGAACCACTTCGCATCTGGCTTCTCGCGTCGCGCGGTATGAATCATCGGGAGGAACTTCCACTTGTCCAATTTCCAGCCCGGGTTATCGGTCATGCCAGAGGCGCTATTTTCGACTTTCGTGTGGTCTTGTTCTGTTAGGGCTGTGCGGCCTCCTTCGCGGGCGCGATTGTAGAGGGCGAAATCGCCGTTACTTTGTTTGAGGGTGTCGGAGACGTTGAGGAAGACGTCGTGTGTGCGTGTTCCGGCTATGTCTTCTTCGAAGTCGGAGACGATTATCTTGTGCGGGACGCAGCGGAGGGTTGTCCTGAGGTGGACGGGGACTTTGTGTTGCGCTTCTGTGATGCCGGTTTTCATCACTACGAGCACTTCATCCATTCCTGTTTCTGTTGGACAGGATGATGGTACATGTTCGGTTTTTGCGGTTTCATTGTGTGCTTCGATTGTTAGACCTGCGGCGGGTTCGATCACGTCCTGCGTGGTATTTGAGCCGAAATCGGCGTGGATGAATTGGAGGATTAGGAGGATCAGGATTACTGGGGCCAGAATGAGTACCCAGCGACCATATCGGGGCGGGACTGAGGGCATGTTGAGGGGTTGGAGTTGTAGGACTCTAGAGGTAAAGAGGAACAGGGTCGAGGGGGTTGATGGATATAAGAGGATCGATCTCCATATCCAGATGGAGACCTAAGTACAAAATAGGAAGTTGAGAGGATCCTCAGGAGGGGGGTCTCGAAGTAGTTAAATGATAGGCGCGTGGGGGCTGGCTAGGTGATGCAGGTTCCAGTTTATGTACATTAGGTGACATCCACAGTTGCACATTTATTCCCGAGTGTTTTAGCAGACACGAGACACAAATCTATGATGCGTACCAATAAAATGTATCCCGATCCTTGTTTTTATCCTGCTGTGCTATGTCCGTGTCTCGGAACCCTCAAGACTTTTTGTTGCGTACGTCACCATAAAATGTGGGTCCGATGATCTGAAACGTGTGCATATATATTGACCCTATATTGATCGATAGGTAAAGGGGGGTTTCATGTTGAATATGTAGAGTAGATTATAGGATTTATAAGATGTATCAGATGTTGGGGAAATTCACTTTTTAGGGTTACGATTTTGCTTGGCTGCACCAGTCCACGGACTAGACTACACATCCATAGATGTACATGTACGCAGATTTGAATCTGCCTTGAAATGTATTGGAATGAACCAAAGGGATTTTTGCAATTTTTGTTGTCATTTCAGAGAACAATTCTCTCGCTTCACAGCGCCCGGCACTATGACAGGGCCCGAGCCGGACATGCCATGCACAATCCTTAAATTTCGTTATCGCCAGAGAGATAGTATCGCCATACAAAAACCCCGACCCACACCAATCCGAACTAAAAGGAAACAAACTGGGTTTATTCCATTTAAGCCTCGGTGGTGACACGACCCTTAGCGTTAGTGACCTTAACGCCGAGAGCCTTGGCCTTCTCGACAATCTCGACACGCTTGCGGGAAGAGACGGCGTGGCCGATCCTGTAAAACCTATTAGCAACAGAAATATATATAGAGAGCGAATAAGATCGCTCTGCTAGATGGCGTGGGACGTACTCAGCAGCGAAGGTGCGGTTGTGCATGAGGAGGAGCTCAACGTCCTTGGTGTTGTGGACGAGGAAAGCCTTGTGGCCGGAGGGCATCATGTGGCGGGTCTTCTTGTTGGAACCGAAACCGATGGAGGGCATGGCCATCTGGCCCTTGAAACGGCGACGAACGCAGTTATCAATACCCTTGGGCTTGCGCCACGAGGCGCCAACGCGCATGAACCGGTCAGACTGGTGACGGTTGAAGCGGTTCGTGCCTAATTGCGGTTCATGTTAGTCCTCCAATCGTGAATGTCAATAATTTGTGCCCTCTTCGGCCTCCGTGGCCCTGCAGATAATGTCGCCCTTCGATCCAAGACCGATGTTGATTATTATTTTTTCTTTCATAGCATCCTCCAATAGTCGTTCTCTTCGTTTGGTGCATCTTGTTGAGCTTGCTTTGTTTCATTTGGTCGACGATCGAAAGGCGATGGTATCCAGGGCACGGGCACGAAAAGGAATGGAACAGGTGATCGGGAACATACGCTTCTTCACGATAGGGATGTGCTGCTTAGCGGCGGCCATCTGGAATCAAAATTAGTGACTGTGTCGAATATCATGCGCATTTGGTGACTGACCTTGTCGGTATTGCTGGGTCTCGCCGGGCGTTCGAGAGTTGTCGGGTCGGAGTTCAATCTCGAAAACTTCTCTCTCAGGTTCTCCCGCAGCAGAGTGGGAGACCCACACTAGTGCGCTTTGGGCGAACTAAGCGAAAGTAGACCACTTATGTCAGCCTAGGGCTGACATAGCACTAGCCCTATTATTCCTATTTGGGCAGTATCTGATGTTCTATACTGTACCTCATGGTCCCTTCTATCTTTCTTATGCTACGCATTCATGCTAGGATTTCAATATATTTGAACATTTATGCATTTATGCATCTATGACGCTTGATTCTAGAATGATTTCTATATAGCATTTAAATATCACTGCAAATGCAACTGGACCTTCTCGCCATCTTTCTCGCCACTCCGCAACATCTGCTCCAAGATCTCAAGATCGGCCAACGCTTCCTCGGGAGACTGTCTGCTGTCAGGTTTTCCACTCAGAATTGAGTTTGCAAACTCTGCCACCTCTGTCACAACGCCCCTGCCATCAAACTCAACATGGTGCTTCTCGCCATTGACTGTCACATCATCAAAGTTCAAGGTGACGACGCCTTTCTCGCAAGCAACCTCGAAAATCTGATCATTAAATGACGATCCCCACGACAAAGAGATAACACCCGTAGCACCAGATTCAGTCTTCGCAACAGCATCTACTGTATCAACCGGGGGGAGGAATGATTGCTGCAGCTGCGAATGCGCCGACAGAATGCTCAGACGCTCCGTGGGGCCTAGAATCAGGCGCAGCGCAGCAGTCATATGCACACCACCGTCCAAAAGGAATCCACCCTGGTACTCAGGAGTCTTGCGCCAGGCGGTGTCTAGTTCAAATAGTCAGTTTCCGTAAGATCCTCCATGTAGAGCCTCAACTGGGACTGAACGTACGGAAGTACTTGTTCTTCACATCCATCAGGCTGTGAACGTTCACGCGGAAGTTCTGAACCTTGCCCAACTTTTGGACCTGCTCTGCCGCGAAGAGGAACTTGGTGATATATCGGAAGTTCTCGGCAACGGCCCAGAAGACCTTGCTGGTATCGATCTCACTCTTGTACCATTTCAAAAGTTCTTGGGCAGTGGCGACATCCTTAGCAATGGGCTTCTCAGACAATACGTGCTTGCCAGCGAGAAGTGCTTTCTTGATGAACTCCGGCTGAACCAGAATAGGAAGGCTGTCGAGTCAAGAGTTAGTGTTTCGGCCTGTTGTTTAAGCGGAATCTAGAGAAATGGGGATTCCGTACGCAATGATCACAGCGCCGATGTCTGAACGAGCCAATATATCGGCATAGGACTTTCCAGAGCCTGAGTCTTCGGAGTAGAGATCAACCTCAGAGGTGCCGCTAGCGAGGTCCTGGGCTGACTTCAAGGACCGAGAATAGATGGCCTTGAGTTCGAAGTTTGAAGCAGCTTGGACAGCGGGCTGTGTGATAAGTTAGTAAAGTATATTATATAGATGATAATCCCATTGGGAAGTTTGTCATACTAGGTGCTGCTCTTTCGCAAAGAGACCTATTGAAATGTTAGTCAATACAACTTAAAGTGTACATGAGAACTGCGTACCACTCCCGATGATAGCGACGCCGATAGACATGATTATTTTCAAGGTTGTATATAGAGAGGATAAGATAAAATGTCAAATGTTACTTTTTCCAGTACTTCCGGTCCTATTAAAGGAAGTTTCGACAATGTGGGGACGTGAAATGTCCCCAGAGCCACTCTAAACTACGGGAAGGTCCAACCTCGATGCACGTCATTCGCCGGGTGCATTTCCTATTTGGTCTATCGGATGTCTTATTTGACTTACAAGGTTTTGTCGGGAGTATGATTTAGGACTAGTTTCATATATATATGTATATGCTACTTTTATACGAAAACCTACAGACGCCGTACGGAGACTCCGTGATAGATCGGGTTCAAGAATTTAATTATGACTCCCAAACTATAGAACTCCATCCAATTGCGCCGAATATCGACCCAATCCAAAACCCCCAAACCTTACCAAATAGACGCCTAATCATTTCCATCATCAAATAATCCAATCGTACCAGTCATAAAGCAGACAAAAACCAGAGCGTCAAACCCAAAAGCCTTCCAAGGATTGAAACCATCATTGATGATTAACCAAAGCCCTCAACCGTTCCACGCGAGCCATAGCCTTCTCCAACTTCTCCAACCGACTGCGCTTCTCAACATCCCTCCTCTCCAACACAGCAACCCTCTCCTCAAGCTTCGCACGAGCCCTCCTCTCCTCCGCAACCATCTCATTCGCCTGACTGAAAAGCTGCACAGTCAACTCTTCTAGCTCGGTACTCGCCTGCGAAAGCTGCGACTCGGCAGCCTGGCGCAGTCTCTGTTCGCGCGTAAGCGCATCCTGCAGTTCGGCGGTGTGCTCGCTGTTCGCGGGGGACATGTGTGGGATGGGAGTTGTCAGTGCGGTCGGAGTACTTGGGATACCGCTGGATGTTGTGGGTGCGCTTGCGGGGGTTGCGCTACCGCGTCGGTAGGGGAGGAGAGAAGCGAGGTTTGTGAGGCGGCTATGATATGTTTGGGGTTGGGAGTCTGAGGTTGTTGGGCGCTGTGGTGACTGGTCGGTTTGGGAGGGAGGTCTTCCTAGTGAAGAGCTGGTTCGTGGTGTGTGGTAGGATCCTTGGGGTTGGGAGGAGCGTAGACGTCGGACTTCTTCTTCGTACTCGCTGAGTTTGGAGGCTGTTTGCGATCGGGTTAGCAATGCTTATTTTAAGGGTGAAAGAAGGGAAAGAGAGAAAAAAGGCTCTCCTGTCCTCTCTGTAGATACGCGATCGCATTCATGCTACGTCTCTTCAGAGAGAGTCGAGTGCAAAGGCTTACCTGTAGCTGACGCGCGCGCTGTCAACGCATGCACCTGCGCCTCTAACTCCTGGATTCTATCGTGGGCGCCAGAACCATCTTGGAGAAATCCTTCTCCCCAGCACATAGGACATTGTTTTTCTGATGCGACACCCATCGGTGCGACAAGCGTGGTAGTGAGGGAGGACATGACAACATGGGGCTTACCCCGGGATTCTTGAGGGGTTTAATTTTAAGGGTCAACGGTTAGACGTTTAGACGAGGGTTTTTAAGAAGTACCTAAGTACCAACAAAAATAACGAAAAAGAAATTGAAAGGCTGAAATTGATAATCCTTGGACCCTTTGAAGGGGTTTCAATTAATTCCATACCGGCCACTTTATTTCTTGGCTATTATTTCATTGGTTCCTGAATGATCTCATAGAAAGTTTTGATTTATATGGATCTTTGACTATCAAAACAAAGTGATCGAGAATAGGCATTACCTACTATACATATGTAAATTGTATATACTAATGTACATCTTGCACATCTGCCTCGTTGCACTGATATCCCACGTTCTGACCGTTTGAGACTAGTGGATCCTATTTATATACCCTTGCTTGATAATAGTCTAGGTGAATGAACTATTTACTTATGTCTTGCAGACAATACTAAAATTAGACATATAGGTACGGAGTACCTACTTATAAATACTATTCATTGAAGAAAAGTCCAACCACCCCATTTCTTCAAGGTAACTGATCGACCACGTTCTGATACACTAGTGCCTTGGAACCACTGTCAGAGATATAAAGGCAAGGGTCAAGTACCTTGAACAATGATATTGTAACATATTTATAGCCTCTCACTGTATGTATCGTCTAAAACGTCCTCCATAATACTCTAGAACAAATCCTACAAAAACCCATTGTCAGTGAAGACTGCATTTCATTCTATGCTAAGCGGAAATTCAACTCAAAGGTTAGTACGCAGAAATGGAGCAAAGACCATCGAGACAACTCTGCCATGCAAAGATCCCAAAGAATTGAATTAGAAGCAGTCGAAGCAAAAGAACATGAATTGATTTCGTCAACGTTGTGCTCATGAGAGGGGTGCTCGTAATGACTATTCTCGCAGAGTCGTCTTGTTCGCATGGCCGAGAACGGAAAAACATTGAAGAGTGTCAAGACATCAACTCCCCAATGTAGATCCCAACGGCAGACAGGAACGAGAAAGAAACAGGACCACCCGTGGTCAATCGAACGGAAGAGAGGAGAAAATTGAGAGAAACAAGAAAGGGGGAAAAATAAAATGGAACATGTAATATTCATTTCGCATCGGCTGTAATGGTCATGGGCAGATCACTTTGAGTCACGCATGGGAATAATAGCTAGATAGCGAACAAGACATAAAATGAAACTTTTCGGACTGCCAGATCATCGAAGCGAGGACTAGATGTATGTCGAAAAAATCTAGCCCACGAAAAAGGAAAAGAGATCATGAAACCAAAGGGCAAAAGAGTAAAGGGAAGTGGAAAGGAGAATAAAGCTCAATCAGAAAAAGCAATCTACGTCCGCACGGAGGAATGGACGGAGCAGGTGGTAATTATGAGTGACAAACCTGTACAGTGCACCGCTCCAGGTAACTCGACCGAGCAGCGCACCAAGACCGGAATGAACCTCGTCCAGAATTAGCCCACCTGCGTACCGATAAATCCAGGCCTCGGGCAAAGACGGCTGTTGCTTCGGGGTATCGATACGTTTATGCGAATCCACGACCAGTCTGTCCACGGCCCTTGTTGCGCTTGTTTACGCTGACCGTGCTCCATCCCTCGTCGTCACCGCCAGCAGCAGCACCAGCCTCAGCGGCCGGGGCTCTCCAGCCGTTAGCGGAGGCCTTCTTGGTTTCGGCAGGAGCGGCAGCTGCCGTCTCCTCGGTCTCCTTGTCGGCGCTCAACTCGCCATCCTCACCGGCCCGTTGGAGGATCTCAAAGTTGCCACCACCCTTGGGGGTCTCAAGAGCATCCTTGCCGTTGTGGTCCACAGCAGGGGCGGACTCCTTGGCCTGCTTTTGCTTCTCAGCAAACTTTTCGGCCTTCTCGGCCTTGGCCTTATCAGCAGCTTCCTGCTTTTGGCGGATAGCAAGCTGGCGTCTCTCCTCGACCTGACGCTCGCGGGTAGCGGTGTCAATGGGGCGAGCGGCACCGAAGGGGCTGGCCTTGGAATCGCTAGTGGCTGAGGCGGGGGTGGGGTTCTCTGAGACAGTGCGCTTGGTCAGGTTCAGCTTGGGGCGGCCAGCAGGGGCAGCAGGAACGGCAGGAGTGGCAGAGGGGGAGGCGGGGCTGATGGGCTCCTTGGGGGTTTCGTCGGGGCGCATTCTCGCGCGCCACTGGTTGTCCATATCGGCAGCAGTAGGTGTAGGCTCCGGGCGAACGTGCTCGGGGCGGGGAGGGCGGGAGCCCTCGTCCTGGGAACGTCCCTCACCCCATGCGGCCTCTGTTCTCCGGAAGCTGGAACCGGGTCCGTCGTTGCTGTGCTCGCGGCCACCCTCGCGAGGCGGGCCACCGGCAGAGGGCGAAAGGGGTCCCTTGCGCTCCCAGTTGTTGAAGTCACGGGGCTTTCCGTCGGACTCGAAGTTGCTGCGGCGGCCACCGTGGTCGCTGCCCGCATCGGAGCCGCCACCCATGCCACGTCCGAAGCTGGAGCGCTCAGGCGCACGGCGTTGGGGAAGTTCGGGGAGGGGGCCACGTCGGGACCAGTCAAGATCCTTGCCTTCCAGGCGAGATTCCTTGGCTAATTAAGGTGTCAGTAGAGATCTTTGCAAGCCCACCAACCTTCAGTACTTACGAGGCTCCGCAACACTGGTACGGATGGAACGTCCCTGGAGAGACGAGCCAGACAGATCCAGAGCCTTCTGCAGGCCCTCGACGGTCTCAAACTCGACATATCCGAAACCCTTGGGGGCCTTTGTCAACTTGTCCTCGACGAGACGGACGCTCGTCACGCCACATGCAGAGAAAAGCTCGGAGATATCGGCCTCAGTTGATTCGAAGGAAAGATTGCCAACGTGGCAAGTGTAGGGGGGCTGGGTGGGGAGATCAAGAGGCTCCCGGACGGCATATCCACCACGCTCGCGCTCTAATCATTCAATCTGTCAGAGGCTGTTCTGTGTATCTAGCGCGGGGGGGCATCATACCAAAACCGCCGGTGGAGCCAGAGCCGAATGCCAAATCACCCGCGGGGCGACGGCTGAAGGTGGATGTCAAAGGCTGGGCTGTTCCATAATGTAAGTAAGGGTTTCGATCAATAAGCACGTTGGGTATCGGGCACACTACATACTGGCTATAAATTTTGTTAGTATAATTTCACAATTTCCAATAGTGGGGCTGCAACTTACAAGGAAGGGGCATATCCTCCATCTCATCAGCCCAAGAGCCAAGGCCTATAGCGGTCAGTAATCACCTCAATCATCCAAATTTTCCGCTCACTCACTTTCATCGGCCAAGAAGGTGCTCATAGACATCTTCTGGGCTTTGTTTTTGGGAGCTAATATCCATCATGTCAGCAATCGCCCGTGAATATTTTCGCCGACAGGTCCATGTTATATCGGGAGAAATAAAGGTCTGGAACGAACCCATGATTGCGGTTGAAGTTGGGGGAAACGCGCCAACGGATTTGTGCGCGCTTCTCGGAGAGTAGGGTTGAGTGGAAGGAAAAGTTAAAAGATCAAAGACACCTGGTTAGAAATCCAAGAATCAAAATCTGAATCAGGTAGTGTTAGGTTTAATATCTGCAAACACACAGTGGAAAAGTTGGTAGAGGGGAAGTCGGCTGCGGCATGGAAGTGGACGGGTTACTAAATTTTTAGTGATGACGCTAGCCCAATCAGAGCCGCGAGATCGGTCTATACCTGAACTACGACCATCTTCGAATCCGTTGGTATTCTACTTAAAATTGAGAAATAGAGTGGAAGTATTAGGGTATTCATGCTTTTGTTTGCTTCCAAAGAGCAAAAAAATTCTCAGAAAAAGTTATAAGGCGGAAATCATATCTTATCTGTGTACAACGGTAGACTTCTTCATACTCGGCTAAAAATATAACATGAAATATACTAAAAAATAGTACAGAATACATGACTTCATTCCTGTTTTAATTTGATTGGCTCACTTTCTGTCATCCCAGAAGGAGTTGCTTTGCAATAGCCTCAGTTACTTGTAAGAATTGACAGTATGACAAGTCCGACTTATAGAGCGTTTCATCTCAGCCTTGAGTTCTATTTGATATACTTTACTAGAGCCTCTGGTATTAACCTACTATATAGGTACTGGTATGGCCCACCCCCATACCAATATACAATACTTAAGAGCCTCTACACTAATCGTAGATATTCCCACCCCTTCTGGTAGTCATGTGGCTATGGTTTAAACCCTAAGTATTGATCTATAAAGATACTTTTACTCGTATAGAGTCATAGCAGATCAAGCATAGTAAATGCCAATACTAATGGATGGTTTTAGTACTAATAGCTTTGATAAAAGCACTGATCGAACGCTACTCTAGTATTCAAAACTACCAAGGAGACATCCAGGGATATGGTATTCCTGAAGATTGTACGACAAGCAGTGGACGGGATTATACACTTCGTCGGCCTGATTTCTAAATCTTTGTATGACAAGAATGCAATAACATTGCAAAGCTAGCTTAAATAGAGATCCGAGCTTTGACATTAACAGTTAAGCGTTTTGGCGTAGTAATAGGGAGTTCCTGGATATTGCACCTCGTATCAAAGTGGAGGGCTGGCCTTCGAGCCAGTAGGAATGAATAACAACAGTTTGAGGGGAAAATAAAGATCGTGGGGCTGACAGTCTTGCAGGCGATCATCTGCTGGACATGTGCAATGTGGGGATATATCTATGGATCTTCACCCTCTTCATCCGCCATTTATCTTCAACAGATTTAAACAAAACCAGTCGCTATACCTATAACGAGAATACAAAACATGAGCAAATCACTTAATTGTTTTTTATACCAATTTGAACCTTGCTGTTTATGCCCTAATTCGTCCAGGGCCCAGGGGCGAGAATATTACATAATCCAGGCACATCAACTGGGCACGTGACTATATTCTTTCTGACTTGGATTGCTGCTTTGATGAGTGCTTCGATTGTAAATTACCACTCCATGACCCTTGCATCCATGCATCTTTCAGTTTGAACAAAGAATGGGTGAGCATAACAAAGATGTGCAGGACTTTCAGTCCCACGCCCTCCTGTCTGCAGCCAAAGTTGGAGCCATCAGCGGTTAGTATCTGTCCTTCACAAAATTGGTTGGATACAGACACAATGAGTCCTTGAAGATGAAATGCTGATTTTTGAACTAGGAACTGCTGGCCTGATTTATGGAGGAGCCGCTGGTGTCATCAGATCTCCCAATCCCATGATCCATTCATTGTCATGTGGCATCCACTGGTTTGCATGCGGCTCAGCCTTTTGGTGTATGTGGAGACACCCTATGTTTATATCGTGGTGTCTAACTTTAATCATGGAATAGGGCTGCGAAGCAACATCATTAAACATCATTATCAAGACAAAGCCTCTCCGAAGGAGCGTACGTACGCGAGTGCTTTGTGCGGTGGCATTGCCGGCGGAAGTGTAACGAAGTTGATGGGTATCGTATACCGCATCGAAAGCACATCTTGCATCGTGTCTAACTAAATCATACAGGAGGCCGGCTGGTTCCGGGGGCTATCATTTTCTCATTACTCGGCTACTGCGGCCAGAGCGTCTTCAACCGAGTGGACGCCTGGCAAATGGAGAATGCACACAAGACATCAAAACCTCTGATGCAGCGAATGGCTGACTCTAAATGGATTCCACTCCGCTCTCTCTCTGACGAAGAATACAGGGGGATGTTGAGTGAAAAGCTGCTTAGCATCGAGGCTGAGATTGCTCTTCTTGATGACAAGATCCAAGAACTGGAGAAGTCTCGACCAGTCCCAGATTCAAGCTCAAAGTAATACTGTCTAGGTATACCTTCTAAACACCAAGTCTAGTGTGTGACCATGCAAGGTTTGGACAAGGGTATCTTTGAAGTGCACGGACAGCAATGAAGCATTGCATGTGTCAAGTACATTTGAAAGGACACGTGATACGGAAAATGTAAATTTATTGTACGATAAGAGACAAAGAGAAAGTGGGAGAAAGAGCCAAGAATAATGAATATAAAGCCACTCAGCCAGCCTTGGAGAAGTCTCCAGGGCTGACAGGATGATCTCCCCTGAACCTTGGGAATCCTTTGGGTCGCATGTCGATCACATATGAGATAACTATATAACATTTGAACATTGTACAGAGTATTAGATTGGAATACACATATATATAATAGATGTATAATATTATTAAGAAAAAGAACAAAAGGCCAGAACAATTAATGTAAAAAGAAGCCGGTTTTGAGAGAGAAATAACTAGCGTTTCCGCTTTTTTTGGTTCCTCCGACCTGTCCGGTAGCCCACCCTCTCTCATTCTCCCTTACCCTTGAGTTCTCCCCCGGCATGATTCGCCTACACTCATTTGATTCGAATCAGCCTGCAGTGCTAATCCTACTGAGACTTTGATGGACAAAGTCGCTGCTGTTCTGGAGTCTGGAATCACTGATTCCAACCAGACGGACAGTAGAGACCGGGGGATCTAATAACAGCTTGAATCCCGATCCGACATACCCTCAATGTGCAAGTCGGCACTGCCTGTCTGAGATCAGCCCACTGCTGATCGCAAACCGCGATGACACTCTTTAACCCGACATCGATTCTCGTGGGATTCCTCCTCCTTTACCTCTCGTCCTTTTTCATCTTCGCTATCGTCCGGATCGCGACGGGCATCTCCATTCAACGGATCGGATACTTTTCGCTTCGTCGAATTGCGTACACCCCGAGAGAAGGAATTCACATTGAAATCCGCGGCATCGGACTCGCGTTACATCCCTCGTCATTTGCCCAGCCAACATGGATCAGCATTCGGTTGACGGAACTGAAGATTACCGTGGACTCGACAAATCTGGGGCAAGGAAAACGCGAAGCGCCCCGCGACACATCAGAACCTCTCGGTCCCACCAGCCCACCCGAAAATTGCGCCGCGCCCGAACCTGACGGAAGAAGCAAAACATGGAGGACGTTAACACGAATCAAGGATCATGTCAAGCGGCTACACCGGCAGATCAATTGGTTGGCTCTCGTGGACCTGACTGCTATCAACACAACCGTACACTACGTCAACGCCGGCCAGATCCAGGTGGGATCACTTTCCCTTTCAGTCGACACGCGGAGTAAGATGGTGGAACGGGGCAAGCTATTTCGTCGCAAAAAGGATATGTCGCGAGACCAACGCCCGGCCGAGTGGATTATGAATGCTAAAAATGTTTTACTCAATGTCGACGGCCGGGAGCCCACCGAGATATTGGATAATGTGGGGATGAACCTTCATGGACTTCTCCACAAGGATTTGGATGGACTCAGAGACGCCTCGGTGGCCATTAAGATTGGACGCATGCATATTCCATACGACGATGTCCGCACGATATTGCAGCGCATCAAGCAGGTCAAGAAATCCACACAAGGGCCAGCGAATATCGAGACCGATGAAGGAATATCATTTGCCGATTTCGTGGACGAACTCGACAAGCCTGGAAGCAGAGACGATTCCATTGTACAGACTGTGGCGGACTCAAAGGAGTTTGCAAGTTCATTGCTTCGTGGTATACAGGAGATACAGATCGCTATGAGCTTCTTCCGTGTCTCGAAGGGCATCCAGTCTCTGTCTGCAGGACAAACCCCCGTGTATCTGAATGTGGTATCGCATGAGCTTGGAGTTGATCTTCATCGGATGGATCCCAAGAGCCCGGAGCATCGCATGTATTTCCAACGGAATGATGTTGCCCACCAGGCTCTTCTTGCCGCAATCTCTCTTTCAGCCAGCTTAGGTGATGAATCGGGCGAGACTGATAACATTCTATACATCCCCATGGCTACGACAACCATCAAAACCACACTACCCTCGAAGACCGTGAGCACCTTTGACGATGAGAACGCCGAAGAGCGAAACACAAATGTCCTGTTCGCAAATTTGGTCGTCACATCACCCTCCGTTGATCTCCAACCGCAACATGTTTCGAGGGTTCTCAAGCTGGTACAAAATCGAGCCTCTTCTCCCCGAGGGAAGAAGCAAGATAATCGTCGCTTGATTTCTCGATTACTCCCAAAGGCAACCATCAAGCTTTCTGTTCACGAACCTGTGATTCGATTTGTTCTCCCAATCGAGAAAGAGTCTGGTACTCCCGATGATTACAACCTCATCATCTCCTCGATCTCCTCCATTTCACTCGATAGCGAATCCTCTCATTCATCCGAAGGCGGTGCCCACTATTCCCTATCGTCCATTTACCGGGTCGCCTCTCACAAATTCTATTACCAAACTCCAGCAGGAAACAAACACAATCTGCTCACAAACGAGAATTTGGAGCTGAAGGTCCATCTGAATGCCACCCCAGAAGTCTGTGTGGTCGCCTCAGGCAGCCTTAACGAGTGTTCGGTCCACATGATCGATGGGGAGGTAAACCGTGGAATCCGCGAAGTTTTGCAGCAATTCATCACCCAGATGGAATCTCAGAAGCGGGTACCAATGCCGGCAAATGAAAGAAAGTCAAGCGTGTTAAGACGAGTGCCCCCATGGCTACTCCAATTTCAGTTTGAAGCCACAGGGTCCAGTGTAGAAATCGCTGGTGTAGACAGCACCGTCTCTGATATATCTCGTGGCGTCTCTCTGCAACTCCAATCGTGGACAGCGGAATACAAAGCTCAGAAAACGGAGAAAAATGTTGGAAGCATTACCAGGCGACGTACTCCCAGCCATTCCACCATCGGCGATGAATCGCCTTTCCGATTTCCCCCAACATCGCCTCCCAAGGCCACTCACACTCAACGCGGCGCTTCAGATGGCCGGCGACTGGCCTTCCACGCGCGTGGTTTCGATGGCTTTGTCATTGAGTCAGAAGATTATCTGGAACCCGAGCCATTCTTCTCTTTGCCTCGATTCGAGGTTGCGCTGAGCACCCACAGTGATCGCTTAGGACCGGTGCTGCATGTCACCTCCGTGTTCAAGGGCATATACCTTCAATACTCACTGTACCGGTTCTACTGTGTTGGTGTTGCCGTTTCCGTGATCCAAGACGTGCTCACACCTTTGCCGCAAAAACACCCACAATCTGCGGAAAGCAAATCCAGGGCGCCTGCAAGCATATCTCTACCACCGCCTCCGGCATACCAATGGTCCCCAAAGAAGGAGCTGGTCACTTACGACGTGAAGGCAACAGTTGTGCAGCTTAAGGCGCACTTGCCGAATGATCCTCAAATAATGATTCAGATCTACGGACTTGCCGGTGCCTCTCAACGTCTTTCTACCCCTCATATCAAAGCCAATCTTGTCCGTTTCCATGCAGAGGCACCTAAGCTAAAGGGAGTTTGGGCAAGAATCGGCAGTATGAACAATGTCAGGCTGGATTTCCGAAAGATGAAGATGAAACATGGCAACACTTTGGTTGAAGAAAAATCTATTGATATATGGACAGACTTCATCCGAATTGGTGTACCTCATCATATGGTGATGCACCGCATTTTTGATAACCTGATCAACACTTCCAAAGCTTTCAAACAACTGCACAATCGCTTCGGGAGCGGGTGCAAAGAATTTGGCTCCAAGAGAGAGCCAGAAGGCCCGAAGAAGGTACCCAGGATATCACTTCGCAGCAAAGCGTTGCTCTTCGAGCTCGAGGACGATGGCTTTGAGTGGAAACTTGGCTGCATTTATCGAGTTGGCCTGGTCGAACAGATTCAGCGGCTGGCCCGGGAAGACGCTTTCAACTTGAAATCCCAAAAAGTCAGGGAATCTGACCAGCGGCGCGCCACCTCCCGATTACGAGCCAAATCGAGCCATCGGACATTGCGTAGCGAGCGAACCAGCCAAGATACAAGGCGAAGCAGGAGTGCCGATGAACGGCCAAGATCTAGTGCCCAGGAGCGTGGGAGAGGTCGGAGATACCGGTATAATACCGATGGCGCGACCTGTCTCTCATCAGAGCAAAAGATCTCTGTGGATGCCGCTTGGGGCCGACTTCAACAGTACAATGCTCAAGTCTGGAAAGAGAAGATCGATGCCGCTCTCATGTTCCAGGGCACTTCTATCAAAGAAGTTCGAAATCTATTCTCTGGTGCAGATGAACCTCCTCCGGACGTGAAGGAGACCGAAACCATTCTTGCCATTCCGAATAGACCAGGTCTGATGTCAGCTCTGATCAGTGATGTCAATCTTGTTATCGACAAGCCCTCATTCGCCATCGAGGAATTCCCCAGTTACTTGAACCGAATCGGAAAGGGAATGCCCATGTCTATGCAATACGGCCTGCTTATCCCAATGAGCTTCAACCTGGAAATGGGCGAAGCACGCGTCAACTTACGCGACTATCCTCTAGACTTCTTGCACATTCCAGCACTGCGCCCAGGGCAGTCCCCTAGACTTCCCAGCTGGTCTTTGCGGACAAACTTCGTCATTGCCGAAGAATGGCGTGATCATGATTCTGCAAGACAGGTCGAAGTGGAACTCGTTCCTGCATCTGAAGGGCCTGATGGATCTCCCCGCGAGGCGTTCAAGATTCCCGTTTGGCGTTCTGTTACACCGGTCAAGACCTACTCAGACCCTGTCATCGAGATAAACACAAGCCTGCCAACTAGCATTTCATGGGGTGTCTCGTACCAGCCTGTCATTCAAGATATGATGAAGATCATTGAGGGCTTCACCAAGCCTGAAATTGATCCATCGGAGCGGGTGGGCTTCTGGGACAAGATCCGACTCAGCTTTCATTCTCGGATCAAGGTTCTCTGGAAGGAAGATGGCGATGTACATCTGCGGCTTAAGGGCTCTCGTGATCCATATGTGGTAACCGGCTTTGGAAGCGGTTTTGTCATGTGCTGGCGCAGAGACGTCAAATTGGATCTTAACACCGGTGACAATCCCATGGAATTCATGACTGTTACGAGTGGCGAATACGTGCTAGCTATTCCTGACTACAGCGCCGAAGCACGTTGTGCAAACGAGGCAACTACAGAGCTATTGGACAACAGTTCTGCATCCAGTGATCAAAAGAACGCTGCGCACTTCAAGAAGGTTATCATGAAGCTCTCTGGCGATGTTAAATGGGCAGCAGGTCTAGTCTTCGAGCGGGACATTGAGAATGATGAGAGGTCCTTCTCCTTCAAACCCCATTATGAGGTCATTCTTAAAAACCCTAAATTCGTCAAACCATCTGAGCGTATCAATTACGATGCTTATCGTGGCTTCCGGAGTGACCACATTCACTTGTCTGTCTCGATTATTGCACCGCAGAACAGAAACTGGTCTGTCGACAATGTTCAACCATCTTCGAGCTACAATACTATCCATCTCTCACCACGATTCTTCACCCACTTCTTCAATTGGTGGTCTCTTTTCTCGGGCGTGATGTCGCTTCCTGTTCGCCAAGGACCGCTCTGGCCAGGAGTCACAAAGACCAGCAAGAAGTTCAATCGTCATTTGGCAACTGTCAAATACAAAATCCTTCTCGCACCCCTGTTTGTGGCCCACATATACAAACACAAGGACCGCGAAGATTATGCAGAGAGAGTTGTTACGGCTACGGGCCTGAAAGTTCGCCTTGATTGCTTGAAACTTGATATTCATCAACGTCGCGAGCAGATCAAAACACATGCCGGGGGACGTTCAAAACAGACCCGGACAAGCGCGATGCGTATTAATCAAGCCCAGATTGATATGCAATCTGCAGACTTCCGCGCCGTGTCCGCCAGCATTGAAGGCACAACCGCGGAAGATGTTGAGCGCAACAGAGACGACATTCTCTCTTCCTTCCAGCAGCCTGTTGCATCAGTTGACTTGTCTCGGTTCACAATCCCCGATCACAATTTGGACTGGGTCGACATGGATGATTTCGTGGAGCCGGACTGGATCCTTCCGCAGGAGTCGAACCCCCGTACTCAGATATTGCCTTTGGCCTTCACTCCACGCTTCACCTACACCCGCAACACAGATCATTGCGACATTGGACCCGACGAAACGGGCTACAGTACTTTTGGATATGAACCGACTCACGAGTGTGTTATGTCTGAAACCAACGATCCTCGCCGTGTTCAGATTGAGTTGGTCAAAGATCGCCTTGCAACAGTCGAGGCACAAATTCGCAATTTTGATCGCACAATTGGGGAAATGGAACTCAAACTCATGAAAGAGGTGGACAGCAACACAGACCTGAAAGCCGAGCATGAGATATTCCTTCGCCAGTCCGAGTCTCTGACAAGACGACGCAAGTTCTTGACCACAACTCTCAATCGTCTTGAGAGGCATATCTCACGCGACGAGCGGACGCCAGTTGGCACACCTGGCAAAAATGTTGCCCCCAGCACTGCTTCTTCCCGAACAGGACATACAGGTCGATATGCCGAGTCCACAACCGATGGCCGTTCTTCAGGCATGGATGGACTTTACTCGCAGGGCAACGATGAGTTCTCTAGTGATTTCAACAATCGTTTCATGATCCACAATGTGCAGCTCAAATGGAACAATTCGCTGCGCAACATCATCTTGCGGTACAGTCACCAAGTGAGCCAACGGCGTGGATTTGTTTACTACATGTCTCGCCGCGCTGTCAAATTCATCCTTGATATCGTGGATGAACAGGACAAGAACAAGCGCAAGCAGTCTAAAATGTCTAAGACGCATACTGAAAGCTCATACAACGATGAGGGCCAAGAGGAGGTCGACGAACGCATCGCACAATTGCTGAATGATGCCAAGCGCTTCGTGAATGTCGCAGAGAATGAGCCACCGGACTCGAACCCCCAATCAGATTCGAATCTCCAATCCTCTTCCAATTCGGACAATTCGAGTGAGAATATCGTGCCGGAATTCACTCCCCAGAATAGTTATCACTTGCGTCTCATTGCGCCTCAAATCCAGCTTCTCAGTGAAAAGAACCAGAAGTCGGTCTTGCTTGTTGCCGCTAAAGGCATGGAACTCAAGGTCGTGTCAATCATGGATAAGGCGCGTGTTGCGGACGATGTCAGCGGCTTGATACAGCGCCGTTTCTTCCTCGAAATGGACGGTGCCCAGTTCTTCGTTGCAACCCAGAAGAAATTGATGGCAAACTTGCAATTCTATGCTGGCAATAAGTACGGAAACGCGCCCGGATCAGCGTGGCCGCCGTGGTTGACTTTGGAAGCCATGTTCGATTTCGAGCTAAATCCATTTGGATTCTCTCGTATCGTGCAAAAGACTTCTGCCACCCTGCGTTACGACAAGTTCAACAACCTCCGCCTCAAGTATAACGAGGAGGTGGCAACGGGTCAGCAGGGCCCTCATCCTGACGAGCAAGAAGACCGCATAGACTCGATCAGTGTCGACTTCCCTCATTTCCGCGCGATTTGTGATTCTGCAGAGTACTATTCCATGTACATCATTGTCCTGGATCTTATGCTCTACAGTGAACCACTCGAAAAGGTCCGAAATGAGCGTTTGGAGAGGATCATGCTCACTTCCGACTTCAGTGATCTTCGTGGCGCCCCGGAAATGGTGTTCAAGCTTCAAGCACGCATTCGCCAGTTGGAGGAAATCAAAGAGTACTTCCAGATCAACGCTAAATTCCTGGATAAACAGGGGTGGGAGGATCGGCTGGCTCTCGAACGCGACTTGTGTCAATGCGAGGATGAGCTTTTCTTCATGATGAAGGCAATCACGACTTCCCAACGGCGAATGGAACCCAGTTCGTCCAGGGCAGCCGGTGTCCATGGCGTACTGCGCTGGAGCATATCGGCGAGTGAGGTCGTGTGGCATCTGATGAAGGAGCCTTCTGAGCCCTTGATTGAGTTCCAGCTGCGCAATGCTTCGTACGAACGAACTGACAATACTGATGGCTCGAACCACAACCTGGTATCTATTGAGCGACTATTCGGATTGAATCTGCTTCCAGACGCCATCTACCCTCAAATTATTGCACCTTACCTCGACGGCACACGCACCCTGGACGATTTCATGTTGCGCGTCAAATGGCACATGCTGGAGGCTGTTGCTGGTATCCCCGTGCTTGACAACTTCGAAGTTTCATTGTTCCCGCTCAAGATTCAGCTCGAACGTGAGCTAGGCCAGAAAGTCTTCGAATACATATTTCCCAACGTGGGATCTAGCGCCTTTGAGGCTGGTGGCTTCTCGCCTTTCATGATCAAGAACATGAAGTTGTTTGATGAAGGCTCGGACGAGGAAGACGATGATGAAGGCTCAAGCGGGACACCACTGACACGCTCAACGAGTATCGACGGCGATAGCTCGTCTATGGACAGTCTCGCCATCTCTAAGGGACCGGGCGCCATCGAACTACGACTCCAGCCTACACTGTCGCTTTCAGATGAGACTAAGTCGCGTAATCGCTCAGGCCATCTGAAGGGTCTTGTGATGACACCTCTCTACCAGGATAGTAACCGACTGGGTGTATCAGAGACCGCGCGCAAAACGGGCCGTCCTGCTACGACAGGTGGTCTCAGCAAAAAGAAGTCTGCGGATAGTCTGCGAATGTTGACCAAACAGCCGACTGAAAGATCCCTGTCTAGCCACAGTGCTGGCGAAGATAGTCGCAAGAAGTTCGGAATGGGTAAAGGATCTAACAAGAGCGGCAAATCCAAAGCGCCAACGGACGACCTGTCCCAAATGATATCCCGCGCCTCCAACTTCATGACCCTCGCACGTGTGAAGGTGAATGATGTGGTTCTCTGCCTGAGCTACAAGGGCAAAGGAGATCACAACTTGGAGGATCTCCATGATTTCGTTTTCCGCCTTCCAGTTCTTGAGTACGGCAACAAGACATGGTCGAACCTGGATCTTGCCCTGCGCCTCAAGAAAGACGTGATCAAAGCCCTTATCTCGCACGCTCCTGCCATCCTTGGTAACAAGTTCTCCCACCACCGACCCTCGAAGCAGCAGCAGAAGCGTTTCCGTGAACTTGCATCATCGTCTCAACTCCTGCCAAATACATCAAGTTTGGTCAACTCGAACAGCAGCCAAGCCCTAAGTGTGGGCAGCTATGACTCTAACAGCGATTACTCGGAGTCACGCTCACGCAAATCCACGCAATCGAATGCATCGCCATTGGCTAGGTCCACCTCATTGATTTCAGACATTCACGCCGTAAATTATTCGGATCCCACTATCCACGACACACGGTCCGCTAGTGAAGTCGATGTGGATTCTCGCTGGGAGGTTCGTGTTCTTTCGTCTCATCGTGTCGCCATGAATGCCCCCGAATGCTAACACACAATGATTAGGCATCGCGTCGATTTGTCAATCCCCCACCCGAGAGACCGATGACTTCTGGTCACACGACTTCGATTCGATCCGGCAAGAATGATCAGGATGACAGGTATGGATCCCGGTTCCGAGTCACTTACCAAGGCAAAGAAACTGACTTGACTATAGTCACATCAAAACAATTCGCAACATCGGCCGGAAGCTGACATTCCGGAAATGATCGCTTTGCTTTATCTTGCACTATATCCCCCTCCCTTTTTTTTTCTTTTTCTCTCCCTTCCTATCTTGCCTAATACCTCTACACCCTTTAAAAAACCCTGTGATTCTTTGTACACCATCACCTCTTTATTCTCACCAGGCCCCTCGTGTCTCCTAGATACCCTCTACCTGCAACGGGCCGTACATAGGCGTTATCTCATGTTTTTCATTTTTTTCGGTCTATGGCGGGGAGAAGTTTCATGTTTTTATTACCCGGGCCGAGGACATTGGCATAGAGGCGATAGGGGACATTTCGTTATAATTCTTAGTATCCTTTTGACTGACATCTTTCCTGCTGGGACAGGTGGCTATTGTTCTTTATACATGTACACATCGCTTCCTCTTGCCCATATAGAAGGGAGATATTCAAGTGTTTCTACTGTTCAACTAAACTCATAAATACTCCGATAAAAAGCAAAACACGTAGCGCAATCTAAATATAATCTCCGATCTCCACTGATCGGCAAATGTTGGATCGAAGAGTTACAGCGGGGAAGAATTTATATTAATCCAGAGTGTAACAGCAATTTGTTAGGGAAAAGTACTTTATGTAGTGTTTCATTCTGAATACTCCTATATGTATTTGTGACCTATCACCGTACCTTGCTAGCCCCATCTCATGGAACATCCGGATCAGGGTTATTTCCCCAGGTACGTGAGGTGACTCCACGAACGGCGCTGTCAGTTCCCGTAGGCTCAAGAGCAAGAACGGTAATCTCGTTCTTCTCCTTGCGAAGATAACACCAAGGAAGATAAAGCGATTGTTGCGGGCCCACAACCCAGTAGCGACCCAAATTGACTCCATTGACCCAAACAACGCCCTTGGTCCAGTCGGGCAGCTCGAGGAACGTATCTCCAACCTTATCCAGATCGAATGTGCCGGTGAAGAAGATAGGGCCTGAAGTAGCTGAGGGCTTCAGAGTTGTGTCGCCGGTAGCCTTGGGCGGCGTCGCCAAGGGTAACGGGTAGATCGCCCATTTGGAAAGAACACTTTCGCCAACGGTGACGTCGCCCACGATTCCCTTGCGCTGGTCTACGATCTCGGCGCCGTAGTTGACGCGTCCGAGATTCTCGACGAGGAGGTCGAGGACGTCGTTTTCTTTCAGATCCAGGTTGACGGTGTTTGGGGTCTTGTATGTGCCGTCGATTACACCGACGCGCTTCTTGTTCACGTAGACGAGGACACGATCACGAGGTCTATCGCCGGTTTTGATTGCGCCCTTGACGGGCGTTGTGATGACGTGGCGGTAGAGAATTAGTCCAGTCGCCTGTCCGACGGCTTCCATGTTGACTGGGGATTCTTTCTCGATAGGGTCGGGGAGGGAATCAAAGATGTCCACAGATGGGGTAAGTTTAACAGATGGGATCTCAATCAATGGCTCCTCATCTGGAAGAGCGGGGAGGGTGTCTTCCCCGACAACGGCGGCGATGGTCTTTCGGATCGCCAGGTAGATGTCGTTCCTGCGACCTGTTTCGTCGAGGGGCGCACCGTAGTCGTAGCTCGTGGTGATGGGCTGCAGGGCATCGGCCCAGTCAGCTCCATTCTGGAATCCCCAGTTGGTACCACCGTGGAACATGAAGAGATTGAATGAGCCATTGTTGTTCAACAGCCACTTGACATCCGTCGTGATTTTATCGATCGCTTCCTTGTTTCCGACATTGGACTTGTGGACATAATTGCTAGCCCACTGGTCGAGCCAGGTGATATAGTACTCGCCATCAAGCTGGGGTCCAAGACTAGTAGGATCGGTAACGTATTTGTCGCGAGCAGCGAATCCCTCATAGACATCACCGTCCGTCTCAGCCAAGACACCCGAGATCTGGCCGCCCTTGAGCATACCCTCGGTACCGCCATCATTGGTGTAAAAGGGTACATCAAACGCAGCGGTGAAGATATCCTTCAAAGCGTTCAAGTACACATGGTCGCTTCCGTAGGATCCATACTCGTTCTCAATCTGGACCATCAAGATAGGTCCTCCGTTGGTGACCTGGAGATCACCGACCTCCTTTGCAAGACGGTCAATGAAAGCCTTGGATGCATCCAGGAAAGGCTTGTTATTGTCACGGACAACCATTCCGGGAACCTCACTGAGCCAAGCAGGGAAACCGCCCCATTCGTGCTCGGCGCAGACGTACGGGCCGGGCCGCAGAATCACGTTCAATCCCTTTTCCTTTGCAAGTCGGAAGTACTTGGCGATATCATTGTTGCCGGTATTATCCCACTCGCCTTGTTTCGGCTCGAGTTGATCCCAAAATACATAGGAGAAAATGGTGTTCAGGCCCATGCCGCGGGCCTTTTCTAGGCGATCGGGCCATAGTTCGTGGGGGATGTGTTGCGGGTCCATTTGGCCGCCAAGGAGGAGGTAGGGCTCGCCATGGAGAATGAAGGTGTTATTATCATAGGTGAATGGATCAGCTGCCCGTGCTACGGACAGAAGGCCAAAGACCAAAAGAAGAAATCTTGAGATAGATCTCTCCATAGTTTCAAGGGATGAATGAGTTGCTGTTTACCAAGGCGGATCGAGTCTATTTTATAACTCAAACTTCATACAACATAATAACATGAAGATTGTATACTGTCTAGGTGTATCCGATATGTTATCCGACCCGATTACTACATTGCAGATCCCTCCCCCGCACAGGATGTAGCGCCTTGGAGTTACAGTAGTAGAATATATAGTGTATGCAATGTACAAGTCTTCAGTAAATCTTCATATTGGTGGGATAGGATCTTCCATATCATTTCCTGTAAGTACATGCAACATATGAAGCTAAGGTCCTTAGGTTACATGTATATCGTGCAATCTGGAGTTATTTACCTAAATATAATTGGCCTGGTTTAGGCTTGGAACTATCGAAGATACTGCCCTGAGTATTTATTTACATATTCCGAAGCTTAGCATAGTTCATACATTTGGTTACATTCTCGTCGGATGGACTAACATTGGGATTTCGGACAACCAAAACATATGCACATGAAGTTGAGCTTATCCTATAATCGAATTTCGGCTTTTGAATAGTTTTTAATTACCATAAGCATTAAGATGATAGGAATAGAAACTAACCTAGCCTAGTAGCCCCGCCATTCAATTACTACCGCGTTGTTCCGGCCATGTCCAGTATCAATTCACTATTTACATAGACATTGCCATCCAATAACAGCCCCTCGATCGACAACTTAACCGGCTCTTTTCAATAGGAATCAACCTATAATATTCGATCTTATCCAAGCGGAGGTTCGCGGCCCTGCTGATCCTTCGGCCAGACGCTTCTTAGGTCCACTAAGAGCGATAGGCACTACCGCAATTGAGTTTAGCCGCTTGATGAAATCATGCGTTGTGAAATCTCAATTCTCCCGAGTGTGGAGACAAGATCCGCCAGTTATTTCCAGTGAAACTACTAGAAAGGCCAAATATGGGTCCCCAAATATCCTGTAGGATTGTAAGTATCGAAGAGGCTGAATAGCAGGATTTGGGATAGACTATGGGTCTTACTAGGATAGGCATGGTCAACATATTGGGAGTGCGGTATTTGGTGTTGACTCCGAGCTTGATCTTTTGCGTTTGGCTGAGGGTTTATGAAGATCGGTCGTGAGTCAAAAAGTAATTCAGGAGTCTAGATGAAATATAACATAATATCATGCTCCCCAGAGAATAAACAAAGGGTATCTATATACAACGACAATAGCCTGCACAGCAGAACAAAATCCAAAGAATGTCAAAATCTAGAAAGGCTCTCTCCCAAAATGCATTTTCATGTGCAACCAAAGACCAAAATGAGAAAATTTCATCGCATACAGATTACACGGATAATTTCTCCGTAGATGGTTCAGCATTGGGGGCAAGAGTTGCTCCATCATAAGTTTCATCGGTAACGTGAGGCGCATCATGAGGCGCATCATGAGGCGCACTGCTGGAGGCATCGTTAAAGCCATCATGAGCTCCATTAGAGACTCCACTGGGGCCATCGGGTGTTTTCTCGGCGTCGGATGGCATCGAGGGGGGGCCCTGCTTGTCACGAGTCCAGGGCCAGACGTTGGCCTGAACGGACGCGAAACGGGTACGTGCAGTGGGCGCACTGATATCGTCAACCCAGCGGATGCCGCCTTGCCCGCGGTTTTCTTGCCACGCTTTCTTCTCACGACGGAGGTCACTCTGAACCCAGGGAATTGTGATCAACGTCCAAACGAAAGCCCAGGCAAACGGAAGGGTCCAGCCCAACTGTATTCAAGGTTAGTCTGATTGTAATTCGAGGTTGAAATCATTCCCGCTTACCGTGAATGCAACGTTCTCCTGAACCGTGAAGATAACTGCAGTAATGGCGGCGGCGAAGACGATAGATCCTCCACTCCAGAAACAGTTCATCTCGAAAAGCATACGGCGGAAATAAGGACTCGATAGGTATCGAGTTCGGAGAGCATATCGATACATCTGTCCACCACCACCGTCGACTGCTACCACGTCCTCAATAAGCGCGTACAATGCAGTGGGCATAACGGAGCCTTTGGGCGTGGATGAGATTCGGAACGGGGCCTTGAAGCCCATCATACGGAAAATGTCGAGAGAAAGGTAGACGATGCCGAAGTAGAACATGACGGTTGGTAGGACCATGGCGATGAGGCGCACTGTTTGAGCGGTTAGTATAAGGGAATTGGCACAATATTATAATGGGTTGTTCTAACCATATGGTTCTTCAGGAACAGATCCACTGCGGACTTGTTAGCTCATTGTTTATCCTGCTTCCAGATGTGTGTTAGACTTACACGACCAATTCGACGGCCAGAATCAACCACACGATGGTGAAATTTATTTGGAAGAAATCCAGCTAACGAAAGGTATCAGTCAATGTTCCATGATCAATCCTAGGTCGAAACCTACCCATGATACGCGAGAATTCAGGGGCCGGGCGCGGGAATTTTTGCGGAATAAATGATGAAGGCGGTAGAAGTATTCAAAGACCGAGACTCCTCCAAGTGATGCGGTAACGATCGAGAAGACTGCATATCCAAATTAGCAATCTGAACGGGTGTATTTATTCCGCGCAACATACCCAAGTTGGGCGATAGATCCGTGAGATACCAAAGACACCAATAAAGAATCAATGGCTGAGCCAAGGTATCAACCACGAAGATAGTCCAGAAAATGGCGATCGACTTCTTCCTCGTGCGCAACGAGTATGGGAGCGGAGGAGGCTCCGATGTGGGCGTTGAGACGGTTCCTTCTTCCATCGGTGTGGTGATAGTGCTGTTGATAGGTTCGGGGGGACACGCGGTAGTTTGGTGAAGGAAGGGTTTATTAGGACATGGCGAGCATGTAATGATAAATCTGAATGGGTTTCCAGAGAGAAAGAATCCAAGAATAGTGAAGAGGCGAATGTAAATCAGTCTAGGAAATTTTGGCCGGAAACAACGGAGAGAGGTACTTCCGTTGCCATACAAATTTGGCTGTGATAAGATGTACCTGACGTAAGGCCCTATGATGTCATTCAAAACATCAAACCACCAGGGTAATTTTATATCTTTTATGTCTTATACCTCGTATGTCTCTTGATTTTCGCCTCTTACTTGGCAGTTTTACTTGCCAAGTCTTATTGCCAAGTCTCATTTGCCTCTTGACATTCGATTGTAAATAAAAAAATATTTGTTTAATAGTTCACCTACATGTATATGGTATCTAATATAAAAACAATCTGAGAACGATGTCAGTATGTAGTAGACATGTCGACATTCACACCGTGTATACGAATACGCACAAATATGTAGAAAACAAGGAACCTCGGGAGACCTGAAAGTGACATCGGTCCACTCGGACGCCGATCCCGACACTGGACCCGTTTGTTATGCTTGTTCATAAATGCCCCTCTATGAATCTATTCAGGTACATTCTAAATATATCGTATTTTACAACGTGCTACATATTTACACAATAGTAAACAATTCAATGAACTTGCTCTTACCCATCTTTCAAAATGAATATATGGATATGAAAACGCTTCAAAAGTAGAGCGTTGGGAGAGGGTGGCGAGACTTGGCACTGTTGGATATCTAGCTCTACAATGTACAAAGTACTTTGGATTCAAAGAAACCTCGGAAGGACCTCGGGAAGTCAATAGAGTTGTTATAATCAAAGAACCTTTATTGGTCAAGTAAATAGACCCTCAATCAATTAAGATGCCTCACAAACAAGGCATCAATAGCCATTGTGTAAGATAAGATAAGGTCATGTGACATAACAATCGCCGTTTTTGCAGAATTGGTGAGCTCGGCGTTCGAGTCCTCCCCTTCAAAAAATTTCTATCCTTCTTTAATTCTTCCACCACTCATCACCTTTCTTTTACCTTTTTTAACTCCCCTCTTCTTATTCGGAAAAAAGAGATGTAGCCATGCCTGGCGTACAACATCTTATCGACTTCGTGCTGAACGAAGTCGCACTCTGCGGCAATCAAGGTGTGTATAGTCTCTTCACTTGGACCCACTTTTCCTCACCCCGGAGACGCATGTCATATCGCATGTGGATTTTCAATGTCACCAAAATTATGTTCAAAGCCTAGTCAGAGGAACATGTTGAATTCTTATTATACTTCCTCTCTCAGGACTTTCTCGTGGGGGGTTGGCTCTGCGTTCTTTTGGCGCGGAACCAATGTCGATCTATATCCTCCATCTCAAGCCCTGATTGGACATTTTTCTTCTTATGCATATTTGACAGAATGCTAACAGTCACCAAGGCGCAACATTATCCGATCTGCTACAAGCCATTGATGATTACCATACTCAACCTCAGAATGGGACTCAAACAAATCAAAAAATTGATCATCGTTTCAAAGAGAAGGTCTGGTCCTGGCTCACGACTAACCCAGAGGTGTCTATTGGCCAGCACAATGAATGGAACCATCTCACCTTGGATGAAGCGGAGCAGCTTGACTCACAAAAAATCGAGCGCCATGATCCCAATGATCCCGAAGCCAACCAACCCGGAGATCAGAACCCTGATTTACCACCGCTTCGAATTTATGTCTCAGAAGAGAGAGCTTGGGTTGCCATCACTGGTCATCCACCAGACGAGTCCAAGGTATTACCTCTTGAATTTGCCTTACTGTCGGTGATTGCTTCACGCAAGTCAAAGGGTATTGTGCAGCCCGACTTGGTGAAGATCAGTGGCCAGGACAAACGGTCTGTTCCGAAGCGTACCGATGCTTTGCAAAGAAAGGGCTACATCGACAAGCGACCTGTTCAAACAAAAACGGCCCGAACCAGCCTGTGCACGCTACAGCGATTCTACCGCCACGCTATCAGTGACCGAACAAAAGAAGAACCGCAATCGAAGAACATGATTGATTTCGACAGTTTCAATACCAGCCTATTCGATATTCTCCGGGAGCACCAACTGATTGCACGCAATGATTTGAAAAGACTCCTGGGCTTCGATGACCATTGGCGTTGGAAAGTCTTGTCCCGTGCCCTCCGCAAGTGGGAGCGGATAGGTGTGGTGCAGCGCGTGAGAGCCGAATCACAATACGAAAGAATGCATCCGTGTGTGAAGCTTTTACGAGATCCCACGAAGCAAGATCTGGATCTTTTCCATGAGTTCAATTTCGATGTTTTGAACAAGCATGGGGTGCGAGCCAAAGGAACCAAATTTACCCCGGACCAAGACCAAGACATGAAGCTGGAGAGCCCGAGTAAAAGGTCGCTTAGTCCGGACGGTGGGGTTGATCAGGTCAAAGAGCATGTTGGAGATGCTGCACGCATCGTACCATCTTGGTCCCCTGATCGTAACCTTTACAATCAAATCTTTGACATTGTTCAAAGAACAGGCACAACAGGCATCACGAACCAGGTAAGCTCCTTACCCACAAAAATGAAGATTCTCTTAGCTAACAAAACAATCAAGACCCTCAACTGGACCTGCTTTGGGTCTTTTTACAAGAGACCTGCTGAAAGTATGGTACATCGCTTGGTCGACCTATGGCAAGTGGCCCAGCCACTTCATCTCCGGCAATACGCCATCGTTCGAGATATGGCGATGAAAAAGACCATCATGTATTATGTCCACTATTCGGCAAACAACTTCGCAAAGCTTGTTGAGGCTGGCCAGGCATCATGGGAGGCCGTTGAGATTCCAGTCAAGAAAGCCAAATCGCTAAAAATCAAGGCACCGCCTTTTGGGGTTCTTCCCGAGCTTGATGAGCATGGATTCCCCAAAAAGGAATTTCCAAAGAATTTGTTGAAGGATCCATATTCAACTCTACTCGACGGGATTATGGCTGTCAAACCGCCCAACTATCTTCTTTCTTCGAGCGATCCGTTTGTTGTTGAACTTCCAAACGGTCAACATGGTATGATCGCCCCCCTCGTCTCCTTGGTTTCCACAAGAAAATTGCCATGAATCTAACTTTAATCCGCAGTGATCCGTACACGTACTGATAAACTCCCGCCTGGCTCCAAGCAGCAACATGAGCCCCGTTTCCGGCCCAAGGGACGACCGAAGGGCCGACTGAATCGTGCGACCGTGGAAAAGCTTGCCAGAGAAGCCAAAGCCAAAGAAAGCGATACCAAAGAATCTGGAGCTAGAGAACCCGAAGCTAGCGAATCTGAACCCAGAGAATCTCAAGTCCTGGAATTCGAAATTGAACCCAAGCTGGAGCCAAGCCAAGGTTACGGCTGGGAATATGTTGACGAATCCGCACGAGCCAAGAGAGCTAAAAACAAGCATGACAGCCTCAGGGGATTGTCAAAGCAAGAAAAGTTTGAAGCACTTGGTATGGATGAAACTTGGACTGAATACAAAGCTCTTGTCATGGACAAACCTGCTCCTGGTGTGTATGTGACTCCCCACGGCCGAAGAAGACCAGCTGGCAAGGCGCGAGGTCGCCCGAGACAGTCGCGAATTGCGATCTTCAAATCGCCAAAATTAGTATTACTCCCTTGGTTTGTCAATGATAAAGATGACTCAAGTGATGATGACAAGGTTCGGGATGCTGCTACTAGCACTCGAGCATCCGAGAGCCTTGCCCCTGAAGCTGCACCTTCAGTTATCAACTCCGAGCGGCCCGTCATGACCCCCACCCCAAAAACTTCGAAGCGAGCCAAAAGAACTCTACCTGACCAGTTAGCGGACTCACCCATACCTCCTAAACGATCTCGTCTTCACCCGGCACAAAATGGAACAAATGAAAGTCCCTTGAAGGATGCCAATGAGGTTTTGCCCGAGAATGTAGGTCCAGCACCCCAAGAGGGTTCAATCAAAGCGATTACACCGCGCCACCGCGACAAGAGTGCCAGCGTTCATCTACTCGAAGACGAGCAAACTGGGACTCCATCAAAGCGACGCCGCGTAGCACCCTCTGACCGCAGCGATAACAACCACATGACTCTCCAATCCCCGACACCCCGTCCATCTGATGTTCCGACACCACGGTCAGGCTCAGTGGCCCCCCAGAAGTTTAATTTCGGTATCAATGGCACCAAACCTGGAAAAAAGCCACGTGTTCGGAACAGAGTCAATATCAGAACCATGACAATTTCAGGGGAAGAAGAATCGGGATCCCCAAAGCCTTTGTCTACGAGAGGTGGATCTATCAGTGTCCTTCGGAGGAAGCTCATCATGGAAATCATGGAAAAGGCTAATGGTGTATACCCCGCGGGCACTGCAATGTGGTATCCTTTTGTCACTGCATGGATGAAGTTCCATCCCAAAGAAAAGCCAGACATGCGAACGATCAATACTGCATGCAAGCAATTGATTGATGCTGGCCAGCTTCGGCAGCTGACTTTCAGCGGCAGAGACACAAGAAAAGTGATGGTGACGAGGACATTGTTGTTGAGGCCTGATATGTCACCAGACGATCCGTTAGTGAAAGAGATGCAGAGCAAGATCCTGGCTACTGATTTCCACGAGTCCCGGCCCTTCTTTGCGGCCAATGTCGAGATGGATCCAAACTTGACAAGGAATAGTGGTCGACCACACGGTGCACCTGTCCGCGCGCAGAGGTTCTCCTTCCCCGTTGAAGAAGGAACCCAGGTTCACTTGCAACAAAAGCCTCTCTCCATTGTGAACTTAGAGGCAAGAAGAAGGAGACAGGCCCAGGCGAACTTCATCAAACGCCTGGAAGCCCAAGCAGCCAAGGCTGCTAAGGTTGCTGAAGAAATGGATAAAATGCCCGACGTGCCTGGAGTTCAGCGACTCATGACACTTGCACGCCCTCCTGAATTGGACCTTGATGCTCATCCGAACACGTCAATTATTCGTCCATATGTTCGAAAAGGTACACGTGGTCCTGGCAAGCAAAAGCTGATCATAAATCCCAAACGTGTGATGAAACCAATTTCCGCCATCGGGGCGTATGCCATGTTGATGAATCCAGTGCAACAATTTAATCCAACTACTGGGACTTTCTCCACAGGGTCATGCTCAGCCAAACGCAAAAGGGGTAGGCCAGTGGCAGAAAAGCAGCCGACTTTCAACATTGAGAAATCTGTCGATGAGTTATCTAGACTGGCCCATGACGAACCACAGCTGCCGGAAATGCCCATGGCTGTCAAATCCAAAGTTTTACGCTCGAGATTCGATCAAAAGACCAAAAAGATTCTCAATTGGGAGCTTCATCATCCAAATCTCTTTGAATCAAACCTTGAAGGCCAGCAGTTTATCGACCAAACCATTCAGGATGGTTTCAATCCCGCGCCGATCAATGGCGATATTCGCTTTGATATCGACATGCCCCCTCCTCCGAAACAGCCTGAAGTGGAACCAGAGTTGCCAGCACGACGTAGCGAGGTCCGTCGCCAGCGCCAGCCTCTACCTCAGCCTCCTGTAACAACTACTCCGAAAGAGGAGGCACCCAAGCGGACACCAAAACCAAGAAGGACTCGGGCTCCTCGGGTTCACCCCACGGACCGCCGTCTGGCCAAACTTGATGATACTGCAACACCCGACAAAGAAGCACAATCGGCGACCCCGGCGACCTCCAAACGCCTTCGCCGAAAGCGATTCGTGCATCCTATCTCCGAGGATCTCAAACAAAAGCTCGCGGTTGCTCTTGTCGTTGTCCGTGTGCTTGCAGGCGGAGCAGAATCAAGAGTGATCGATTGGACTCTTGTGACGAAAGCTTTCCCAAACCAAGACCCGTCTTTCACTGAAGCGCGAGCGCGTCAGATACTCAACAAGAATCGCTTGCAGATTACGAAGATGCATCGAGATTTCCAGGAGTGCTTCCTTGAGGCTTACGAAAGGGATGAAGTCCCACGCATTGATTATTCCGATTTGGACAGCTATGATTGGCCTGCCCTGGTTGAGTGGGCAAGCACTAGGCTGGATGTCTCTCCATCCGAACGGGCTCCAGACCTTCCAGCAACACGGGAGCAGTTCGACAGTGTTTTCGAACTACGCGAAGATCCTCTTACGGCAGGTGATGAACTGTACCAGGCTGTGCACGGCGTCACTATCAACCACAAACGCAACTTGATGGCGCGCAATCCATTTGCTGTACCTGTGGATGATGAAACACGCACCCAATCAATCACACGAAAGGCTCATGCAGAACAACTTGAGGCTGCGAAGACATGGGTCCGTGCGAATATCATCACCGCAGAAGAGACCTATCGACCCAATGAGTCGAGCGACATCCTGCAACGCTTTGGCGATCGACTCATCACCACTGCGACGCAGACACTAATCAACGAACGTGTCTTCAGTTCAACAACCCGTGGCCGCGTCAATCCGGGTCGCAACTACGATATCTCAGAACATTTCCTGCAGACACTGAGCCGAAAACGTGCCGTCGAAAGCTCCCAGCTGCGTCGTGCCGCTCATTTCAAATCAAACACGCTAGATCTCCAATTCCGGACTACTGGTGCATTCGATATCGAGTACGCCGCAGAAGACGGTGATATCCTCGCGTTGATCAACCTCTACGCTTCGGGTGCTATTCAAATGCGACCTCGCGATGCCCCCCGCGCCAAGTTCGGTCTCACCGATGGCGGATATGAAACTCGACAGATGGACAAGAAACACTTCCGTTTCCCTGTCGAGGTTACTCCCACCGCGACATACCGCTATGGTAACCCGGTCCGCGATAAAGCTGCAGCTACTATCCTTTCACCCGCGCCTTCATCATCAGGCCCGAATATCCCACCCAAAAACCCTCTTTGGTACGACATAAATGGAGAGTTCGTGCGTCGTCTCTGGGACTTGGTTATTGGCCCTGTTCTCGGGTGCTTGGTGATGCGACCCGGTATCAAGGCCGGTAACATTTCTAACATGATCAAGCCCACCATGGGCACATGGGAAACCGTGCTGATGCTGCAATGGCTGGAGGAAGTTGGCATTGTCCAGGCTGACGGCGAGGGAGAGATGGCTTGCTGGAGATTACAGGAGTCTTGGTGGATGATTCTATCTTGAATTCTCGATTGAACTCGAATGTAATATTACATCTATGTATGAACATATTTGCTAGCTACTTCGCAAGAAAAGTTAAGAAAAATCAAAAACAAGCGGATGGTTTACTTCAATGATAATGTGCTTGATTTCAAAAACTATCTAGAGGTATACCATGGATCAACTCCTGTAATGTAATCCCGAACGCCCGCATAGTCGAAAGAAAATGCTCAATGTAACACCCCGAAGTCCTTTACAGATCGTCGACGTTCGCCACTCGGCGCAATATCAACAAGACAAGCGCAACGATCACACCAATGATAGCCCGGTCCAGCCAGACACCTTCAGATGGAGACTCCGTCGAAGCTAATTGAGGGGAGCTGGTCTGCGTAGGCATAACAGCTGCAGCCGGGGCCTGTGATTGTGGTTGTGGTTGTGGTTGTGCCGCCGGCACCAGTACAGGCGCAGAAGGAGCCGGAACAGATTCCGCAGCCAGAGGACTCTTTACAGCATGATCCACCGGAGCTTGGCCCTCATTTCCAACAGGAATAGTATCCCCACTCGAAGCCGGAGCCGGAGCATCAGCCTTATCCTCGACCTCGACCGTCTCCCGAGGTCCCTCGATCTCCCGCTGACCCTCGACACCACCATTAACACCATCAACCTCACCCTCAACCTCAATGCCACGTTCCCGACAAACCCCCCACAACTCCTTCATAGCCTCAAGATTCCCAACCCCACACTCCCGACACCGCCAATCAAGCGAAAGCCGCGCATACTCCCTCCTCAACTCATCATTCCCCTCCATCCCCCCAACCTGCCCCTGACTCTCCGAACTAAAGATCTCGGACCGAATCCCCAGAAGCGCAGTGCGCACCCCCCAGGCAGGCTGCCATGTCTCTTCGTGGTGACCGGAGATACTGAGACAGATTTCGCGATTGACCTCGAAGCGACCGGAGGGCGTGAGGAAGCGGAACGAGGGCGGTCGGAGTGGGTATGTGGCTGGGAAGGTGATACGGCCGTGGTAGAGGCCTTGGGCGTAGGGGGATGGAGAGGGTGGACCGGCGAGGGTGAAGTGCCAGTCGTGGAGGTTTGAGTCGCTTATTGGGGCGGCTGTGAAGTATGGGCTTGGGTTTTTGTGGAGGTCGGTGCTTTCTTTTAGGAGGCGGCGGGTTGAGGGGGAGGACATTTTGGTGAAGTCTGGAAAGTTGGGAGAGGAAGAGATGAGATAAGAGATAAATGATGACAGTTGGCGGGTTTTTGCGGGGGAATGTTATTGGGTGGCGAGGTACTGTAATATAGTAGGGAGAAATAGTACATATAAATTCCTATTGCTCATAATACTATTTCTTTATGACATATCCATATCGAGGTTGCGCATATACTTGAGCACACTTCATAGATGATATAAATGCTTTCACGATGATACAACGCCTTCAAGATGCTACAGAGAAATGCTACACACAATCACTTAGTTTTAGTCCCAATCTCGCCATTCATCAGTGTCACGGCGTGTAGCCTGCTGGCGGCCAGCGCCCGGATCCAACAACCCGTTCCCTTCCACATCATCCCCATAATCACTATCACCAGGCCTCGGCCGCGGCGACCGGGGCGCAAGAGTCTGCATCGATACAGAGGTCGGAGGCCGCTCAGGCGTGCTACCACGGTTTGGCACGCGCTGCGGCTGTGAAGCGCCTTCCCTCCAACTATTACTGTTGTCAAGATTGCGCTGGTACAACTCACGATAGTACTGCTGCTCCTCGGTGGATTCCTGTTCTCGACGCTGTCGCATTTGTTCACGCGCCTCAAGGAATTTAGCACTTGGGTCCCAGTGCCAGCCGTCGCCGGTCGTATTGCAAATGGGCACAGCCCAGAGGAGTGGCCGGTCCCCGAAGAGGTGGAGGAGGTTACGTCGCCAGCCGTGGTCAAACGCGCTGGGCATTTTTTCATTGTCTTCGTCGTTTTGGTACTCCTCGTACCGCGAATGCTCGCGCTGTCGCTCCATTTCGGCGTATGACCGGGTCAACGCTTGCTGTGCTGGTGTGAGGCCGTTGTCTGAGCCGTTCGGAGGCCCTGATGGGCGCGGCGTCGGATACAATTGCTCTTCGCCTTCTTCGGCCCGGGTGACTCCCGGAATTGCATTGGCGTGGGCATCGATGATTTGATTCCCATATCCTTGCAGTCGGGTGGATAGGCTTTCCTCGCCCGGCTCGCCCCAATAGTTATTGTTGGGCGCTTGCTCATTCCGCTGTCTGTCTAGCGCTTTGCGCAAAGGCGACACATATCGGGTCCTTTCCAAACATTCAATAGTAGTGGTACCCCGTAGAGCCAGGCTGATATGCCAGGCCGTGAATCCGCTCAGAACCAATCCAATGATGCCACCCAGGATAGCCAGCAGGACTACATTGACCGGAAGAATAGTATCCATGTACTGGGTATCGTTCAGGATCTCGGTCCAGACCCAAACAGCCGCAATGGCAAAAACCACCCAACAGAATATCGAGGTGTAGATCAAAAATAGCAGGAATGCCTTGTAATTATGCAGTCCAACACAGGTTGCTAGCCAGGGACAGTGGTGGTCCATCTTGAGGACGCATCGCTTGCAAGTCGAACAGTGATGTGCGCGATCCGGCTTCGGACACTGGCATTTTTTGCAGTACCGTGATTCACCAGTCGAGGTGACGGTATATGATGTGAACTCCGGATGCTCGGAGGGAGGGAGGGCGCTGTACTCATGACGGCCGGCCCCGCGAGAGGTAGAGAGCGGTGACCCTGGGTCAGTGAAAACGGCGACTGTATATGAGAAGTTGAGGAAGGCGTAAAGGGTAAATGCGAGGATGGAGCTCGGAATACCTGCCGACATGTTAGTATAACCGGATACATAGCCCCGTTCGAGTCCGATCTCATACCGATCCAGTCACTCCGTGAGGGCTTGATGCCGATGCTAACAGCGACGTATACCGCCCATGTGGTGATGCCGTAAACGAAGACGAGTGGAAAGCAGCTTGCTGCTGCACAACAGTATCGTTCGCAGCGGAGGGCCCAGGCTCGAGGACGTCGTTTGGGCCACGAGGGCGAGGTCGGGGGTGACGAGGCCAAGGTGGCCATGACTGAGAGTTTATGGCACAGGTGAAAGAAGGTGGTGCATCGAGGAATTTCAGGGGATCTGTTCCATTATAGACAATTGGAAACCATAAGACAGGTTTCAGAATCGAGTACAGTATGCGATGAGAATATCAGGTGAGATGTACGGTACGGTAAAATGACGGTATTTCTTGCTCCGCCACAGCCCCAGCCACGAAAGGTACGAAGTATAGCGCATCATATCTACCTATTTAGGTAGCAATATTCTATTTCCGGCGATTTTCAGGAACAGGGGATATTCTAGGCTATTACATAATTTTATGTAGGTATAAATGTGAATATATTCTATTTACAGTCATAATGCTAATAGATTCATTGAAGCTCGGCCTCAAAATGCAATGGTGTTCTCGAACGCAAACTCAAAAGCAAAGCTCAACCAGTTTTGCTGCCAGTAACATCGGCAATCGGCAAGTTGTTCTGCTTACACCAGTCATTGACGGGCAGACAACTCAACCGGTAGCACCAGGAGCAGTTCGAGGAGGGGTATTTATAAAAATCGATGATCAACATGATGAAACCAATGAGGACCGCAACCAGGGCGCCGGCACGGACCACCCACCACAGCCACCAAAGAGGCTTACGGCCCTTGAAGAAGTTGAGCGGGCCTTGTGCAGAACCGGGGGTTTCTGTCGAGGTGGAGGTGAGGCCTCGCTTGCCCTTGAAGAAATCCATGAAGGAGGTGGTCTTTTGCTCGGGGCCAGCTTGGCCAACTCCGCCACTCATGGCAACATATGGCTGTCGTGCCAGGCCAATCCGCTCACGGAGAGCGTTAGGCGATCGCATGATAGTCAGGCCAATGGCGAGACCCATGACGAACCCACCAATATGGGAGAAGTTGTCCAATCCTGGTAGAAGACCAAGAACGAAGGAGACACCCACTCCGAGGACCATGATGATGAGCTCAACCCACGGGGATTCACGCTGGGGCCAGTCATACAGCAGGTCAAGGAGGTAAAGGGCAAGGATACCGAAAAGGGCGCCCGAGCAGCCATCACTGGGATCGAGCTGCCCCGCATAATTTCCACCCAAAACGAACCCGAAGATACCACTAGCGAAGTAGGTCAAGGTATAGCGCCACATGCCAACCATGCGCTCCATGTCCGCGCCCATGGTCATCTGAACCAACAGGTTGAATCCGATGTGGATGAATCCTCCATGTAGGAAGATGGGGATGATGAATCGGTACCACTGGTTGGGAGATGGACGATCATCCGTCGACCCAGACACAACGGGGTTGGGGACACCGTTAAAGCCACACACTTCAGACAGAGTGCAATTTCCGGTGGACGATGTGGAACTTGGACAGGGCCACTGGATGGTTTGATTGGCATTCTGGATTCCCTCAACGTTCTTCATACACGGGTTATAGCGTGCTCCCATGTAGATTTGGACGTACGGCGAGGGCCCGATCATCGGATTGAAGGTCGGTTTCGTTTCAATGACTGACCCTGTCAACTGAGCTGGAGGGGGAAAGATTTCGTTAGTTGATCTGAAATGCTAGAACAATACCGAGGCAGGAGCAGAACTCACCATTCTTGACCAGCTCGACAATAAATACGATGATCTGGGCTAATGTCAAGAGGTATGTCACCCAGGCGATCTTCTTGCTGAAAAATCCCTTCTTCTTTCGGCTATCACGTTGTCGGCTATCCTCAATACCCCCTGGTGATGGAGGGTAATGCGTCTGTTGGCGCATCCAATCTGGATTATTTCCATACTGATCGTTGGGATTTCCATACTGGGTGTTGGTCTTCAAAGGAATGTTTTCTGCGTAATTGTCGCCTCCCGTTGCCCGTCCAGCTGCCTGATAATGTCCATTGTCCGAAGCAAATGATTGTTGACTTTCTCGGCTGTGATAAGGGGCTGAGGGGTCGTGGTCGTCGTGGTTGTAACTGTGGCTCGCGTAGCCAGATCCAGGAAGTGTGGGCGGGTGTTGATCTGTCTTCCCAGGTACAGCTTGGTCGTAGCTGGGAGGTTGTGGGATATTCGTGTGATAGTATTCGTTGTTGGCCATGGTGCCTTGGAGGGTTTGTTTTAGTTTAAGCAGAAAGGCAAATCCATGAGATCGTGAAAAGTGTAGGGAGTTTAAGCGGTGAAAGGAGTAAATAAATTAATAACAGATGAAAGAAATATGAAGCAGGCAGTCGTGTTATTCAAATTATTTTTGGGCCGATCGACGCAATCCCAGCCGCGCGGCTGTGGCTGTTCCTATTCCTCTCCGCCCAAGCGGAAGGAACTTTGTGGCTGAGGAAGGGGCTATGTAGTGATCCTAGGAGCGCTAAATGCCTACTATAAAATCTATTTTTACTATTCATCGGCCAGTTCCAAAGAGCTATAAGTCCACGGAAAGATCACAAGTCGGCTTTTCCTTTTGCTCTTGAGTCCTTCGGTTCATTCTGCGCCCATTTCCAATGAGATATGGACATATTGCTCTAGGCTTCCAACTCAGTGAAAGATGGTCGCAACGCAAATTCCTTAAGTCCTAGGAACTCGTCCGAGAGTATGCCATTCATAGTAGATAAGCGTGCTGGTAAGATCAAACTCCTACACCAGACATCGAACTCTAGATCACACGAAATGGTATTTCAGGATGACCTATCAGGTTTCTTGATGTAAGCGGGATGACTTTGGAATCTTGGACTAATCACGTCCTGCACGTGTACCCAGCGGTATAGGCGCCAACTGCCAAAACCCTATGTTGATGCCTTAATGCCTAGCTTTGGCCTTGCGGCCTGAATTAAAGACGGGCAGAAGAATTATAACTAACGTAATCGGTAAGCGAGTCGGCCATGTAAGCCAGCCGGCCACCCAGCCCAAAACGCGTCCATAGATTAGCACTTAGTCAATTCAACCGCGCACCATGCCACCAATTCGCTCCCAATCCTCTAGCAATTCAGCAGAGCAAGAGGGTAGGGTTTTATTAGCTATTGAAGCTTTTAAAAAGAAAGAAATCTCTTCAATTCGCGAAGTGGCACGCGTTTTTAACATACCACGTTCAACACTTCAAGACCGACTACGTGGCCACCAAAATCGCGCGATTTGTCGCGCAAATTCGCATAAATTGACCGAATATGAAGAGGAATCTCTTCAAAGATGGGTTCTCTCTATGGACTCTCGTGGATCTGCCCCCCGGCCTTCTACTGTACGAGAAATGGCGAACCTTTTACTTCAACAACGTGGAACCACCCCGGTTATTTCGGTCGGCGAAAAATGGGTTTATAACTTTGTGAAACGACACCCTCTCCTCTCATCCCGATTCTCGAGACGCTATAATTACGAACGTGCGAAGTGCGAAGACCCGAAAATCATCCAAGGGTGGTTCGATCTTGTTCAAAAAACAATCCTCCAATTTGGAATCCACCCCGATGACGTTTATAACTTCGATGAGACCGGCTTCGCGATGGGGCTAATCGCTACAGCGAAGGTGATTACAAGGAGCGAATTCTACGGCCGGCGCTCGCTTTTACAACCTGGAAATCGCGAATGGGTGACTGCTATTGAGTGTACAAATTCGTCGGGTTGGGCCCTCCCTCCGTGTATCATTTTTAAAGGCAAAGTCTTTATTGAATCATGGTTTGATGGCCTTCCGGATGACTGGCGATTTGAAGTTAGTCCGAACGGTTGGACCTCTGATGAAATTGGACTTCGTTGGCTTGAAAAGCTCTTTATTCCTAGCACTTCTTCGCGTACGAAGGGGGGTATCGTCTCCTAATACTCGACGGACATGGAAGCCATTTGACCCCTAAATTCGATGAAATTTGCGAGCAAAATAAGGTTATACCAATTTGTATGCCTCCGCACTCCTCTCATCTTTTACAACCCCTGGATATCGGTTGTTTTGCTGTGTTAAAGCGATCATATGGTCGGCTAGTTGAAATGAAAATGCGGAACGGGATCAACCATATCGATAAACTTGACTTCCTTGAAGCATACCCCCTCGCACGAATCGAAGCTTTTAAATCGGAGACTATTAAGAATAGCTTCGGAGCAGCTGGCTTAATACCTTTTGCACCTAATCGAGTGATCTCGAAGCTAAATATCCGTCTTCGAACCCCGACCCCCCTCCGAGTAGGGGGAGCGATTGGGACCCAAAAACGCCCTCGAACTACGTGCAATTACAAAAGCAAGCTTCGTCAATTAAAGCTTTACTTCGTGCTAGATCAAAGAGCCCTCCGAGCCCGCTAAATTGCGCGATAAACAAGGTTTTAAAAGCCTGTCAAATCACAATGCAGTCCGCCGCTTTACTTGAGAAAGAAGTGAGCGATTTACGCGCCGCCAACGAGAAGCAGAAGCAAAAGCGGACTCGGTCTACGAGGACGATAGTCCACGAAGGAGATCTTTCAGTCCAGGAGGTTCGTGAGCTACGTGGGGAACCATTCGAGGCCCAAGTTGCACGTATCAATACCTATCGTGAGCAGGTATCGGAGGGTTTACAGCCACCTATACGGGCCGGGCGAGCCTGTGGAATATGTAGGCAGCCGGGGCATAGGAGAGAAACATGTCCAAATAGATAAATGAATTTAGTTACATTAATTTAATGGCGTTGTGGCTATGATATATCCATTTAAACTTAGTATGTTAGACTGGGTGGCCGGCTGGCTTACATGGCCGACTCGCTTACCGATTACGTTAACTAATAACTAACTAACTAACTAGTTAGTTAATTAGAAATGGGGTTTTGGCAGTTGGCGCCTATACCGTTGGATACACGTGCACACTTGTTTAGTACAGCTGACCAATCCAAGAATACATCCATCCCCTCTTCTACACACACTTCAACACGAGCTCTGTGTTGGTGACTCACTTCCCAGGTTGTCTGATTCCATCTTCACTGCCGAGGGACATGTCAGCCTAATGTCTTTAAAACGCCTATTTCACATCCACGCAGCTCCTATATTCCATGAATACTATACATCTCAGGCTACGAGATAGTGTTTCGCCTGGTTGGCTATCGAATAAGTGTCTATGAAATATTGCCATTACAGATCAAAATTAGAGACCTTATCTTGAAATACAAGAACTTCCTACGGAGTATACGGAGCCTGCTTGGCCCGGGCTATGTAGCCCCAGCGACCATAAACAGTGCGATAAGGCAAGGCAGAGCTATAGAGGCTATGACGAAGTCACACAAAATTGGCATGGCTAGAAAATGGAGTTGTCTCGTGATATACAAAGAACCACTCGTATTGCTGCATAACCGATAAAGTGGAGGCTGTGTTGCCCGGGTTGCCCGAGGCTCTCCTAATGAGGCTATACAATTCGCACGATATCTTAGATATTTAACTCCCTGCCTCGTCCTTTTTTGTAGTCACTATCACAATCCAGTATAAACCTCACTTGAGCTTGTATTTGAAACCCGACAAGTGGGTACCTTGGACAGCAACATCTCCAATAAACATCTGCTATACTTGCTAAATCTATTTCCACTACACCTCACGGTAAACCAGACGCTCTACAAATAGTGTGGAATCCCACTAATATATTATCAGTCGAATCGATTGGCTCAGATCCCAACATTGAAAGATGTTTATACTCTTTCCGCGAAGAGCAGCCAGGCGAAGAAAGGAAAAAGAAGAGAAACGACTGGTGAAGCAACAAGCGGAAGACCGAAAGCGCCAGCAAGCGGCTGTTGCTGCGTCCAAACCAACATACGTTCCGTACTATACCGCTCCCACCACACCCGCCCAGTCGACTGCCCGGCCTGGTAGCAACTACTATGCCGGACTTGGCAGTAGCAACTACGACTCAGGAGTGGGCAATAGTACCCATCACCATCACCATCACGGTGGCGGCGGCGGCGGCGGCGGTGGCGGCAGCGGCGATAATTCCGGCGGTGGTGGTTATTCAGGAGGGGGAACTAGCGGCGGCGATTCAGGAGGGGGAAGTTACGGCGGCGATTCGGGGGGTGGAAGTAGCGGCGGCGATGGAGGTGGAGGTGGAGGAGGTGGTGGTGGTGATGGAGGTGGCTGATAAATCATAGTGTATCTCTTGTTATCATGCCTGAGCAGCGGCCTGGAGACTTTTGATGGGGCATAGTCAGAATTGCAGAATGAATGATATACATTGCTATACAGCCAGAGCTCTGTCAGTTATAGGGCGGGATTGCTCTAATTGAGATCTCTGTAATGTCAACCTCGATGTCGCTGGTCAAAACTGAATTGACATTGACGATGGAACATCGTGAAGTTAACCGCTTAGCGCTCAAGTAGACCTTGACAATGCCCACAGAAACTACCTTAACTGCCCGGACCACACGGGTATGTAGCGGCAATTGGGATTCCTAAAGGCACTTTGACTAATGGGCTGGGCTGGCATATCCGCAGAGTAGTAATTTCAATCAATGTGGCCTGTGAATCTGCTTCCTAGATAGCGGCAAGACAGCCAGAACCGCCATATTGATGACTCCTGTCGTTGAGGAAACAACAGCCAAGAACGCTGTTGAAAGACTGCATTGGATGGGGGTTAGTGCATCGAGGTGAACTACTGACCTGGCTGCTCTAAATTCTACTAGCTTGACCCTGTCTGTGTCCTGTTCATGGAGACTGTGATGACTTGGTACCTGAAACTAAGTATAGTAAAAGGTAAAATGATATGCACTTGTGTGTATCGATGTATCGATGGTATTGCTTTGCTGGACACTTAGAATGGCAACTGTTTCTATTTCCTATCTTCTGCAACCGAACATTGAAGATCAACAAAGGGTCTCGTCGGTATTTAGGATTCACGCCCAGCCTCTTCGTGCCACTCAGGTGGGTATTCTGGCATTGGATGAGCGGGCACAGGAAGGTCTGTCGACTGCCTCGATCTTTGGCGTGATTTTGACGTTATGTTTCGGCTGAAAGCAGATAAGAATCAACCGATTGATATATGGAGCTGTGTAGACTTACAATGGATACTTTTGGATGTTCCTCCACGCACATAGGATTGCATCTTTCTGCGCCATTTCATGATCTGATAGAGGATTCGCCGACTCCAAAAGTAGGGAATTGAAGGTTCCCTCTTTTCCATCAAATATCCATTACATGCAGAACTCAAATAACCTTGGGAAGAAGCCCGCAGATGCCCAATCAAGAAGGCAGAGAGAGCCATCTTCTTGCCATAGGATATTCCGAGGTGCAATATCTAGATGACAGAGCACGAGGTCATAGCCCTGTAAACTCAAGGTCGGGTTGTGCGCGAAAAGCCGGCTATTAAACCACTTATCCATCTGGTCAAGACTATCGAAAATTATGTCTTCGGTTTCAGGGAATAGAAGGCCACGACAAACGCCTCCATAAAGTGACCCAGGGATATTATATCTTAACGTTGCGAAATGATTAAGCACGCTTGCAACCCTCTGTATAGCGCTAAAGTCATCTAAAGGATCGATGACCTTTCCCTCTATAAATTCCATCACAATATAGCCCCAGCCTCGCTCGTCGAGAAAGAAATCATACACACGTGGAATACGGGCTATGTGGCTATCCACAAGTTCATACGCTATCCTTTGGTTGTCATATTCTTCTCTTGTCACATCTGGACCGCATTTAACGACTTGGTGAGCAGATATTCTGATAATTCGCTGACCGTATTGGCTAACAACCTTGCCAGGCAATGGGTTTGCACAAGAAGCGATCACGGAGGCTCGTTGGTCTTCTGGAAGCGACATGCTTTCATAATAAAAAACTAGAGAGGGCGAATCTATTGGAGAGCAAGGGATTCTAGGCAAGTTCAGGTTTGGGGATGGCAGGGTATCATGAAATGCACAGACCTCAGGTCAGGTACGAGAGTGAGCCCAATCCAATCAACCCCTAGTCCCTCTTTTATGTTGTGGCAATAGTGTTCAAATACGCTTTTTTGGAGGTATCCCTGGTATTATAATTTTATCCTCGATTTATCGCGAGGTATGACAAGAAAGTATCTGGCAAACATAAGTGGGATGGCTGAAAAAATAGGTATAATTAAAGTGCTGAATTAAAATGTTGCATTCCACGTCATACATCGCTAGATTACGGCATTATCTACACCCAGATAGAAGTCATCAGGGCTAGAAGCAGTCCAAAGAGGCCTCCAGCAATCTTGTTTGCTGACGAGTCCAGCGCCACAGAAGAGCTTGCGATGGGCGTAAAGCTCGAGCCTGCAACGTGGGTAATGTCAATTAGATCAGCGTGACCGGAGGATGCACCGCCGACATGGGCATGACCCGAGCCTGCAACGGCGGTAGTGCTAGTCGCGGAACCAAGAGAGATGTCGAAGACATTCGCTGAACCAACAGATTTGTTGGCAATATTGGTGACTGTCACAGCCGGGCCTCCGAGAGTCAAAGTTTGTCCACTGTAGACGGCTGTAGTAGGCACCGTGGTACCGTAGCCAGAGGTTACGATGATTCCGGTGTCGGGATTGACGATCACAAGACCGCCTGCTCCAAGACTGACTATCTGGTTAGAGGGCACAGCACCATCGGCATTAGGGCCAAAGCCTGCAGCGTCGCCGACAGCATTGGTAACTGTCACAGCCTGGCCTCCGAGACTCAATGTTTGTCCGTTATAGACAGCCGTGGTAGGCACCGCATTACCATAGACAGAGGTTATTGCTATCCCAGTGTCGGGGTTGAGGATCACAAGACCGCCAGCTCCAAGACTGACTACCTGTTTAGGGACTGTTGATGCAGCATTGTGGGTATTGGCGCCGCCAGTTGGGCCCGCGTAACCAGGAGATACTACGACGATGACATTGGTAACCGTCACAGCTGGGCCTCCCAGAGTCAACGTTTGTCCGTTGTAAACTGTTGTAGCACCGGGCATTGTGTTTCCAGAGCCAGTGGTTATTGTGTCTCCGCTGTCGGGGTTTATGACCACAACACCTCCTGGCCCAAGACTGACAACCTGGGTGGAGCTTGTTGATAAAACGCCACTCGTGTAGTCGGTCGGGTCAAACTGGCCCTCAGTTCCTGTAACGATTGTGTGGGGAGGATTGGTGGTAGCAGTTGGGTGAGAGTTCCCATCATCCCCTGGAGCACCTGCAGTAGTATGGGAATCACCGGGGTTGGCTGCGGTAGTTTCGGTATTTCCTGGATTGACAATAACGGTACCTCCACCGGCCGAGGTTCCAGGATTATTGGACTTGGTGCTCTCTGGATCAACGGGGGCAGGGTTGGTTGTCTCTAAGCTGCTATCACTAGAGCTGGGATTGACTGGGTTGGCCGTGGTAGTAGCAGATTCAGTAGCCTCCGGATTAGTGGGGGCCGTTGCCTTGGTAGACGCAGAGGTGGCAGCTGTGGTGTTCTCGGTCTCCGAGGCATCACTAGCAGATGTTGTTGTCGTGGGCGGCTTCGTGGGCACCAGGTCATCGACTGGAGGGATCGCATATGGAGGGTCAAACAGACCAAACTTGTTGTTGGAGACGCCGCAGTGCAGCCAGTAGGGGTATCCATAGCGCTTGACAGCCACAGGAACGGCCAGAAAGGGGTTGCACCGGGTATCGTCGGATTTCATTGGGTGTGTTTGAGTCGCAAGTTCCGTCTTGTTGTAGTCGGTCGAGCAGTGAGCGCCTAAGTCGCTGAGATAGAGCTGTCGAGTAGCTCGTCGGGCAGTTTGATCTAATGCAGTGTATGGAACAAGCGTGGAGACCTCAGTCAGGTCAAAGGCGAAGACCTCCCTGCTGGTCGAAGGCCCCAACAAGCCACAAGGATTCCAGCCATACAACGTGCTGACAACCATGTACACGGACGGCGACGAACTATTCCTCATTAGCAAGAGCTTTTGCATACATCTAGATCAAATCACGTACTATGTGTAATCATGTTTGTGGTCGTAGAAAGTTGATGGGTATGACTGGTTGTCGGTAGGCCAGTAGACCAAGTCAACCATTCCAGCGTACCTGCCCAAATTAGAACTGCAGGTGTAAATTTAATGACGCAGTCTTACATGCTGCACCAGGGGTCGGCCCATAGTGTCCGCTGCTCGGTCTCATTGTAGTACGAGCATGTGTTAATGGCGGCGACTGGGACGGTTGGTCCTGTAGTAATGGTTGATGGCACAGCACTGCTAGACCTCGTAGCGATGGCGGAGCCTTTGAAAAGAGGGGTGGATGAGCTTTTCAAAGCATGAATACCAATCACTAAAGAGTTGTTAGTGCATTGGCCCTGGGCAAGACCGTGACTTTCCCCTACCTTCACCGTACGAGATCGTCGCGCCGAAGGCGAGGAGATTGAAAAGCAACATAGCGAATGGAAAGTACACACAAGCCTAAGGAGTGACTGAAATAAAAACGAAAGGCTTAACCCCAGAAAATTATGGATCGACCGCTGGGGATTTTATTCAATTGCCAGGACGCAGAGCCTCCAGGGAAAGCATTATTATTGACTTGGAAGAAAACTCCATAATAAGAATACGCCATGACTAGGGTCATTTTCGTTAGGCATTGACAAGTGCAGCACTAGTCAGTTTTTCTCGGTTCCATTGCACACTAAATAAATGATCTAGTTATCTATAAATGTAGTGTCGTATCGTGGCACCGATGTATTTCCTATTTGGGTAATAATCACCACCTAAACGGGCAATAAGAATATGCCTTGGCTCACTCGGATTATTCCAGTGCAGTTTACTAAAACCACCGGAGAAGTCCTCGGATATAACCGCTAATGTGGACCAATTATAGGTTAAGCCGAATGATGACAGCCTCGTTGATCACTTCTACTCGTTGCTCGTTGTCCATAGATCCACCTCAATCAAACTTTTCGTATGTTTTGTGGAGATTAGATCGCCAAGTATCATAGCCAAGGCCATGATACATGAGATTACTGTGTAATTCTCAACCAATGCTCTGTACGGAGTACCGGAGTACTCCGTACATGTCTTTGTATTAGGCTATCGTTTGACGGAGGAAATTACTCTGTGCAGGAGTAAGCCGAACTGAAATTTTCGAAAATCGCACTAGCTTCAACGGCAAAACGTCTTAATATCTACCGAAAAAGATGAAAAGGGGATAGATTCAGTCAATGGAACCCTTGGAAATTCTCGGCTCGGCTCGTGGATCTTTACATAGCCCTGAATTGAATGATCTATTCTCTAGATTAAACATGATAGAAACAGAATAATGCTCCTTTCTATTTACAATAAGTAGTAAGCATGCTCTAAGAGATTAGTATCTAACAATTCTCACTTTGGACCAATTAATATTAAGCCTTTGAAGCTTCTAAGCGACGGTTAGCGGTATATTAAATTCGTTGTTTTTTTTGTGGTATTTTTTCATATTAACATTTAGCCAATCCTTTGGAGGGCTAGGGAATACCTGTATAGAGTGTCGTCTCATGATAATTCTTTGCATCTTTCTATAAAAAAAAAAAAGGCCGAGGTGTATTGGACGGGCTATTATTTCCCGATTTAAGCCTCCACTAAATTGTATCGGTCAAAACTCCTAAACACGGGTGACTAGCGTGAGGCTCTTATCATCCATTGGTGTATGTCTACTCCGTACCTGCAGGACTAAATTATTTGCCCCTATTTCCTAAATTATACTCCGGACGGAGTAGTTTTTTCTATTACCGATTGAACATGGCTTCGATAGCCCCGCTTTCTGGCCAAACCCCCCGGGAAGACCTTTTTTTGAACTATCAGAGTGTCATCTCTACAGCTTGAATATGGGGTTTGATCGGTATTCATCCATTCCTTTGGTAGGATGTGTGCTATCTTTGATCGCGGGATGTCAAGCGTCTTCTTCGGCTCTTGTGATTCCGCCCAGCCAGTATTTGTTAGTGCCTAAAGTCGTTAATTAGAAGGCTGTTACTAACGTAAGTCATAGTGAGGGTAATGACGGACCATGGAGTAGCTTCAACGTTCGAGTTGGCAGCCCAGAACAGGATGCTCGAGTCCTTATCTCTACAGCCTCCCCGGAGACTTTGGTTGTCCTGTCGCAATATGGCTGCTCGGAGGCAGTGATGGAAAAAGTCCCATCAGATTGCGCTGTTTCGAGAGGTATCATGTTCACCCCGAACGAATCATCGACATGGTATCAATTAGGGAAGTTTGGAATTAACGGCGGAGGAGTCGGCCTCGAAGCCAACCTTGGATATGTACAGCCAGCTCTATTTGGCCTGGATACCCTTGGAATTGGTCTTGTCGACGGATCTGGAGGACATACGCTCAAGAATCAGACAATCGGCGGTATTGGTACGGCGTATCCCTTCTATCTGTAAGGAAACATATCAATTGGTACTGCTTGCGCGGCTTGCTCACTCAATCATAGAGGAACTTTCGGTATCAACACGCAGCCATTGAACTTTTCCTCATTGGGAAACTTCTCTGCTCCTTCATACGTCACATCATTGAAGGAGAAGAATGTTATTCCCAGCCTAAGTTGGAGTTACACCGCTGGAGCTATATACCGTAAGTATCTAATCTGACTGACAAGATATTAATTCTTGAACTAGAGGTTAACAGATAGATATAGGGCTGAAGAAAGTTTATGGTCAACTAATCTTCTCCGGCTATGACACGTCTCGATTCACCGACAATGCGGCCACTTTCACAATGGCGGACGATATCACGCGCGACCTGGTCGTGGCCCTTCAAGCCATAACTTATAGCGGAGAGAACAAAGAGTCTCTCTTGTCCTCGCCGATTAACATCTACATCGACTCCACGGATCCCAACATTTGGCTCCCAGACGATGCCGTAGATGCCTTTGAGTCTGCCTTTGGTCTCACGCTGGATGACACCTCCGGTTTATATCTCGTCAATGCATCCCATCAATCTATACTTCTCGAGTCAAACGCACAAGTATCCTTCCGACTATCTGATGTTTTAGATGGTGGTGACTCGGCTATAATTACTCTTCCCTATAATGCGTTTAACCTCCAAGCGGAATATCCATTGGTGGAGAATTCGAGCTATTACTTCCCCCTCAAGCGTGCCGCGAATGAGTCGCAATACACACTGGGCAGGACGTTCCTCCAAGAAGCGTACGACCCCTTTTTCCCACAGGGTATTCGTGGAAATGCACTGACTCTGCTGCATTAGATATCTCACAGCCGATTATGAGCGTCGGGTTTTCAATGTCTCGCAGTGCACTTGGGATGAGGGCGCGGAAGAGAACATCGTTACTATTTCTGCGAGATCAGATACCAACACAAACGAGGCTTCATCTCCCGGAAGCAAAATTCCAAAGCCGCCATCTTCCGATAACGCTGATGACTCCGATGACTCTTCTCTCGGCGCCGGTGTCATCGCCGGCATCGTAATCGGTGCAGTGGTTGGTGTTGCATTGATCGCCTTGGCCGTGTTCTTCTTCCTTCGCCGGCGCAAGCAGGATCCCAGCAATGAAGGCGAACAAAGCATTCTTCCGTCGCCCGGGGCTCATAGTGTTTCAGAATTTGATTCTAAGCAGGCGGACGGGAATTTGTTTGCCATACCTCCAACAGAGCATGGGGAACTCTCTGGGAATGACACTCAGATTTACCAACTACATGCAGACTCCGGAATGAGTGCAATCAGGGGTCGACCTGAGATTTATGAGTTGCCAGGCATGGGAATACCACAGCCGGCTGAATTGTCAGAGCGTGACACTGAATCTCCGGCTGCATCAGCAATTTCTCTGGCGTCGCCCATGTCTTTCCCGTCGCCTAGTATAAGCCCCGATGTAAGTCGTACTTCAACGCAACGGTTATAGAAATATGATTTCACTTGGTTATCAAGAAAAAAGAAATCAGCATTTGGTTGTACTATAATTGTGCTCCATATAGCTGCTACCTCGCCAATACCGGGAGCGAAATGATTTATGAAAGCCGAGTGAGAATAAAAGATCGAAGAATAGCGCACCACAGTTAGAAATCTGAAAAAAAAAAAAAAAAATAAGATACTAGCTCAATCACCTTCATGAAGACACTCGGACAGCCATACTAGCCTTGGCCGAGAAAACCCCGAAAGGGCCTAGGGTATCCATTAGTCACGCGGGGTTGTAGATAGAGCTCTAATGATGAACAAACCATGTACGGCCGCCACTTTCGTAATGAGTTGGATAAAACAACAATACAGATCAACATTCCCAAGTTTGACAGTGCAAAATGGACCGATGTGTTCGAATTAAAATTGTCCCGGTCTATAGTTCGGAGATGGGATCGGCCCGTGAAGGTTTCTTCGGGATTCTCCCGCTGACGTCATCGTCATGTTTCATCTTCCCCGCGCCGCCTGCGACATCAAATAGCCAACTACCACCATGGAGGACCCTCTTATTCAAGCATTGCCTCCGGCTACAGACTACCTGACCTATCTTACTCTGTTAGAGTATCAGTTGACCCCAGCACGTCTGCCACTTTTGCACACTCTCCTGCAAGATGAGAAGCTTACGACGAACATCGGTTGGGACCTGGTTAAGCTGCTTCTGCCCATGCTACCAGCGTCCACAGAGTGTCTACAGGATGTCGCTCGACTAGGCAATCCCCGAGAAGTGATCCTACGTGTCTCCGAGTCTCTGATGCAACTTCACCCGGAGGAGGAGGATGAGGACGAGGAACACCAGGCTGGTCAGGGGCTCCCCCTGCACATCCTACAGTTTAATTGTCTTCTCGGCATGCTCTCAGTACTTCACACCCGGATCCAGACAAAAGCACCAAGCCGTTTCGTGGCCACCTCACTCCAAGCGGCCCTGGAAGCGTATACCACAATGGCGACCAACGAGACCACCCTAGCATTCCTAGAGTTCTTCCGCGAAGTGTCTCCCTCCAAGCGGCCTGCACCACCTCCCAGAGCTGCTAGTGAGTCGAGCATACTGAGGGTTGCCGCGGCCTCAGCCCCAGACCCCGAAGCCGAGGTATCTTCGCCCTCTCCGTCGGCCGATAACGAGACCCTCCTTGTTCGGAAATTCATCCAGTTCGGCTTGCTTGAATTGGTGAAGTCATACCTCTTGAGCTTCTCCAGTCCTATGGATCCAGGAATGTCGTGGACCATTCGAATGCAGGAACACCTGCATCCGGATTTGCGTCTACCCGCCGCTCAATCGCAGACTGAGGCATATGGGTCGACTAAGGAGCTCAAGGAGCGCGATATGATCATGGGAAAGATTCTGGTAAGTGAGATCAAATTATGGACCGCGTCCTGTCAATATCTAAGAACCATTATTCTGACTTTCTTTGCTTAGGCTCTATCACGAGACGTTGGAATCGATAACGAGGAACTCCTGTCAATCATATCCAGACCCTCGAAAGATCAAACCGCTCAGCTTGATTTTGATGAACCACCAACAAGCCCCGATCAGATTCCCTTAGAACGCCATGGCTCGCTTCTACTACTAGCGGCTCGGGCTGCAGGCGCAACCCTCTTTGCCTCTGGACAGCCGCTCCGCCCGGTACCTGTCTTCCCCGAGCTGGCTCAGATATTTCACAACTTTGTCGGCGGCCACTCCAATCTCGACGAAGTGGCTTTCGGTCAACCCCATGCACTTCTCGACTCCCTGCTGGCTTTGACCGTCTACGCTCTGCAACAGCCCATCAAAACCCCATCAAGCGATACCGAGTTTAAGGATTTCGTTGTCATCTTGACTGCATGCACAGCACGCCAGAGCCATGGAATCGTTCGCCAGATTCCGGCCGCCATCGTCCAAAGCCACCCATCGCCTGAGACGCGGTTTAAGCTCATCCACAAGATCTTGGAAGATGAGCATCTTGCCTCGGCGCGGGATAGCGCCATCGCATGGCTGAAGGATGAACTACTCCGCCCCACCCAATCTTCCGACACTGTATTCCAAGATCCGCTCTACTTCTGGGCTCTATTCCCAGCTCTTTTCAAACCAGTCACTGCCGCGAGCTCAGCATCTGATCTCGTTGCTAGCTGGTCTCGTCTGACTCAGACTCAAGGTCCACAGCTTCATTCCGCATTGAATCTGTACTACTTGCTGCTTTCCTCGCCATCGCTACGCGACCAGCTTCATCTCGAGAGGACCGTCAAGTTCTTCCGCGCCCATGTCCTGAACCCTCTCCGACAAGTATTCCGGAGCTTCGAGGATGATCTCACCGCCAAGGGAGGCGAGGGTATCATCGAGGCTGCGGTTGGAGAGGAAATGTGTCAGATTGGTAATGCACGGTCTGTCGGACTTATTGGTCTTACACTAGATCAAATTGAGGAGACAGCCAACGATGCATTTGGTCCCGATGAAGAGGATTTAGGTGAATATTCTGAGGCTGAAGAGGCCAAGGCGTCTGAGATTCGGAAGAAGATTGATATCTGGCAATAAATACAGATCCAGGTTACTTGTACAGAATTTGAGTAGATATGATATTTCTATGAATGAACGTTTTCATCATCTTGTGAACATCTTTGCACGGAAAGACGTAGCCTGCATGTATACAAAACTAAAGATTTTGGTGTAAATAACATTCGAAGGTAACCCTTGCAACATAGGAAGGTGGTCACTACAGACCTTTTCTGACTACACTTGAACTACATTAGAAAACATCCGAAGAAAAGATACTTTGAGGCAATGCTCCATTCCTATCAACTACCATGACCAATTCTACCTAAGAAATAAAGCCCTATCCACCTAAACCACCCACCAAATAAGAAACCAGAGGAACCCGCACCACATTGAAAAAGAGAAACACAATCAACCGATTTTGAAGTACGCAAAGAAAACCCCCCGAAAGTAGCTGAAGGAACGAGAAAACAAATCCTTTTTTAAGTAACCGTTGTCACCCGGATCGTCCACGGAAGGTTTCGAAAGGACAGAACAAATCAAAGTCGACAGTGGTTGGATATTGATCATTAGCCGCTGTGGAAACACAGCAGGAAGATCATCATGCACGACCGTCAAGAGAAATGAACTGTCCTCGAGGAAGGAATGAACTGGACAGACAGACTCGCAAGGAGTCTTCATAAAAGCAAAAGCAAAGCTGAAGGTCATGTTTCGAGGGATTTGATATTTTTGGTTGAAATGTTGAATGTGTTTCAAGAGTCCGTGGTGAAAATTAAGAAATTATTGCGTTTCAATGTCTACCATGGCGATCAACGAACTAGGTCAAGCCATGGTGGTTGATGGAATGGTGGAATTGGGGGCGCCCATGGAGAGTATTTAGAAGTCAGCGGCTACAGACGAAGATGTGTTAGTATATTAGTTGTTATGAGGAGAGATGGTACTAACGGTTCATAACGACGCAGCCGCCACCGGGAGACTTCATGACGACGCAGCCACCACCAGGAGAGCGCTTCATGATGTCGCAGCCGGCCCCGGGGGTTCTAGTGATCACACAGCCGTTGGGGAGGGGAGACTTCATGACAGCACAGCCACCACCGGGGGACTTCATGACGACGCAGCCACCGCCGGGAGCTATCGAGATGAGGTGTTAGTATATGGATGTATAGAGATGATTAAGTGCATGCTTTGGCAAGATACTCACATTTCTTCTGGACCTGAGCGCGAGACATTTCGAAGATTGAGAAGAGCTTAAAAAGCGGAAGCTTGAAAAGATTGGATTGTTGTTTGGAATGATCGAAGTGTGAGCGGGTGGTGAAAAAAAGAATTGAAACTGGGTGTAGATGCTGATATTTATATTTGACGGAGGACTATTCTTCGGACTATCAATATGATGATGATACCTGTGGAATGGAGGTGAATGCAAAAGTCCCATTGAATGGCTGACTTGGATGCATTGGATATTGACGAAGGCGTAGAATCAATCTAGAATGCATGGGGTTGGGCTTGTGGTGGATGTGCATTGTGGAGATTTGATATTGTTCTCGGGTTCATGAATGTAGACGTCGTTGCCTCGGACATATGATCTTTGTTTTAACGGTATGCAGTCAGCACATTCATCGAGGGACGTTGATTGACCGCATCAAATATCCTCCGAAACATCTGTGGCTTTGCCAGGGTTGTCTTTCATGAAGGAACGCCGCAGAGGTGGCTAAGGGGCCCCTGTCCCAGGCAGGTGTAGTTAGTACATTGATAGGTCTTTCATAGGGGTAAGAACAATACTAAGAACGGGTCTCCAAGTGTGAAAGAACATTTTTGGAGTATATGTTCGTGTTTGCCCAATGGGGATTTCCAGAACAAAGGAAACTTAAGTTGACCAACTACAATCATATTCCTCTAACGATTGTTCCTCGAGAACAATATCAACTTGGGCTTGGCATACGAATTTCATATCGGATTGCACTGGAGTTATCGTTGTCATTTCCCGGGGACCTGAAAGAGAGAACCCCGAAGACTAAAAGAAAGCAGTCAAACTTCGCTTAGGCACAATTTAGCTAATAGAAATGCTCGAATTCAAGAACAAGACAACTGATGATAGTCCCAGCTTGGCAAAGCCAACCTCTCTCTTAGGTGTAGAGCGGCTCGGTCAAGTCATTCAGAGTCAATCCTTCCTTGGCGATATCTTCCTCGATCAAGAACATCAAAGGCATCTCAACCAGAGTGCCCTTGACTTGACTAAGCAGTTCTTTGACCTGTTTCGCCCCCTCTGCACCAGGCGCAAAGTCATCGCGCACAACGTGGCCCCATTGGAATCGCGCCGGACGTGATCCTTCAATGCCCTCGGTGCTCTTCTCCGTCTTGTGGAAATAGTACTCATAAAACTCTTTGTACTCAGCCCAGTTGCGGACAGAGTCATCTGGAACCGCATGGAATACCTTCCGGAAGACCTCGCTGTTTGCGTGCGCCCGCGAGTTCCAAAGACTCTGCGCAGTATCGGAAAGCGGATCGGCAACAACTTTGCTCTCAGGGCAGTCAAAGTCAAATTGGTTGGGAACCCCCACGGGCTCGAAGTTCGCATCTGGTCGCTGATAGTCTTGTGGTGGCAAGAGACCTAGGTGCTTCCGGAACAACTGGCGGCGGAGAGATGAAGCAAAGCGACTGGCGGTCCATGGCTTACCATTCATGCTGGATGCCACAGGCGTGAAGTCTTCGATAATGACTGCGATCTCAGAGTCATGGTCACCCAGTTGAGAACGGTCGTTCAGGTTGGCGGATCCGCAAACAACTACACGATCGTCGGCAATCATCACCTAATGTTTTTGTTAGAGGTTTGGATTATCATCGAATTTTGCGGGAAACGAACCTTTGAGTGAACATAAAGCTCTTCGCTCACAAACGCATCAATTTCGGCATCGGGATGGCCATCCCACGGCACCTTGCGAATATCCTCTCCGCCGAGCATATAACACTCGCTCACACTGTCCCACCGGTTCGAGGAGGCATGACTGCCCTGTGTCTGGTGTGCAGCCTGCTGGTACTTCTGGAACGGTGCAGAAGTATCAAAAGCAGTACGAGCAGTGCTAGGGGCATATCCACCAGGGCCAGCAGTGTTCAAATCGTACTGTCTGCGGGCATCCTCGTAGTTGACACCACTCTGCTGTTCAGCGGCAGCCATCATACTACCATTGTTAATCCGATCGTAATTGCGAAGGTTGTAGAAACGGATATACTCCATGGGATTAAATCCTTCCTTGGCAATCATCTCCATGATACTGTGGCCTCCGCGGTTGATGGAGTTGTACTGGAACTCCATAATCGCGCGTGTTCCAAGAGTCTCATCATCTCGCAAATCACCGGCAAAGCAGGGAACGGATGGAATGACTACCACGATCTTATATTTCTGACCGGCACGGGCAGCACGTAAAATCCTCTCGACAATGGCGGCACCAATCTGGTTTTTCACTGGACGTTGCGAATCACCGGTCGCAGTGATAAAGAACTGATTTTCAATGTAGATAAAGTGCTCACTGTTTCGGATGATGGCGCAATATGCGTCGGCAATTGAATGCTCAAGCTGGCTGCCGTTGCTCCATTTCGCACAGCTGCGCACAATCTGGCATGACATGTTTCCTCGGCCTTGCGAGGAGGAAGGGCGGCCATATGTGGTCAGTCGATCCTGGTATTGGTGAATTGTTCCAGCGAGCTGACCACGAAGGGTGCTGCCATATTGGGTCAGGTCCTCTCGGAAGCGACGGGGGTCCAAAGAGCCTCGTTCGCGATCACCTTCGTGTTGGTAGTCATCAATTCCACGGGTGTTGGAGTGGGATGTTTCCTGGCCCGGTGGAGGTGGGAAATACGGCTTCTGCTCATGTTGCTGGCCCTGTTGGTAGGGCTGATACGAGGTATTGGCAGTAGACTGCGCTGGAGGGGGTCCAGGCGGAGGAGGAGGGAATGAGCTCCCAGTGTAGTTATACTTGCTTGTATCATGGCTCGGGGACTGACCGGGTTGAGTTTGATAGCCTTGGGGGCTTTGGCTTAGGGGCGGGGGATAGGTTGAAGCATTGCCAGGTTGGTAAGGCGTAGCCGTGTTCTGCGGTTGATACTGGTGCTGGTTTGAGGAAGTCTGAGCCGGCGGTGGCGGATAACTTGAAGTGCTAGCACTGTTGTAGGGCTGGTATGCCCCGGCAGATTGTTGATTTTGAGGCTGGGGCTGCGACGGCGATGCTTGGTCTGAGCTCGACGAAGTCTGACCTGGCGGCGGCGGGAAGGCAGGCGATGTGGCTCCAACAGGCTTCTGCTGCCAGGATGGCGCAGGTGGCTGGCCCTGTGGGCTTGGCTGTCCTGAAGGGTACAAGTTGGGCTGCGGAGAACCAGCCTGTTGTTGGCCAGTGAACGAAGCGGGTCTTCCATGGAGTGCCAGTCTCGCGTATCTAGAATCACTGCGAACCTTGTATTTCAAATCGTAAATGAAGTTCCATCGCTCCACAAAGTGACGCCGCAAATCTTCCACGGCTGCACCATGCAAGCTCACGGATATATCAGACCATCCCATCCGAGACATGGTCTTTCTATCCAGCTGGTTATTCTCCCAGTGAACGACATCTTGGAAATCAAGGACGCGAGAATTGTTGTAGTCCTGGCCAGGGAATACGGTTTGGTTGACATCTGAGGGATGTAGATCCGAGAGCTCATGTTGGTTTGTATCCCAGCGGCCGAAGCACATATCCAAACCACCCATGAACGCAACCCGGCCATCGATCAAGCAAAGCTTCTCGTGGTGAGCCCAATACAGAATGACATCGTCGTTCATTCCGTATAGTCCCTTTAGTGTGTCCTTTGACATCTTACTCAGACTTGCCGAGTCGAGTGACATATTCTGGAAGGATGATGCAATGGAAGCTGCCATCTCTTGGCGGTCAGGGAGGTGGTCCGGGTGACGGAAGACGGCGATATTGGGGTGCAAATTCTCTAGGGTATGTTTTGTATGAGAGGAAGACACTACAGGGATTAGTTGAGCTCTTTTTAATGTTCAAGGATACACATACGAGTGAGTGCCTGCGTAACCTCCTTGTAAACAATGATATTGACGCGCACGCCCCGCTGGGCTGCAGCTTGCAGCATGCGATCCAATCGGTATTGTTCATTCTTCGCCGGTGGCCTTCTCAAATAAAGTTCGGGAGATAGCCACCCTAATGTCAAGTTAGCCACATGCGATGAAAATCCGGGGAAAGGTGGAAACTCACAGTCCAAAATCCAAATCGACTCTCGGGCATTTTCCAGAGCTCGTGATACAGCCCAGAAATAACTGCATCCATCCACATACCACTTGGCATCGTTATGTTCTCGGGGAGGAGCGAAGCTACCAAATCGGTGTTCTGCGTTGGGCTTGCTGGGACCATACTCGGCATATGCCTGTGGGTCGATGGTCGTACCGATCTTTTGAACGAATTCGGAACCAAACTCGGTCACAGTACCTTGAAGTTTCCCCAAGAACCCAGCTAGTTTGTCTTCCTTTTGGGGTTTCCCATAATAGTCGGGGTTTTGGTGCTGTCCACTTGTGCTTTGGCTCTGCTGATCATATCCGTATTGTGGTTCGGTCTGGGTCGGGTAACTCTGCTGTAGAGAACCGGTTAGTGAATGTTGAGACTGATGGAAGGTGAAGCATACGCCTTGATAACCACTTGGGTTGTATGTCTGACTAGGCTGGCCATGTGAAGATCCGTGGCTTTTGTAGGTATCGCGGAGCTTCTTGAAGGTATCGCCTAGACCGCGGGATCCGTCTCCGGACCCACGTTCCGCGCCCTCATAGTAACCACCATAGGCCAGATCATCCTGTTTGGACATTCTGTCAAAGTTGTAGAATAAATCAGAACGAGAAACAGCCTGAATAAAAATGAAAGACAAGTCAAGAAACAAGGATGCCTGCAGAGCGGGGTGCGACTGTTTTAAATCCGATCAACGCCCCGCTATCCAGCCACTATGGGAACGTGGTGATTGTGGCGGTGCATACTCCGTAAGCTGACAGGATTACCTTCCCAAGTTGGGATATTCTTAGATTTAGATAATAGAAGAGGTGAGACAGGTGAGACAGTGTGGAATGTATACTTTACCTATGTGGTATTAGGCCAAGTATAACATAGGATACGTAAATATATATTATGACATTTCTACCTCCAAATCATATGCTATTTTAGATAATAAAGCAAAAAAGAGACGAGTCTATAGTTCATGAAATTAGACATAATGTCAAAATACTGAGGTCAAGATGAAATATGAGTCGAGTACTTCTGTGGTCAGAAATACCTCGGGCTTGGCATTTGGACATGGAAATCAGTCATCTCACTCATCTCAACGAACCTTCATATCCTTAAATTATACTGCAATGCCCACCCAAAAAAGAAGCTCTCTTGGGCGACCCCGAAAATCAGTCGACGATGCAAAATCCGTGAGGCCCCTTCCTATAAGTAAAAATAACAATTTGGCTCACCCCTGGCACAGATACGACGCGCCCAGGTACGCGAAGCACAACAGGCATACAGATCTCGCCAACAGTCCCAGCTCTCTTCACTAAAAGCTCGCGTAGAGCAGCTGGAAGATGTACTTGATCATCTAAGCCAGACGGTGCAGGAGTTCGATAACCAAGTGATCCGGAGTGGGTCGCAGTGGTCTCAACCTCAACTCTTGCGCACAGTCCAATCGCTGCGTGATGATATAGTGTCCCATTTCAAGCGGGCTGATATTTCCTATCAAAAGTCCCCAGAGAACAAAATTTCAGACCCACCTCAGGTTGTCAATGAGCAACCCCACGCGCAGGTCGCGTCCGAGGTGTCAATGGGCAGGTTAAAAGATCAAACTGAGGGATCTGACTTTTGGAAATTATTTTTGGGCTCGTCCGGTGGCATGATCCCATCGATTAGTATCGAGAGTCTGGATAACCAATCGAGTGACTCGGACTTGGTTCGCATTCCTGTGCCAATATCTATTGCTGAACCCCACACCATTCAATATGCAACCACACCCTTCACCCAACGGCTTTTCCGCGCTTGCGCTGAAAGTGGTCATCGCTTCCTATCTAATCTCGCATATAAAGATGAAGATATGTGGGAGTTTGGACTGCTGTTACAAAGAATGCCACGAGTAGAGGTCCGAGATTATTTCGGACGTGTCATCAAGATGGAACCTTGTCATCCTATCATCGATGCTCGATTCCCATATATCAGCGTCGGTGGCGCAGGAACGCACTATTTACCACCCTCTAGTGGCGCTTCTTCAGACACCTTCGCCCTCTTCCGAACAACAAATGGCGTGTCTCATGTTCCTGCCGATGAAGATTGGTTTGATGTGCATGATGTTGAGAGATATCTGTTCAACCAAGGCATTGGTGTAGGCGAGTTTCCTTCGTCCACTCTTACGATATCTTATCCTTCTAGTCCGGGCGCTGGGCCTTCGAACTTGGAGATCCCCCAAGGCGCAATACCCGGCAGTATGATGATGGTCGTCGACGAGTATAAATTGATCAACAGTAAGCTCACCCTATTATTTGCTATTCTCCTCGGCGTCACCTATAATGATAAAATCTAACGTATTCAGGACTGAGCCAGCTTCCAGTCGCTCTGGGATGTGTGGCTGGCTTTCGCCGGTCTGATGTCGAGAGGGTAGTATCCCATAATGTGAGATGGATCCTAGTTTGAGTTACTAGCTCTCCATAGCTCTCCATGGCAGCCTTGGGTGCATTTATGTCTTAGAATTTGCGGAAAATTACAATTACCCATCTTCTTTATATACACATGCAATACCTCGATGAATCAGACAAAATCTCGCTCAGAACTATCCACCCCACCTTTGTTTCACAAAAGTCTTGGAAGTTTGCTTCGACCTCTCTTCGTTGGTCCTATGGCCATTCAACGCCAGGTTACACAATCAAGTACTCTTGATTGAGCTAGAGACGGGACCATGGCGGAGGAAAGATGTACGACTCATAACCTCCTCCCGCCAATACCAAACAGCCGCCGCAGTCGCACCCGGCCCAATTGCCAGAGAACCCAAAATCAAACCAGCCAATGCCACCTGCCAGGAGACATTAGAAACCCCAAGGCGGTATAGATCCCACACGCTAGCTAGGCACCACAGGAGAGTTGCCGCTGCAACAAGCAGAAAGTCGTTCTGGAAAAATACGAAGACGCCGTCTGCAAGTGTCGCCACCTGTGCGAAGGCATCGGATGGGATGAATGCCTTGGTGATAAAGTTTGTCCCCGAAGCAGCCCATGTCAGCAACAAGGCCACATGGAAGCAAGCAGATACACCACCGGCCACAGCGTAGAGAGTTTGCAAGTGTGGGATGTCACGGTTAGCCTTGCCCTCCGCTGCGGTGTTATCAGTCTTGGCCGATGTCCTCGAACCGATCGATTTGATGACGCGGGAGAATATCTGGGTCAGGATAACCACATATATCGGAGAGGGTTGCCACAGCGCAATGAAGACCTGTCGCGTGGTCAGGGCATCAGCCAGCGGGAAGAACAGCATGGTTGTGGGCACGATGAATCCCAGCACCAGTGCAGGCAGTATCGCTCGAGCGGTGGATTCAGGAAGTGTGCGGGTGCTTGGAGAGAAGTATGCTATGCGAGAGGAGAGATATGTGCTCGATCCGAAATAGAGCGGTGCAATCAGCCCGATGCCTCGGAGCTGATACAGAACAGCCCATATACTCGGCATGGCAAGAAGGGTCCATTTGTTCCTTGGCCGGAACCCTTCAACTGTCCAGATAGCGATAATCGGCATCATTGAACCCAGGAAGTACAGAACTTGCAATGGCTGCTCCGGTGTGGAGAAGTTGGTGATCGCTGGCAGGAATATCGTTACAATGACTTTCAAAAAGAGGTCAATAGGCCCAACCCCTGTGTACACCTGGCGAAGGGGTGCTTCGACACCTCCTGGGAGTGAAACCGACTGGCTCTTAATTGCCTGGCGGACAAATCCCATGGTTCCGTTCGCTTTGATTGCTGTCGACAATTGGCGTTGGCCTAACCAGGCCAAGAAGAAGTACACAGCGTACAACAAGATGCTCACTACACCCCGAGAAGAGGGTGTTCTGAACCGCTCGTCGAAATAGGGTATTTCTCGAGGCCTGTGCGGCAGAGGAAGCATGTCCAAGGACACCGCAGGAGAATACGTGTCGATCCATTTGCTGAGGATCATGGATTTGGAGAAGTGTGGCACCACGTATCTCACCATGAACTTCAACAAGGGCGTTTCCATGCACTCCAGGCGTTGCCGGACATGGGATGCTTTGACCAATCCCCACGCACGACCTTCACGCTGCTGCTGAACACTCTCAAAGATTTTGGAAATCTCTGCCGTTGACAGCGTGCCTGACTGGCTGTGTTTGAGGGCCGCAACGAGATGATTTGTCAGAGATGCGGCGGTTTCCATTGCATTGTTTCCTCCCTGGCCTGTCAAGGGCTCAAACTATTTGACGGAACCTTAGTCAGTCTTCGCATGATCTTGTTCTCCGGGTTGGTAGCTGGTCTCACCTTGTGACTGGCATCGCCAATAGTCATAGTTCTCTGGAAATACCATTTTTTATAGACGTATTCTGGGAAAGTGGAGTATGCCGAGGCGATTTTGCTCTTGTACAGAGCGGAAAATTTCAGCGTAGGAGTGATCTGGTCGTCCAGATGTTCCGCTGCGAATGCCTCTTCCTCCTCCTTGGTGAATCGTGGGATATCTGCACCATAGTACGTCTTTCCCATATTCCGCACGAGAAACCAGTAGGTGATGTCTCCAGGTCCGCTGGGAACAAGATACGAGAAATGCTCATTGAACACCGAGCTCAGCGTGCCTTTCTCGATTCCCTCCACGCCTTTGGAAATGCCAAAGATGCACGCGTAAGTTGCAGGCAGTGCTTTTCTAGAGTTAGCCGATACTGCAGGCAGTGCTTGGGTTTGATTTGCATACCAGATTCCTCTTTGGGGTCAATCCACGTGGGATCTACCTTTCCGGCCGCTTTCCACATCTCTTGACGCACTTTAGAATGGATTCCATCTGCCCCGATCACCATATTTCCGGTGTAGGTTTGACCAGTCGCTGTGGTAACTGTGGCACTCGAAGTACCATTTTCAATACTCTGGACCCGCTGAGAGGTGATCACTTTGGATTTATCCTGGATCTTCCCATAAAGGACCTCTATCAACATTCGTCGCTCGAGGAAGACGACCGGATAACCATGACTGGTGGTAGTGTCAGTTCTGTTTGTGTAACGTCATATAAGATTGGAACCCGACAAACCTTCCGACTGATGCCTCGTTAAAGTTATCGAATGTCCAGAATGCTTTTCCTTGCGAATCACGGAAGCAGAATGTGTCGACGGGGGATCCCGCCTTCTCTATGATCGACTCATAACAGCCCAGCTGATCGAGAATGCGGAAGCCGTTTGGCAAAACGCCAAAACTAGCCCCGACCTGGGGTGCAATGTTGGGGTATGCTTCGAGGATAACAAAATCGATGCCATTCCTCTCCAGCATCAAGGCTAGCGAAAGCCCAGCAATGCTGCCACCCACAATGATGACTTTAAATGGTTTTTGGTCCATGATGTGGTCAATGCGTATATTGTGGGAGAATTGAAAAATCAAAGCATTGGATTCGCAATTTATATATGGCCCTAATTGTTGAGAATTGCTGGACCCCTGAAATCTGGGCCCACAGTAGAAAACTGTCAAACTGAGCCTAAACCGGAGGGAAAAAACCCGTTGATCGCTGATCAATAAAGGTTTCACTATGAGCCGGATGAATTCTTTGAATGATCAATAATCCGACCAATAGGAGTCCGTCGGAGCTAACTCGGCATTTAAGTAGATCCACTATTAGAATTATTCTGAGATTTCATTGGACACCTTGGATCTATGTTTCTACAAACCAAGACAATGTTCTATATATCTCACTAGACTTTACATAGCTCAATCACCGGGGAATCAAACGGTTGTACTTTCATACAATGCTTTCGCTGTTAATATATGGAGCAATATATAGACTATGGTTGAACCCCACATTGAAAGGGGCATCTTAGACGTTTAGAACCTAGACACGCCAGCATGTCTAGATAATCGGAGAAATTATGATATAAATTTATATAGATATAGCTGCATGTCACACACACTTCTATTCATTATGCGTTATGCGTAGTGCTCATGAACGCCAATAATGTGAACTTTTAGCCTTCACACGCCAAGCACCTAGCATAAATGAACCTTGGCACTATTACTAAATTAGGCTACCCCCGGTAGTTTGTCTTAATAGAGTAGCTATCCCGGCTCACACGGCTAAGCCGCGTTAAAGCATAACTCAAGAACATCTATCCGTTTCCGATTTCGAGATTACTGAACATGTAAGACAATTTATCGTTGACTATCTGAATTCGAAGACATTGCCGCATTGTCCTCTTTACCACATGATTTCCGTCGGACCCCGTACTGGATACTGTCGATAGAAAGGACAGCTGTCTAAGAAACTCTCAGTCGCCCAACAGTACTTTGGCGGGGGAGCTTTGAATATACCGCGCGTGATAGCCTGATGGAGATGAATAGGGTGCTTCAACATCCATATCTGGCGAATCTTGTAAGCGTACCTGGGTGGCTTGTTGTCTGTGTTGGATTCAGCTTCATTGTGTGATATACACACCACATACTCAATATACTGTAGTGGAGCGGTGGTGTAGAACCAGATGCGGCGGACGGTGGCTGGGAGGGGATAGGTGCGGTATACATTGGTTTTCCTACCGCGTGCAACCTCTAGTGCGTCTTCGGGTGGGATGCACATGAAGACATCCGTGGTTGATTTTGTCTCCATGGTGAGAACAGTGAGGAAGGTTGATAGTAGTGAATTCATTCTATAATGAAATTGGGTTTCTTATATGCAAGTGATAAGCGGCTATTAGCGCTCAGATTTTCGTCTTTGATGCGCTCTTTGTTGCATGCTAGTTGATAGAAAGGCTTTGTTGTATAAAGGGATCGTGATTACAGTGAAACCAGTGTGAAGAATGAAAGATCCCATGGCGCAGGTTCGAATTATTGTTTGCGCCAGTACTAAAGAATAGATCTCAACATCCATATAACCATTGTAATGCAACCACCTATAAGAGTATGCTTTATTCAGATATCCAAAAGACTTGATCTAGCCTTCCTTACTACCAGAGAAACTATGTCTTCTACCCGTACAATATTCATCCAAAATGGCTTACCGATCTTTGAGAATCATATCTCCTCTACCGGACATGCATGGTGGGTGTCGGTGAATATTTTAGACCACGAGATCAACTTCTCCGATGTGAACTTGATAGATATTTTAATTGCACGTCTTCAAAGCAGATCGTTTGAAATCACCCAAGGTATTGCCATGCACCATCGGCAGAAGTTGTGGGTGTCGTTTCCGGCCGATCTGAGCCTTCCCATGAGCAAATGGGCTGCCCTCGCCATCAAATACGCAGAGCACTATAAGGAGGATATCATTACAGGGTGTGTTTCCATTGATTTTGAATATGTTTTTGGTCTAGGCCCACTTGGTAGTCATTGATATACATTTTTGTATACTATTTGTCCCTCAATCTCAGATATACTATGCCAGCCAAGGATTCCGTGCTAGTATAGTTTTCGAATCAGTGCTTTCGCCTCGTATCTCGAAATAGTGTAGATAGATGCAGAATAGTGTATTAATATACATTGTACATTTATCTTGATAATGGTACATAGTATCTCACAAGCTATACTTGAACAAAGGGCTTCTCTCCTCCATCTCACGAAGCTGATCTTCAGTATACTTCTCCTCAATTTCAGAGGCACTCATCATAGCTTTCTTCTTGTTTCCATTCCAGAGACATAATTCCAAGGATAGACAAGCCACAATTCCAGCAGCAGCGAACGCAAGTGAAGTACCATAACCGGTGGGATATCGCGGCTTTTCGTCATCTTTGTAAATGTAGCTCCCAATGATCCCACCCGCATTACCCGCACAAATTAGATACCCAATGGCCACGGCGCGCTTATGAGGATTCGGAATGTTGCAGACATTCCAAGCATTGACACCGGGGAGAATGGGATACATTCCGAAGCAAGCGAGACAAATACCGAAGTAGCACAGTGCTATATTATTTTCGATGTCGGCGGCCTTGGAAAATAATATTCCGAACGCCACTATAAGTGAGCACTGGGGTGCCACGAGGAAGGGCATTCTCCACGAGAAGCGATCGGCGAACACGGAAAAGCCGTACGCTGACAACGCGCCGACAGCGTATGGAGGGATGGTCAGGAGCTGGGCGTTCGCTGATTCGTAGCCCATGGATTTAATGATCTCAGGCATGCTGAACTTCAGTGCGTAGTTGGGAACAGCATTGGACCAACTGGCAAATATGAGAAAGTACATTTTCCAATCGAGAAGGACGCTGAGAATTATCCGCTTGTCGAAGCCCTCGTGGTTACCACTGTGATTATTCGAGGCTATTTGGCGCACTTCGAGATACCGGATCTCGTCTGGAGTTAGCCAGCCTGGCGACAAGGATGGCGAGTCCAACAGGAGGAAATAGCAAGCGACGGCCATGACTATGGTTGCAAGACCCTCTATGATAAATATCTGGCATGAATGTTAGAAGCTGGAAACCAAACAGATGAGAAAGGAAAGAACAAACCCAGCGCCAGCCTTCGTAGCCTGCCGTTCCGTCCATCTTGGCAAGCCCAAATGCTAGCAGACCCGAGAAAGCACCACCCGAAGCGGCTGATGTGTACAGAATAGCGATGCGGGTCTGTGTCTCACCTGGGAGATACCATTTTGAAATCACAAGCACGGCACCAGGAAGAAAACCAGCTCTGGAGGATTGTCAGTATCGGGTAAATAGAGTTCAATATTGGCGGGCATTACTCGAAAAGTCCCAACAGGAAGCGGATCACAACTAGACCGGCAAAGTTCTGAACGAAGCCCGTACAAAGCATTATCACACCCCAACAGAAGATCAGGAATCCCAAATATTGCGACGGTTTCTTGAGCCGGTTCAAGATTACATTGCTTGGCACCTCTTCAATTATGTCAGTGGATATCCATGGGGTTTCATATAAGACCGCATACCAGCAAGGACGTAAGGTATGAAAAAGATGGACAAGGCTATGTTATATTGTACACCGTTCATGTGTAGGCTTGGAAGAAGGCCCTCGATCTTGGCATTTCCTGTTAAGAGTGAGAAGATGAAACACATGGGGCTTATTGAGTTGACATACCAATGTTTGTCTTATCGATGTATGCCACCAAGTACAAGAGAGCAAGCATAGGAACAAGCCTCATCTAGAATTGAGACTCAGTCATCATTTTCGGGGTCAATGGAGAGAGATCGAGAAGAATACATACATCCACCTACGTGCACTTTGTCAATAAACTTCTTTATACTGCGTATTATTGCACTCACCTTCCTAAGAACTTTCTTTTTCGCTTCTTCCGAAAAATTCGACAAGAACTCTACGTCGTCGGCAGAGAGTCCCTGGCCTGGTTGGTGCTCCAGGTGGACCACTGCAGCGTCTTTGTCGGTCATGATGGAGCTAATTGGTATCCGGGATAAGAAGAGATATCAACAGCGTGGTTTGAGACCATCTTATAAAGTAGCGAGGAACTGGGCAGCCCCACGTGGTAAAAATAGAGAAGCTACTTCAAGAGCAGAGCAAACTGGGGTGCGTTAGCAGCCTTGGCAGCCCCGGACTACCCCGGACTTATGCCGTCCGGAGTGGCCTTTTCCGTGAAGTCCGATCCCCGGCATTGAGTTCCAAGGCTCTGGGCCCAAAAAGTGGAGCATCGCTAAACCTTCATTGTCTTATGGAAATTCGGGGAAACATGTCGGAGAAACAGAATTTGGATCAGGAAATGGGAAGATGGCCTTTTCGGACAAGGTTAGGGTTAGTTATTACCACGATGGATCAAATGCTCGAGGGCTACACATACCGATGAGTCAAGAGTCTGCCAGTCACTGAAGAGAAAACTGTCCAGCATGTTCGGCATGATCTCTTCCTGGACGCTCCCCGCAGTCCCAAACAAATCCGTGTCTTGTAAGAATGGAAAGGTAATATGTGTGTTGGCGTTGGTTTCGCCACTAGGACGACCACCTTGGTGTGGATACGGCGGATTTCCCCTCAAGATTCTACATCTTTGGGCCTCGGATCTCAGTTCGTCAAGTATGACGCTGTATCGTCGGTTTTGTGATAGACCAGTAGATCCTCGCTTGAGATGACCGTGGCATTTCTCTGCGAGATCAAAGATCTTCCCGAGAGACTGATTATCTATCTCGTCGGTGGGTCTTGTGGTTCGCTGAATTTCCCAAACATAAACCACTGCCAATGCGCAGAAGATGACATAGTGTGTCCACCAGAAGGAATGAAGAAGCGTACTATCCCCCGCCATTCTGTTGATGAGCTCTAAACTGGCTTTGGTGGCAGAGATGCATTCGATAACATTCTCAGACGCTGCTTCAGTCAAAAGGAATGGCCGATTGGTGTGAATGAGAGCATGAGAATACGCCAGCTGCAAGGCAATAGCCTGACGCCGGAAACTAGGAATCAATGTTGATGGTTTCACAGTACCCAAGTGTGGTGGCAGGCTTGCACGCCATTCATGTAATTCACGGGCGGATCGATGGGCAGCTGCTAAGCGATCTTGGTTGGAAAGGTCGCTGACCGAGTATACTTCTCGTGATACCTTTCCAATTATTCGTGCAATTCTATAAATGTATTAGTAGAATGATATAGTCGTAGTGGGCAGATGATATGTACTTTGCATGAAATATGAGAGCATCAATATAGCAATCGGCTGGATCATCTGAGATGGAAGGTCCCTGTGGCGTCATGTCCTCATCGTTGACATTATCTGGAAAGCTCTGATCAATGTCATCATCTTGGTAAAGTCGAGGCCGGCCAAATACAACACTAAGATACTTGTCGATGATGTACGCCGCCCAAAAGGTGCGCTTATAGCATTCTGAAGTGATGTAATTTTGTCGCCTACTCGTGAAAGGAAAGTCTCGCTTTTCATCGCGTCTCCTGTGCATACCCAAGGAGAGCGTGATATGAAATGCATTACCAAATGTATACCAGCCTTTATTCATGCGAGCTGTTTGAAGAAGATAGAGGACTTGGATGAGGCGTGCTTGCGCTGATTCAAGACGAGGGAACCCCATCTCCATATCGGTCAATCTCAAACCAGCACAGAACAAGTGATCGCTTCGTTGTAAAACGAGTGACTCATCTGCCGTGGACATTTCGCCATTCAGTTTCTCCAGGCGTAGAGTCGCGATAGCCATTATGGTAAGGAGAATTGCAGTCCTGGAATTACCGAGGGACTGAGCAATAGGCCTTTGCAATTCTCGATCCTTCAAGAATATCTCCATCCAGCCTTCAACAGTTTGTCGGTGGAACATGCGGTAGGTCACAACACAAGTTTCGAAATAGAACTCCTGCAGCCTTCTCGCTGTGGGGACATCTGGAATGAAGCTGTCTGATGCGCTATCGTCAATGTGAAACGGGGGGTCTCCGGCCGAAGTGAGAAGTTGATTTCGCTCCGTGTCATTCGGGTCATATGATGCAGACTCATCCTTTTGAATCAACAACTTTTTCCACGCTCGGTGTAGAAAGTTCAATCCCGAGGTAGGGTCAAAATATTGACCCTCGATTTCGATTTCGGGCGAGGCGTGAGAATGCACTTGGGAAGTCGAGACCTCATGAGCGACGGGTGCTGGTGGCTGCCAGATAGAAAGGTCATTTGCACTATCACTTCGTGGTCTCTCTTGGCGTTCATTGATTGTGGTTGAAGGTGGTGGGGTCGGAGGCCGTCCTCGGCCATATTTCGCGTCATAGGCACAGTTGAGCTTTCTCTTAACACAGGTGCTGCATGGAAGTATGCCGTCACATCGTATTTTCTTTCGCTTGCAGGTGTCACAGGCCCTACTAATCTTCGGGTCTTTCCGCCGGTTCTCCTCGTCTGCGCCTAGATTAGTGGAAGGGCGTTTACCCGAAAACGTCCTATATGATCCAGATGCCGAGGGAGATGCCTGTACAGGGGGCAGAGAAGCCATGACTCGTTGCAGGGATTTGTACAATATGCAGGGTGAACGGAAATGTCGGGGAAAGATACCAGGAAGGTGGATGCGGGGACGGATATTGTGGGGGATAGCCGAGAATCCGAGACCATGTACTGTCACAGCTCGAACTTCGCGTAAATCATATTCAATGTTTCAGACACAGCATGAATTCCGTTCATTGCTAGTAATTGATTGATCGTTGATCACATAAGAAAATTGGTTCTTTACTCCTACCAACGTTCTAATTTGCTCAAACATACGTATAACTGAAAAGGAAGTGTGATTTGCTTCATCTATATACACTCGAATCAAAATATTTCCTGCGGGCATTTAGATCAAATTTGTATCACAGGACCACCTTACTGAGCGATGCAGCATTCATAGCAGCGTGAATCTCCTGCTCCGCGCCAGCCTCGAGGGGCAAAAGAGGTGGGCGAACGGTAGCATGAGTTAGGATTCCCCGGGCAACAAGAGCATGCTTGAGTGCCACAGTGCCCTCCATGTGAGATCCACGGTGATAAACACTCTTAGTAACAGGTAATAGCTGATCATGGATGGCTCGCGCCTTCTTATAATCCTTAGCCTTGCCAGCCTTGATGAGTTCGATGAGGGGCTCGGGGGCAATGTTTCCGTATCCAACCAAAAATCCGTCGACGTCGAACGAAGTGTGCAGAAGGTATTCATCGTGGCAAGAAAGAATTTGCAGGTCAGGTCGCTGAGCACGAATGACAGGGATTTCTGTGTCCCATCGGCGCATGTTGCGCACGCCGTTCTTCATCGCAAAGCAACCAGGCTGAGCAGCGATATCCAACATCGTCTGAAGGTTGTAGGTGGCCTTTGTGTTGTCGGGATATTGGAAGAGGATTAAGGGAAGACCAGAGACTTCATAGACGCGACGGTACCGGTCCTGAGGAGCACCGGGCTGGTATCCGAAGCGCAGCCAGCCGTGGGAAGGGTAGAGCAAGCCAGCAGCTGCACCGGCTTCTTTGGCTCGCTTAGCCTCGATAGCAGCAACTTCGGTACCTTCGCCAGTGATTCCGGCGATGATAGGCACCTTGTTGTCAACGGACTTGACGAAAGCCTTGATGACTGAAACTTGTTCTTCAACAGTGAGGAAGGTGCCCTCGCCAGCGTGGCCAAGCACCACAAGGCCCTTCACTCCATCGATGCTACCGAGCCAGGAGCCAAGACGTTGAATAGCCTCATAGTCCACTGCGCCATCTTCAGTGAAGGGGGTGACCGGAGCCGGGGTCAAACCGCGCATATCAAAGCCGACCATTTTGATGATTGAAGTGAAGTTGATGTGAATATTGAGAAAGATGTTTTGTGATGATATTGAAATGCATCTTCACGACAATGGTCTCTTTTATCTCTTTCGGGAACTGTTGGTGTTCACTTGACCTCACTGAAGGGCAGAGGGGAGTCCGCTCGGATTCCCGGATTCCCGGAAACGCGGAGGCTAACATTGCGGGTTCTGTGGCCCATTGACCTTCCGGATTCTGTCTGGACTTCTTGGTCTCATATCCAATCACGGGTCGATTAAACTTGGTCGATTAAACTTTATTCATCATGCCGGAGTGTTGACTTGTCACTGTAGGTACCGGTATTTACTGCCAGTGTGTAGTCCACCAGATGTGATTCTGATAGACATGATATCCATCTCTACAGAGGAGAAAGAACTGAAATTAATGACCATAATGATCTACCTACTGCTATGAAGCCCCTTCAATAAGTTTATAGAGACAGAAGGACAAAGGCTTGAAAGCTACAAATAGAGATCAATTTACACCAATGGAAAGCAAAGAGAGCATGCAATAACATATCACAAGATTGACATAGAAACAGGGTTATCATAATCAATATTCGCCTCACGAGGAATGCATGTTCCAAGAATCCGATCTCAGACTCGAGTTTGCTTGCCATAGTTACGACTCCTCTTCTATCCTCGGCCATATGCAAATCATGGTCTTCAATCACCAACTCAGCATCAAACATCCGCATCAACCATGTCACAGGGCTGGGTGGCGAGACGTGAAAGCGGAGACCGCTGTGCCCAGCTAGCTCTGCAAATATAAGGTATAGCTGACAAACGTGCCATTCGTAGGTAGAATCCCATCGGCATACCCACAAGGTTCATCGCAAACCATGCCATCAACGGGAAGCCGGCAATGTCGAAGAACTTGCTCTGAGTCCGCGTAGATTATGAGTAGCGGGTTCGGGTGTTTCGTGAGATGGTTCGTGCGGTGGAACTTCCAGAGGCCGTTCACATCATGCATGACACGGTGGTACCAATAGAACCAGAAGTCAAGGATAATGCCATAAAGACTAGCCTCGACAGGCAGCCAAGCCCAGCTGAGTGAGGCAGGTGCTTTATTTGCATCGTAGGTGAGCCACACTGTCTCCTTGGAGCCCACAACTGGTTCTTTATATGTCATCTCAGCTGTCAATTACATAGAAGGCCCTCGTGGGTTGGTAATTTTGTTAGTAGACTGGCGTGAAGACGCTTCTTCAAGTGTTCAACATCCTATCTTCTTATGTACATAGAACGTGTACCAATTCCTAAGCGAATATGGAGCCTCGCTGGGGCCTGCCGTAGCCTCTGTGCCGTCGGTATATTCATGCTCCCTCATGGCGCGCGACTTTGAAACCGTTGCGTCAATTTGACGTTAAAGCCATTCATTCCGTGTGCAATAGAATGACTGCATCGCAGGCAAATCGTTTACAACCTCTGACCTTGTCCCCTTCTGATCGGATAAGAACACCAAGATTTGCCTCCGGTCTATTTATGGGTGGCATATTGGAGAGACAAGTGCTGTATTCTGCATGATAGACTTTCTCATATACCATTGAGGGTTTCTCCTCGGCTGTCATCTTCCCCGATTCTCATTGTTCGGATTGCGGTACTTTTCGTTCGCGCCTTTTCTGCAGGCAGACTTCTATTAGCAATTTAACGACCTAGAAGTCAATTGACATACCCATTATTATATTCAATGTCCGATTCTAGCATAAGTAGGTAGGCTCGTAATATATAAATTTAGCTAATTATTCATAACGTATTCGTTAAAATAATAATTTATTACCCTGATCTAAGGGCTTAAAACGGGGTCTAAACATAAGGTAATTAAAAGTCACGTTTCTTAGAATGTTTGTATTGTTTAGTGCCCGTCGTTGGGCTTTAGGCCCCCATCGTGGGCCCCGTAGGTTTTCACACCGGGCCTAAAGCCCAACCCATTAGTGGGTTAGGTTGGGTTGGGCCTTGGGCTTTATGGGCTTTGCGGAGGTATAATATCAAGTCCTCTCCTGTAGACAATTCCTCTTCTCTCCTCCATGCAATATAAGAGTTTTACTAGATACCCTATCTACCGTAAGCTTTACTCTTAAGAGGCTAGTATGTGCATACTTTCGGGTTTCCTGTGCCGTAAAAGGTACCGAGGTGGAAGATGATTGTTTGCTTGGATGCTGATTGAGCGTATCGCTTTCCAACATAATAGTAGTAATATTGTTTGCCTGCCCTCAAGCTCAACAGAAATGAAAGAGATTCTCTATTACACCACAATATATGGACGAAACCCACGCTACGTCACCTTCGCTTAAGCAGAAAGCCTAAAATAGTAGCGTACTAAAGTGACCAGTTTCAGCCTAGGGAGCCTGGTCAGAGGAGCCACATTATGCTGTAAAATTCTCCGTCATGTAGATATCCTAGGGAATGGGAGTACTGGGAGTGGCGATATTCGGGTACCAGATGAAGGCGATAGCATGCTGTGTAACCAACCATATAAGCACTACTTGGACTGCAAAGAGCCCATTATGGACAATTTCATATTTTTTCATACCTTTCCCGTATTTCAAACCTTTCCCGTATTTCAAAATCCCCACTCACATCGAAGTTGTGAAAGGAGAAGAAAATAATGTAAGTAACGAAGTTGCGTAAGATCAGCAGAACTGCTTGATCAACAAATTAGAAATGTACGTGGTTGACCCCATAAACTTTGCTCATGCGCAGGTAATAGTCATAAATATACAAAAGATTGCTACTATTACTATCATAGGAAGAAAATCCTTTTTTCACGCCCACAGACATAATGGCGGCAAACAACCTCTACCAGTATTCTATCCTTAGCGCTCTAATGGGTGGGATCTGTGGAACGGGAATCACTGTTGAAGAAATCCTCAAAAATGGCGATCATGGTCTCGGCACTGTTTCCAATCTGAACGGGGAAATAGTTATCATTGATGGCGAAGCATACCACTTTCCTCCAGGCGAGGAACTCCGAAAAGTTGAATTTTCTGATGTTCTACCCTTCGCCATGGTCACTCGATTCAAACCTACTATGGAGAAGTCTTTGCGTTTTCTTACTTTCAATTCGCTTCCAGAGGCACTGGAGACTCTACTTCCTTCCCGACAAAACTGCTTTTTGTCAATTCGTGTGGACGGGTTGTTCGACCATCTGAGGTTTCGTGTGATAGCGGCACAGTCCAAGCCCCGGGAGTCTCTCGCGGAGTCAGTCAGGCGACAGAAAGTACTGACTCATAGAGATATTGAGGGTACACTATTTGGATTTTGGTCGCCGGCTTTCAGTGGTGGCTTCAGCGTTCCGGGCTTCCATTTACATTTTTTGTCGAAAAGCAAAGACCGAGGAGGCCATGTATTGGAGTTTGATTCAAGAGGGGCCAGACTGCAAGCGGCTGTCCTTAGCGAGTACACTGTGAAGTTGCCTCAGAACAAAGACTTCAATGAAGAGGTAATTGGAAGTGTTGGCGGCGCGGACCTTAGTGCGGCGGAGAAATAATCCCCCACTATCCAATCATATATCCAATGGCAGTGGTATTTTATGTGGTCTATCTTTTGAGGTAGCTGGGATAAGACCTAGATAGGAGTTAAGACTAAGGCTTCACATGGTAAATTCGCGTAGTCAGTTGTATCTAGAGCTTGGGATGTCACATGATTCAGCTTTTCGCCTAGTTAACTCGGCTCTGTTTGAATTGAAGGTCTTATCAATCAACATCTCTAAAAATGTTCAGTGATACTATTTGATGAAAACCCATTCTAGTGTGAGAGGGCTTGGAAGTTAGGAGAATCTAGCGCATGAGAATGGCTTTACGCAATAGGCTACAAGCAGCGGATTTCATTGGTCTTCTCACAACCTCCAATAGCAGGTATTCCGGCCACTCAGTGCTCCTGTATTTGTTTGACTAGACTCATGTGAACGGCAATCGTGCGACTCGAGATATCTGTCGTCATCCGTGCTGAGATCAGCACCTAGGTCTACTAAGATAGTAATGGGGCGACAGAAGAAGATGTCTCTGCTGCCATGTGTAGATTAAGTACTGATATACTTTGTACTGCGTGCATGAATGCATGAAATGAGGACAAAGTATCAGTATCGCGCCACCATCCCGTGTGCAGGCGACGAATTGCACCACCAAAGATCGTTGTCCTTTCGGGTATCAATACTATTCATCCTCACTTCATTTCATAGCTAGGAGCCCAACTGCGGGGGCCAGCCGGCTCACGAGAGTGACATTAGGAACTCTCGAAGTCTTGACGGACATCGTCCACATGCATAACATTGACCAATACGACTAAAGTCATGACACATGTCGTCGTACGTACTTATGTTCAATATGTTTCTTTAATTCGACCTGGGCTTTAGGGCGGATCCAGGCTAGCTGGTATATGTAAGTCACTGAGTCTATTCGTATTGGGGGTGGGTGTGTAGACACTTGATACAATCTTTAGGACCCACGCCGTATGGTCTAGATGTTGCCAAATATCTAGACGGCGTGATTTGACCGAAATCTGGTGGTATGACAATTCATGGTACACCTCATTAGTATTGAACTCTCTAAGATATTTGGGCACCATAAGAATGCGATAGTGTACTGTGCAACCACATGAGCAATACCGGGACTGAAAAGAACCTATTGCGGCCGCTTTCATACCCATATTTCAAACTTTTTCCTCATGTCGAGGTTTCCAAAGAATAAATCACCTATGTGGCGAAATTGCGAAAGATCAGCCTTAATTAGTTTGGCTTACATGGAACACAGCACATTTTATGTGCTAGTATCCAGATATCCATAGGCGACATTTCTTTATACAAAGTACGGCTCCTGGCTATTGCGCAATAACTTCATACCTAGGTAAATTTCAAGGTAAATTTCACACACGGGCCCCTAGCGCCCCGGGTAGTTATAGTAAATAGGAATCAAGTTCCTGGTGGCAACTTTCATCACCCATACATATGGGTCATAGAACGGTTGCCTAACAATATATCGTACTCCGTACACATGAGTACTCTTCTCTCCATATAAATTCATGGACTAGTGACCTCTTCCCTAATTTGAATTGATATACAAGATATTATTTCAATATCCTTTTGTTCATCTTTAGATTCTGATAAAGTTGCAACTGGTCTTAACAATGGCAAACCACCACTCAGATGGTCTAACAGGGGGAGAGATTCTCTGTGAACTACTTGCCAGTCATAACGTTGACTACGTTTGTACGTGAAACCTTCCTTGAAATGCCACGGAACTCCTTCTGATTGAGTTCAAGTCGGCTATCCTGGCGGTGCAGCGCTTCCTCTTTTTGATGGCCTTTATAAAACTGATTTGCTTCGTTTCATTCTCTCTCATCATGAACAAGGTGCTGGTCATATGGCTGAAGGCTACGCCTGCGCTAGCATGAAGCCAGGCATTGTTCTAGTAACCTCAGGGCCAGGAAGCTCCAATCTCGTCACCCCTATGCTCAATGCTCTTCTGGACGGTACGCCGATGGTTGTGATTTGTGGCCAGGTGGCAACCACTGCCCAGGGAACTGGTGCTTTCCAGGAGATTGACATTATGGCAATCGCGAAGACATGCACAAAGTGGTGTGCTGCTGTGGAGAGAATTGGTGACCTGCCGAATATCGTCAATGAAGCATTCTACCACGCAGCTTCTAAACGCCCGGGGCCAGTCCTCATATCTATTCCGACAGATGTCGGGAAAGCGAGTTTTGAGCCGATACATTCCACAAACCCTTTAAGCACACCGCCAAAAATGTTGGAACAGGGGCCATTCATACAAAATCGAATGGTGTCGACAAATCGCCGAAGTACCCCGAGTACCCAAGGTGATATGGATCACTTTGCAAAACTCATCAATGATTGTCGGCGTCCTGTCATATGTGCTGGCCATGGAGTCCTTACAAATGCAACTAGTCCGACCATACTATCCCAGATTGCAGAAAAGGGCAGAATTCCGGTCACGACCACACTACTCGGATTGGGGTGTTTTGATGAAACTCATGAGCTGGCATTGCATATGGTCGGTACCTACGGAGCACCATATGCAAATTACGCCATTCAAAATGCCGATGTCATTCTTGTATTTGGGGCGCGTTTGGATGAAAGAGCCGTGGGCAACGCACTCCAATTCGCTCCCAAAGCCAGGGAGGCAGCTCAGGCTGGACGAGGAGGAATTTTCCAGTTTGATATCAGCCATAACAATGTGGGGAAAGTCATCAAGCCGACACAAATCGTCATTGGAGATTTGTCTGAGGTCTTGCCAATGTTACTTCGGCGCCTGGAAAAGGGGGAGGAATCGAGAATTATGGTTAGATCAGATCAAACTGTGGAAAAAGCAACATGCATTTCAAGTTCCTCCAATAGGTATGCAGGGCCACGCCTCGCCTCAACAGACTATCGCAGAGTTAGACCGCCAAGCGTCATCTTTGAAGCACCGTATTACCATCACGACAGGCGTCGGGCAGCATCAAATGTGGGCCGCACAGCGCTATCGCTTCAGATATCCTCGCTCATTCATCACATCTGGCTCTCTGGGTACCATGGGCTTCGGTCTTCCCGCTGCGATTGGAGCCCAAGTGGCTCGACCCGACCACATGGTGATTGATATAGACGGCGACGCCTCGTTCTGCATGACCATGGAAGAGCTGCTCACTGCGTCGCAATATAGTCTCCCAATAAAAGTCATCCTGTTTAACAACAATACGCAAGGAATGATCGCGCAGGTGCAGCAAGCCGAATACGGGGGCCGAGTTTGCTACAACCGTCCGGCCAACCCAAATTTTGTTCAGTTAGCTCAGAGTATGGGATGTGAGAGCCAGCGATGCGAACATGCCGATGAGTTGTCGAGATGTATCCAATGGCTGCTGGAGTGTCGGAGACCGGCATTACTTGATGTTGTGATGAGCGAAACGGAAATGCTTCCTATTGTGCCAAATGGGAAAGCATTGGACCATATCACATTAGAGTAGGGTTTGATCTCATAAATCATTTCGCATTGTTATGTTAGGAAGATCTTGCTTTTCGGAATAGGATATGAGATTTTCCCCAGGTCCCAGATGCCCCCTAATCCTTAGAGCTTTTAGGGGGAATGATATATTAATTAGGCAGGAAGGACTAGGCTAAGTATACAAGGGAGTGTCTACTGTTCCAATTAACTGATCTACTTCTACGGGTATTCTGTAGTCATTATTTACTCCTATATATCCTCGTAAGCGCTTGTGGGGAGCAGAAAATTGAATTCCCAATAAGAGATCCTAGGGAAGGGTCACCTTTGACAGTGCTAGGGTGGACAGGGGAATGGCATCAAAAAGGCAAGTGGGGCCAAAATGAGCGCTTATTGGCTGGTCGCAGTGGCTTCCCAAAATGGTTTAGCCTGTTGAGGCTTGACGATCATCCTTCTACGTAAGTGTGATTCTAAGGTTAGCATGGAGTGCTTCTAGTAGGGAAGACATTTTCAACTTAACACCCGGTGGGAATCTGATAGATGATTTAACTATCTGTATAATCTGTGACTCTCCCCCATTTTGGTTCAAATTACTAAGAGTCTAAGAGCATGGACCTCCAGGGCTTGGGATGATGTGATCAACCTTGGAAGCTATCAAACTTGCCTGAATATTTAAATATTACACAACTGTCTCTTCTAGGCGCAATGCTCTTTAGTTTTCAGTTTAAGTTGATGTTATTGCACATAAAAGCCGTTCTTCGGCCCAAAGCATGCCATATGATTTCCATGCCAAGTCACGGGATGACCTAAATTTATGCTTATATTTAGCTCCCTTCCTTTCGAATGAATTGAATTGCAGGTGGAAAGTGTTTATCTTAATGACCCAAGAATGGAATTGCACGGGAAATATATCCATATAAACCAATGAATCATAGACTTGACATCAAAACCGGGTTCCCCGCAGTACATCCGTCCCAAGTACCTGACATCTATCTTCCACTGTCAACCAACTATTACCGAACCTCCATCCTTACGTGAAGATCATCTACCCAAATTTATCCATCATGTCGCTCGCAACCCTAGACGTGAGAATACCTTTCATCAACCTGCACCACTGCTAACCTCAATCTAGACCACAGAGCACCACCATCTCCCCGCTGCATCCACTACGCTTTTCAGAGCCAAGGCAGCCCGCAACGTGAGTTTTGAGCAAATTGGTGAACACATCGGCCGCAATGAAGTAGCCGCAGCTGCCATATTTTACGGCCAAGCCAAGGCGTCACCCGAAGATATCAGAAAGCTGGCCGATCTGCTTTTCATCCCCGAGCAACCTTTGTCGGAACAACTCAACGGTTTCCCCGATCGCGGTCGCTCCGTCGAAATGCCACCCAAGGAGCCTCTTATCTACCGACTGTATGAGATTGTGCAGAACTATGGCTATGCTTACAAGGCGGTTCTCAATGAGAAGTTTGGAGATGGGATTATGAGTGCTATCTCATTTTCGACAAAGGTTGAGAAGGAGACTGACGAGGATGGGAATAACTGGGCAGTTATCACTCTGCGTGGTAAATGGTAAGAGTGTCTTCTCTGTGCGTGTTGAACAAGCATCTAACGAATGAATAGGTTGCCCTTCTCTCGATTCTAAGTCTAGGGATATTTAGGAAATAGAAGAGATAGATCGTATTCATATGGATTTTATGGCTCTCCCTCGCATCCCGTCAACAAGTCAAGTCCCTACAAGAGTGACATTGCCATTTCAGATACCATCCGTGATAGGAGTGCAGGATTGTAGAAAGAAGATAGTCGTTAGCATCTGACCAAAGCTGGATTTTATTCCCGGGGGATTCAACAAATCCATTTGAGATGACAACTCATTGAAATACACAGAATCAAGTATGTAGAGTTACATGGTGCGAATCCTCTGTTTGACGCTCAGACGGCAGTTACATTATAGGTCGAGCATGGTGACCCAAAAGGGAAGAAGGAACATTGAGACGGGAAGAAAAATTATTATAAAGGAAGAGTTGGAGGAATTGGAAGAGGAAGGAAAGAAGGATAGGTAGAAATTTGAAGCAAAAAAAGGTCCCCATAAATCCAGACCGTTCCTGGACCTCAGGAGGGTATGTACAGAATATGGTCATTCGATATACATGGTCCTCTCCTCCGGCCATTCCCCTATACACCTCCACCCACCGTACTAACTACGGTCTCCCCCTTAACTAACGGGGTCGCCGCGTGTGGCAGTCCGCGGGGGGCTTACCTAGCGTAGTGCTTCGGGAGAGCTTTGGTGCATAGGAGTCCGACCGACAGTGGGGAGCAAGTAAAACCCGTTGCGACATCCTGGTGTGGGATGCCCCGGCCATAATACCGCTGGGTCACTGGGGGGGGCTGGTTGAAATATTAGTTCTTATCTTATTGAAATAGGAGGAAAACTTAACGGCGAAGTCACTCGAGATCTTTGATCTTCGATTGGACTGTCTTCCTATTGTTATTTGAAGCTCAAATTTGAACTACGATATTCAGGAGTACGTAGCTTGCCGAATGCAAATTTAGAAGAGAATCCGAGGACCTGAAAATGGTGGGTGGCGGCCACTTTGACTTCGGGTACATTCATATCAAGTCAAAAATGAGGCTATTCAGACACCCATTTTCGGAAGGAACGACGACGGTGAGAAACGGCTGGAACCCCAAAGCCAGGCGATCGACTCCCGGCCTCGTCAAATAATTTCATGCTCTCTTTTTACTTTACTAGCATTTCTCCAATATATTACCCAATATCAAAACATTACTTCTTTCCTCTATGCCAGTTTTCCAAAGAGCACAAAGCAATCATTTTGTTTGCCTCTTTTTCTCCCCCCATCACTTTTCTGATATTCTTGTTCTGTTCACATTTCCTTCTCCAACTTCTTGATATCTATCCTTTGACACAGGTCACTTCATCACCCTAACGGCTTATCGAGGTTCTTCGTGATGGCAGAAGAGCTGGAGGAGGTACCCTGTACCTTCCAGGGCTGTAGACTTAGCTTCAAGTCCATCAGCGAGATGCAACACCACAAAGCCAATGCTGACAGACATTCCTACTGCATGAAATGTGACCTCGACTTCCCGTCTCAGCAGACCCTCCATCTGCACAAGATTATGAGCGATCGTCACTTCGCTTGCCCCGAGTGTTGTCTTGAGCTCCGCAGCGAGGCTGGTCTGGAAGTTCATATGAGAAATGTGAGTCTTCATCATTGTTTATCGTAGCATCCATAGAAGCAAGAAACAGTACTAACAAACCATCTATTTTTAGAATCACCACGAAGGTCGCGAAGTCGCTTGCATGGGCTGTGGTTGGAAATACAAGTCCGCCTCTGCAGTCATCAAACATATCGAAGACAAGGAATGCCCTGTTCTTTCCCTGCCAGAGAGAGCTCGCGAGGGCGGTAACTGTGATCTTCATGGCACAGCAAGCGTTCTGACCATTGGCAGAGATTCTCCTGGACCACAGTCTCCACCATCTGAGACCTCCAGCGAGGACCAGGATACGGATGGTGGCGTTCTGCTGGACCTCTCTACACCCCGTATGGAAGGGAAACGCCCTGTTCGCGATAGCAGTGAGGTAACCATTTCTCGTGGTGACTGGCCCGAGCTAGGTGCTCCAATGACCCCAGTCAAAGGAAAAGCAGCAAGTACCACCACTGAATCCCCCGGAGGTATCCTCATCGACGATCTCCTCGGTTCCTCAATGCGCCGCGATAGTCCTTTCCCATCTCCTCGCGGACCTACTGAGAAGTTGGGTGAGGCAGGACCCTCCGGATCTAATCTGGCTGCCCAAGAAGCAGGCCCTTCTGGCTATGCTCGCCCCATTCGATGTCGAGCCACGGCTCATCGCACGATTCAAGGCGTTGACCCTGAGAGCTTCTGGAATGCCGAGAAAGGTCGCTACTACTGCAACTGCGGTTCATCTTTCCTGTTCGTTGCCACCTTTGAGTATCATCTCACGATGGAAGATGAGACAATCAACGAGTAAGTATCTTCTTTTTCGATTCGTTTCTCCTACACAAAGATTCTCTCTGACAATCTGTTTTATAGTTGCCCCCGATGCTTCAAACGATTCAGGACCCTCGCCGCGCTCGTCGCTCACATGGAAGCTCGATACTCCAAGTGTGCTTTCCGTGTGACCACTGGCCAAATCGAACAGGAACTCAGTGAAGTTACTCGTGGCTTTGCCCATATCCCGCGGATGATTGGTGAGGAAATGGAACCGGGCGAAATCGCCTTCGATGCGAGTAGCCAGCCTGAGCATAATACTCCTGGGTCTTCGGATGAAGAAGTCGCATCTTTGAGCGATGGTGACGTCTCTTCGAATCCAGTAGCCGTCTCTTCAAATGGAGATGACGTGTCTTCAAATGCAGACGTTGTATCTTCTATCGCTGAGGCCATGTCTTCCATCGCAGAGGCTTTGGCTTCCAACTCAGATGTCGTGTCTTCCGGCACAGGGGTCGTGTCTTCCAGTGCAGCTGCTGTATCTTCCCTTACGGGGATCGTTTCTTCCAACGGAAAGGCTTTGTCTCCCATCGCCGCGGCTCTTTCTTCGAGCTTGGAGTCCCTAGTGGATGATTTGGAGGGACTTGTCTTTCCCAATACGCACAACGAATATGAAGAGGAAGAACTTTGAGGGTGAGGTTTGAAACTGAGATCAGGGGGCGGATTTCTGAGAACGAACTTTCAAGAATCATGCCTGGGGGTGAGCTTGGAGGGTGAGCTTCAAGATCATCTACCACAGTTCTACGGATTGAGATTAATTCACATCAAGGAAGAATAAAAGGAAAATTGTCCACTATCACATAGCTCCATAGCATAAATCACCTTGATCAATACCCTTTGTCCCGAGCAGACCTAGCAGTCTCTACACACAGCTCTAAGAACCAACAACGTAGGACGGAAAAAGAAGATCAGAAGCGAGACTGGATTTCAATTTTCTCAGCTAGAAAAAGAAAACGGGTATGTAAAATCTCAGTCCGGACTCCATTTTCACGCAAAGGCTCCGGCTAATAGCCAAGAACAAGAGTCATAATCGCTAAAGAGGCGTATGAAGCATAGAAAGTAGAGCAAATAATACTCCTCGGGCCCGGCTAATTCCCATCTCTCAATATCCCCATCCCAAACCACGAAAAACGCAATCACCCGACGAGACAGACGCGCAAGCCCGTCAACCATAGAGAAAGTTATTGAGAATATCGAGAGGACCAAGCCGACGGCGCGATTAGCAGCACTCCTCACAGCACTCGAAGCAAAGAAGACCGGCGCAACTAGATGGATGTCAGTTCGGGTTGATATCTTGTGGCGTGTTTGTCTTACAGGCCGCAGCAGACATCGCCGGCGCCGCCACCACGCAGTTTCAGCATATTCTCCTGGGAGTTCTGGGGGGATATTAGTCGGGAGTTTGTTAAGGGGGTTTGTGTCTTGGATGGCGTACAGGCTGCTCATTCACCATGCCGTCGGTGGAAGGGGCCTTTGGACTGATGGGCTGGTGGTTCTCGATGCTAGTGGTAGCAGAACCATCCGAGGCAGTGTTGGGAGTGGACTCTCTGGAGGAGAACCAAGAGAAGAGACCGTTGGTGAACATCTTGATTGTGGGTTGAAGATGAGAGATAGAGAGAGATGGAAGTGGAAGTGGAGAGGTAGAAAAGGGAGGTAAGCCCAAGAGTTTATGTGGGATTTGGTAAGATGCTGCCTTTTGTATAACGTCGACATGAACGCTAATAGGGTGGTATTGTCTACTCTGCCAATCATATATGAAGCTGAACTTGGATATTTGTTTCCATTATTATATTTGATCTTCACTATTTGAGATGGGACTTCGGTTATTTTTGTGTTATATCAGTATACATCTTCGTGCATCTCACTAAGTGCATAGTGCGTAATACATCACGTAGTATACATGTGGTTGATATCATTTTGATATGTCCATTCTTTTCTTTTGTTACAGACACCAGACAGTTCCCTATCCTACATGATATAATTATGTTAATCTTCCAGATTTACTCAGAAAAGATCTACAGAATGGCGATCTATAAATCCCCAAATAAGGTCCTCCAGGGCCGCCAAGTATCCGCCAAGCCCCACCCACCAACCATAAATTTTCCTCCAACACAACCTCCGTGATATCACCGGCCAAAAAACAACAATGGCAACCCCTTCACCCCAAGACCTAAACGCAACCCGCGAAGCAGACTACAAACGCTTCAAGAACTATGCCGCCTACACATTCCTAATCGGCGCACCCATCCTAATCGCCCTCCCACCACGCAAACTGGACCCTCTCACCGTCCTCGTCCTCTGCTCCTTCGGCGCCTCCGCAAACCACATCGTACACGACCGCACAGGACGCAGCATAGTCGAGCGCATCGACGCGCGCATCTCCCGGATGCAAGGGGCATTCTCCTCCCTCCCCAGTGAGCGGGCGCAGGAGATCCAAGAACGACTCCGGGCCGCGCGCGACGCGCAGCTCCGCCAGGCCGAGCATGAGCAATTGAAGGCGCGGATTTTGGCACTTTCGGATAAACAGCGCCGGGAGCCGGATTCGGGGTTGATGGAGGAGATTGAGAAGCTTAAGGCGAGACAGGCGCAGGAGGAGAGTGTTGTGCAGCGGGTTTGGATGGGTGGGGAGTCTGAGGGGTGGAAGGAGAGGAGGTTGAGGGAGGAGCAGAAAGCGCTTAGTGAAGGGAAGGGATATGGAGATTTGATTCAGGAGCATATTTGGGATGTTTGGACTTGGGGTGGGAAGGATGGGAAGGCGGGCGAGGGTGTTAAGGAGGAGACTGTTGAGAAGAAGGATTGATTTCTCGATGTGCTGTCAGCGTCTCTGTCTCTCTCTCTCCCCTTGATGTATTATATTTTGTCCTGCTTTGCATTGGGGTTAGGTGTTTGGTTGCTTTTTTGAATTCCACCTGCCAGGAATTTATCAGACTGTGTTTGAAAGTCTGTTATTACTATGTACAATACATTGATTCGAACAAGTGGCAATTGTCTGCAATATCTACATGTAAGAGTGTATGCGGAGATGGAGTGCTGAGAGGATATAATTCATCTGACCACGGTCGAAGCTTGTTAGAATAGGCAGTGTATAGAGCCTTGATATCAAATCCCGCGAATACGCTATGTGTTAATAACTCCCGCATCGTCCTCCATTGAGTACTAATGATATAATGTGTTGGCCCTTGGCACGGTTATGTACATATACGCCATTAGGCTGCACGACGTGGCTTTCCCTTTCCGCTGTAGTGCTCACCTCTGCTTTTTGCTTGCGTAAAACTGAGCTCCTAGGAGTAAACTCTGACATGGCAAGGTGTAGTCGCGATTGGAGTAAAGAATGTCTAACACATTAGGTGCACTTCTCTGGGGGAAGTTAATATTGGTAGGATATGCCAAACCTAGGATCTTATCTTTATGGGATTGTGACAGGGACTGGCTAAGTAAGGGGTCTAATCCTTGTAACAATCGCCTAACAATGCCCTCTATTAACCCACCTTCCCTCTCCTCTCTCTCTCTCTCTTTTTGTCAACTCATTCAACCTGGGATAGTCTTGAGTCATATTGTTTCTGAGATATCTTGTCTTATTCACAAATTACATTCAGCGAAAATAAATTGTTGGTTGGACGAGCCAAATTTCCCTTGAACCATCTTTTACTTCTTAAGCCCTTTTGAATCGTTGCTCTGATCGACCTCAATCCCAAATATGGCGTCACCTCAGATAGTGGAGATATTTCCAGGAGACTTTGATGACATCGAAGCAACAAGCGTCTCTATCAATGATGTGATGCATCTGTCTTCATATAATTGGATCGAGGCACGAACGCCGACCATTGCCGTCCCAGGCACTCCAGCTTGTTGGTCTCCCCCGAGAGGCCCCCAGCAAGTCAAAATGGACTCAGGGGTCTATCTTATTGCCGAAAACGCCATTCGTCATCCAACAAGCCCCTTTGAGCCTCTGTTTCGGGCACTTTACCTCGAAAATCCCTCCTTTGATATTCGTTCAGTCGATGTTGTCACCGACCGGAACTGCATCCGACAACTACTTTCGTTCATAAATCCTGGTCTGGAAAAAACTCAACGCTTCACGCTGCACGTAGAGTTAATCAAAAATACGGTGATCATCTGCCGTGTGGAGAAAAAGAAACGACAATACATCAAGCCTGGCCAGCCCAGTGGTTTCGGACACAACTTCGAGAAAAGGTACACGATTCATCAAATCAAGGGTAGCACCAGTCACCACAGAATCATCTCTTATACCTTTGGGGCTCTGAAACTTCTGATTCGTCATGAAACAGATGGATACGTTGCCGCTGGTATAGCGGGACATTCGACTACTGTCAATCAATCAACACACGATCACCTTTCAAGCAAGATGAAATCTGTGTCTCTATCCCAGCCTGGCATTTATCTTTATACCACTCCTCCAGAGTGCAAATTGACCATCAGAAAAGCTGGCGAACCGGTGCCGTTAGCCTCAACCCTCGAGATAAAAACACGAACCATCAAAAGACCTCTTGCAATGAAAGACTTCGCGGCACAATTGTGGATCTCACAAACCCCTAAGCTTGTGCGAGCCTACCATACTGAGGGGAAGTTCCAGCCACCTGAGGTCGAGGATGCGATAGCTGTAGTAAAGAGCTGGGAAGACCTTCATCAAGTCGATTTGAGAAAGCTAGCTGCATTAATCCGTAAGATCATCGAAGTTACAAAGGAGTGTGGTGGGGCTGCCACAATCAAACGAGAGCCCCAAAGCAAGAAATTGACCATTGAAATGGCACACAGAGATAGAATGCTACCTATGGATCTATATGATAAGTGGAATGAAGAGAAGCCAGAACTCTAGCCAGAAAATAGTTCGAATATTATGACCTAAGATTTCTTGATATCACTGTCAGCGTGAATTAGTTCTATTCTATCCAAGATGCCTTGATATTTTCTTACTGCAAACCCCCGATGTAACACAAGCGAGGAAGTACGTGGTATTCTCAACCTCAAGATAAGCCGACAGGAAGCTCGACAGCACAAGCCAAGAAAGCAGCCATGACAGAAAAAGCATTGTATCAAATATGTATATGACTACTCCGTACTAGTAACTATAAATGACAAAAATAGAGAATTTAATCTATGCGCCCGGGTAAAATACCCTCTCAATTTCGCTAAGGCACTGTTCCTATTGGGTGCCAAGTAGATCGCATGCCGTGTCCAGCGCTTACAGGAGAACCACATGCATTCAACTTTAGCTCCGGCATACATCCCAATAGTTATTGAGCCAGATATAGGGTCCCCTAAAGACAATAACGATAACTTACCCTTAAGATACGGATCTAGGTACATCTGACTATTAGTATTCTTGTTGCATATACGCGACACGCCATTCCATCTATTGGTCCCTTTTCGCGCTATCGTGCTAGGGTAGTTGCAAGCTGCTAGTGTTCGACACGCGAGTCATGAGACGCGCCCAACCCCAGGAGAAACATAAAGGCACTAAATATCTTTGGGATTCAAGGATCCACGTCACGTTGATTTTGGGAGATCCAATTATTTCTGACTGTTGGATATCAGACCGTCCTATGGTAAACTATTTGCCAGGCTGAGCGCTTATTTGTCATAAGCCATAGATATAAATACCCTGCTTTCACATAGATTGAATATCAGAGGCTTTTCTCTTCTTCACATCTCTCCTTCATACCGCAAGACTGACAATGAACAATATTGCAAACTTCTTGCCTTGTGCAAATTCATCAGACACTTCAGTCTGTGAAAATGAAGCCAAGTCTGCCTGCAGTGCCTGCAAACTCGTTGCTGTCAGTCCAATTACCTGTCTCTTTCTAATACCGCCTTAATTCTGACGAGAGTTAGTATTGTGGGAAAGACTGTCAGAAGACTCATTGGTCTGTGCATAAGAAGAGTTGCAAGTCTCCATTGAACAAAGCAGACTGGCGTCCTGCGTGGGATCGTGAAGGCCGTGACCCGGCATGGGTCGTAGCCTCGCAATATCTCCATAACACCTTCGGGAATGTAAAGTATCTGTGGGGAAACGCACCAGCCATAGACGTCCTGCAACTGGAAAAGAACGAAAGTCTTCATTATCAAGAAGACATTGCGTTATTATTTGCTGGTTAGTCTTTTGATTTGCGTTGAGGCTAGTGGCCTGTCATTAACATCAACTACATAGCCTCGGGAGACTTGCGAAACGTAGTGAAAACGATCGCAGACCTCCCCAATTCCTTTGAACAAAATCTTCATGTGTCAATCAATGACTTAGATCGTGTGGTTGTTGTGAGGAATGTTATTTTGCTTCTTCTAGCACTCAGCGCGACTGATGCACCTTCGCCAGAGGCCGGCAAGGACGAGGATATCTCTGAAGCTTTGATTCATCTTTGGTATTCCTCTTTTATCACAGAAAGAGTACTTGGTCATTTGCAAAAGAGAGTGATACCCCTCATTAGCGATGCTTGCGACGAGGCCTCCACTTTGCAGCCTGGCGCATTGATGAGCAAGACATGGCATTTTCCACCACGAAAGAGTTTGCGTGTTGAGCTTAGACGAGAGGAGTGGCTTAGAGTCAAAGAATTCTGCGAAGTTCCCGAGACACTAACATACGAAAAAGCTAGGGCCACTCGTGTCTCGGTCACTCTTGCACCTCAAAGAACGGACTATCGGGAAAGGTGGCATTTCAAAGAGCTGTCACCTCCAGTACGCGTAGCAAGGCAACAGTTCCGGGAGGATGGCTTGCTTTTGCCGTTTGGGTACCCCCGAATAGGATTTCATATTCCGAACCCGTATGTCTCACCCGCTATCAAAGGATTTTGCTAACACTGCAAAGAACCATATTTTACGACGGAACCACTTGGCCCATGGATGACAAGGCAGATCCTTTGACAGGATGGTCTATCCAGGAAGTGTATGGTACTAAGACCAGTGCAGCTGCAGATGTGTATGGCAAGCTCTTTGTGCACCTTCGAAAGGTGATGAAGAAGTTTCTCGATCGGCTTTCTATTATGAGTGTCGATTTTGAAATGGTTAACATGGACGCAAAAGAACTTCTACTGCATCTTGCGGAGGATCATTATACGCGGATTGAGGTTAGCACCATCCAACAATAACTCTATACTCTCTATGCTAACTACCTCTAAGGTTTCCAACATTTCCGACGCTGGCTACCTCGGGATACGAGCAACACTTGCAACATTGACACCACTTCTGCAACCACCTGAGAGAAATCCAAATGCCACACTCATCACATTGTTTCTCAATGCAGTGATGGAGATTTCGAAAGCGAATGGCGAAAAGGATTCCATCTCAAATATGAAAAAGCCTATGGAATATTTACCCACACCAGACTGGCTTTCATTTTCAAACCCGCAAGGCGCGGATATGATGAGATTATGGGACTCACGAGCCTTGGTAATGGATGTCAAAAAGCATTTCCAGAAGTAAGTTGACATTTGACATACATGGGCCACATTGAATATTGTTTGTATCCCACATACCTGACAACTCAATAGGTATATGGAGATTCACAGGTTCAATCGAGTCGCCGCCGACTTGAAGGTCGTTTTCAAATCGCGCAATACTATCATTGAAGAGTGGCCAACGCAGTTGAAGCTACAACTGAAGCAAAAAGGTGCCGTGGAGGAGTTCCGCATTCTTTTAGGATCGGACTTTTCTGGCCTTGAGCATTACGTTGAATGGAGGAGGGTGTAATTGACTGGATTGAGAAGCATCAGGCCGCTTTCTTGGTAGATATATTATCGTTAGAGTGTGATACGCCAATAAGAACTTCCCGTCAAATTTGGATTTTCCCTTTCGACAAGTACAGTCATAAATAATTTCAAAAAGATTATAGCGATTTGATCTTAAAATCGACAAATTACATAGGGCAGATCGGTATCTGCCAAGTTGAGAGACAGACTTTGCTCCCTTCGACTAGCTGAGGCACTTCGTAGAGGTACAACTTCACTGCTAGGGCATAATTGAAATTTGTTAGAAGGTTCAGCCTATCATGAACAACTATGTCTAGATATCATTAGAAGTAAACTACTATGTCACATAGACTAGAAATATATGTACATCTCATAATCAACAACCAACCAATAGTCCAGCCTCAATAGTTCTCTGGTATCTAGCAATCGAACTCGATCTTGCACTGAGAGCTAACACCAACTGAAATGCCATAGGCATTACCGTCCTTGGAAGGCTTTTCGCCATCGATATGAGTCTGCGTGGCATAAGAACCGTGGCACTCCCTAAAAAGGAAACAGTCAGAAAATCACAATTCTGTCTTCAAAGCGTAGGAGTGCTCATACGTAAAGTGATTGATATTGCAGCTTGCAGCCCAGCCAAACTTGGCTTCAAGACCTTCGCCTTCAACCCAGGTGAGGTCGGAGCAAACGCCTGGGCATTTCCTACAATTCTTGGACTTGCCGATTTCCTTATCACCCCTATAGAGAGTGACTCCATAGTTGCCGAGCGTTCCGCCTTTTATGGTGGTTTGGTGCTGCCAGCCTATCGCAGAGCATTTCTCTGCTAACACGGCGGGGAGGCAGGATGCCAATAAGAAAATGGCGCCAGTGGTCTTCATATTGAGATGTGAAGATCGGTAGATGGTATCAAGGAGGTTTGTACGGAGGATGAGACTGAGACTGTCCGATAGATATTTGGAATGGGGATTGATAGATTCTAGATAGATGTGCGAATAGCCCTTTATGTACGTTTTGCAGCGGATTAAAAGCATGTGGACTTGACCAGGTTTCGATCTAGAGTACAGCATATATTGGCCCGTGACGTACATCATGTAGATCATATTTTATACCGAGCCGAATGAATCTATGCTATACTCTACACCACTAATATGGGAGTGCCAAGATGGGCCAAGAAGGGGCCGCCAAGCTGGAGCCAGCAACCGGGGGCCGCCAAGATCCAGGGCACTGATACTAGTGCTATAATATGCCTAGGAAACTGAAGATCCCCGCTGTTTTTTCTGTAAGGCACCAGTGCAATGTGAGGTAGTTTGGCGCCGGCTACTCCGAAAAGAAACCCCAAATGATCGTCCTTCTTAGCGCTATAAAGTGCGTAAATTACATCACTGCTAATTTATATAATCTGAGGGGGGAGGTATGCCTTTAATACTAGTTCATAAGGCAGTTAGATCTAATGATATCGTATAAGATCAGACCACTTATTATTATAGGTAGACTTTCCTATTTGAAATATATAAATGCAAAGGGAGCATACTATACTCATGTCTACTGCGAAGGTGTATATCAACTCACACTAGATGAAAGCAGTTAGAGTCTGGAACGGCTCGCATTTGATCTAACTATAAAATGTCTAGGCTTGGGTTGCCCAGTGCTTTCAAAGCCCTACAAGTTTCGATAATCTTTTTGTTTAGACATTCCATTGATCTGCATATCTCATGAGAGCGTGAGATAATTGTATTCTATGGCTATATAACAGTCATAAGTCCACCCGCTACGGGACCCTAGAAGTAGAACGAATCTTAAGCTGAATATGAAAAATTTGACAGTGATGCAATCTTGCAGATCAAACAGGAGCACAATGTTCTCGTTGGTCACAATGTAACAGTGAGCAAGTTCTAGAAGGATTTTGACACCGATGACGATCTATTGGCGAGTTATTATGCAGGGCTCTCTCCTTCAAATTAGGAATCTACAAGCTTACAGGAAAAGCAATCTAATTGGAAAATGATATTGGTTTATTTAAAAATACATCCAAACTGTTCCCGAAACAAAAAGTCTCCCAACGACCATGGCATCGCGAGAGACCCCTTGATCGAGAACGGTACATTCCAAATCCCTCCAATTATCACATCTGGAAAGCTGTGAGATCCTCAACGACCATGGCATCGCGAGAACCCCCAAACCAACCAAATCCCATACATCCAAGTGTTCCAACACCAAGAACCTCCCACGACCATGGCATCGCGAGAGATCCTTGATAGAGGACGGTACATGAAAATTCCTTCCAAGTATATCCCATCTGGAAAGCCGAGAGACTCTCAACGACCATGGCATCGCGAGAGCCTCCCAGCCAACCAAGTCTAGTACATGGAAATTCTCTCATATCCAATATCAAACCCATGTATATCACTCCCAAAATAAACAAAAGATGAGAAATGTGCCAGCACGTCCCAAAACAGATGATATCAAATGGCAAGACCCCTCATTCGAGCCGTGGGATGAAGCGTAGATGGCTTCTTTGATGTCGACGATGATGTTGGTGTTTCTGTCGATGTTGTTGATGATGATGTCTTCATCCTGACGGGGCCATGGGAAAACCCGGCAACCCTTGTTGGGTGCTCGGTAAAAACCATGACCAGGACTGCAGTTCTAAATACAGGTTCCTTTATATCATTCCTCCATTGCACATATACCAATTCGAATCCTTTTCCTCCGAGCTTCTTCTCGGCTTGGATCTGGTCCTCCCAATGGACGGGCAGGCTTTGCACCGTCAACACCAGGACCAGATGCGGGTCATGTTGTGTGTCTCTGTAGACGAAGTCTTCTGTGCCCTACTCTGGGGGGGCTGTCACCCGTCACGGACGGTTCGTACCCAATTAGAAATACCCAGAGGTCTTGGGGCATGTCCAATGTCGGTGGATGGCCCTACTCTGGGGGGTTGTCACCCGTCATGGACGGTTCGTACCCAATTGGAGAAACCCAGAGGTCTTGGGGCGTGTCCAGATGTCGGTGGATGGTGATTGTTGTGGACATGTGTGTGACTTCGTTGTGGACGACAGGTTGCTGATGATGTTGTTCTTTCTTTCGGCGACTAGAACAGGGTTGGCTAGGCCGCTGTCTAGTGGAGCTTAATTGGGGATGTAGCTACTGTTGGGGTCCAACTGAGTAGCAATCCTGAGCATGGTCTCGGCCTGTTATGGTGTTAACGAAAGTATTCACACTCGGGGTTTCCTTGCAACTTTGGAGAACTGATGATCTTGGGATGAACAGCTGGGGGGTAGAAAGTTGCGGGACGGAAAACGGGATGACGGAAAGTGGGATTGAAAGCAGAGGGGTGGAAATTAGGTTGCTGGAAAGCAGGCTGATGGAAAGCAACGGGGTTGAGTTGGAAAGGGGAAAGGGGAGGACTAACAATTTCCTTGACTGCAAGAGCACCCATGGTGAAGGCTTCGATCCTCTGTAAAGAAGTTAGTGCATGTTGCAGACCATGTGCTGCTTGCCAGATATCACTCACTGGATCTGGAAGCGGTGGTGCGTCGGGCATCTCGATGTCATTCTATATACAATGTTAGTAACTAATCTTTTACAAAATAGATGGGTGTATTAACTTACTGGCTCATCAGATGGCGCCTCAATCATCTCAATGTCGATCTTGTAATTCAGAGTAGGCATGTGTTGTTGGGCAGGCATAGGCGGTGGTGCGGCACGAGAGAAGTTGGGGTTATAGTTCTTCCCCTTGTAATTTGGATTGAAGTTTTTGCCTTTGTAGTTTCCATTGCCATTGCCGTTGACAGTGCGTGGGTTGCTGTTGTTGTTCCAATGATTGCCATTGAGATTGCCAGTGTTGTTGTTGTGAGCAGTGCTCCACTGGTTGGCGTTGTAGTCGTTGTGACCGTTGTTCCACTGGTTGCCATTGAAATTGGCATTGCCATTGTGGTGGTTGTTGTTGTTGTTCTTCCAGGGCTTGTTTCCACCGTTTCGATGGCTGTTCCACTGGTCGCCATTGCCATTGGCATTGCCGTTCCGAGAGTTGTTCCACTGGTTGGCATTGCCATTGCCGTTTCCAGGTCTGTTCCGTTGATAGTTGTTATTGCCATTGTTGTTCCGTTGGCGGTTGACATTGGCATTGTAATTGTTGTTTGCACGACCGTTGCCCTGGTAAGACCTGGGCCCGGTGGGCGTAGAAGAGGAGTTGCCGTTGTAATTCATCTTTTCGTTCCGTATACCAAAGCTTTGATGGGCGTTTGGACTACCACAACCTGATTCTCGGGAGAAGTTCCGTGCAAGCGAGGTCATTCAGCTCAACTTCCAAAAGCCGGATTTCAACTTGAAAGATGCCCAGCGGGTCCTCTCTTTTTGGCTTGTTTTTTTCCCTTGGCTGGGCTATTGGTTTCTTCTCGACCCCTGTGGATTTATTTTGTGGTTTTGTGGAATTTTGGGGGGAGGAATGTCTATTGTTTGCCTTCAGCTGGGATACTTCACCTCAAGAGGCCGGTGACACCTCCAAGTCCGACGATTAAAGACAGCCTCCTGACCCTGGCACCTTACAGGGTTGGTTGGGCGATGGAATGGAGTGGAGTATAGATTTTTGATAAGATGTAAGATGATTTTGGTATGTTGATGACCCCAGGGTGAGGTGAAGAAGGAAGGAAAAAGGGGAGTCGACGGGGGGCCAGAGGGAGTTTATAACCCCAAGCTGGAGTACTAAACCAATATCGGAAGTGTTCTGAATTCGTTCACGGAGATATTATATTAAATTCTTTGGATTCGTAAAAGTTAATATCTAAGGGCAAGTTGATCTTTTATACTAGATCCCATGATATATGGGGAGGCAGGCTGTTATATGTCGAGCCTAAAGGAGAGTCGGAGTGAGAAGCAAAAGCAAACAATAGACCATTGTTAGCGATAAAGGGAGACGGACAAAGAAACTTCAGTTCTTCAACTTTGGGTCAATCATTTGAGGTCTTTGGGCATTTTTTTCAGAGATCCGGAGCCCAAGATGGAATCGGACTATGGTTGAAATTAATGCAGAGGGCACATGGATGCAGAACCAAATATATCTAAATGTCAATACATGCCACAATTTTGGAACCCAGGCAAAGAAAAAGCTTTCAAATGTCTTGTGATTCATACCTTCATCCTGCTGTCGGAGCATAGCGGAAGTATCACTGTGTCGGAGCACTGAATGCACTGAATTGACAGGCAAATTTCGGGGCATCACGGGTCGAGTCAAAGACAAAGACCTCAAATGTTATTTGAGAATAAAGAACTTTAAATTCTTTCTGCAGAGAATGGCTTTCTTCTGTATAAAGCCTTTGATATGTCAACTATACCTAATTCGGAACCGGAACAAAATGTCACCTCGAGAATAATTTTGATGCATAAAGCAATAGGAAAGTTTCAGAGAACAAAAGTAGAACCGGTCAAGTCACTCATTCCTTGTTGATGTAGGTCTTACTCGGATGCCATATTTGTGTATAGAAATGAAAAGAAGACCTCTCTTATATATGATGTCGAAGGTCCACGACTTAGGGTTTAGCTAAGCTCCTAGTCCGTTTTAAGTAACTGGAGGGTCTTCTCTCATCCGTCAGAAATATGCAGCGTATACAACGCATACACCGGAGCCCGTCTATATGAGTTCGATCCATCTATGATCTCGCCCTCCTACATATAGTTTTTAGTCTACGCTTACACGTCTCGTGAGCTCTCAGGATTGACCTACCTTCGAGTCTACAATCTCTCCACTCGCATCAAACTGCCTTTGCTGGGAAACACCAGAGGCTACCTACAGATGGCTGTAACATCTTGATTGATAGAATCTCTACCTGGACAAGGGTCAACAGGACAGAAAAAATGAACTCTCACCGAGTAGTTGGAATTCCTAAGAATAGTTTCAGTAAGAACTGGTCAAACTGTCGCTCAAGGTAGGCCTCATTGCCCCTTCCCGAATGTTTGAAATCCACCAGTAGTCAACCACAATCCCGATAGAAATAAAATGAAATCAAGTAACGGACCAGCATCACTCATGATCTCCTTCAAATCCTTGCTTTTTAAGGTGATTTGCGTGGTTTCTTCTTCGCAGAATCCACATCATTGTCCACCAAATCCCCATGTCTCTTGTGCGCATTCGTCACCATAAGCCGTTTCTTCCGAGGCCCGGATGCAATAGATGCTTCGCCGTCATTCGAGACGAGACTGTCACGCTTGCGCTTATTCGGCTTGGGGTTTTCTTTCCTACGACGCTGCTCTTCCTTGATTTTCAGCCGTCGCTGGACTTCTGCTGATATATCCTCTGTTCCAAGTGATGTAGACGTGAATTCTCCATCTTGCTCAGTTGTGGGCTGGGAGGAAGAGTCGCGGTGTCGTTTAGGGGCTCGCATTTCGTCTGTGGGTTCGGGACAAGCTGTCTCATTGTCTCGAGACACTCTGCGTCTTTTCTTGCGAGTATTGGCCTCTGTGTCAGTTGATGTGGGGTTGGAGGAGGTTGAGGGTATGGCATTTTCTAAGGATGTCATGTCAATTCCTGTCTTTATTGCTCGGTAAAAGGTGGGGTAGGTTGATTCCGGGGATGTTGGTGGAACTTACTGCTCATCTAAAGGTGTAACAGTCAGTTATAAGACCAAGAAAAACCAATTTTTGAGCAGAGTACTCACCATATGCTTTCTAGCCATCTTTAGCTGGTTCATCGCCAGTACTGTTTTGTTCACCATTGACGAGACGGTCTGGAAGCCATTGGCCTCTGGAGCAATCTGCTCCTTCACCATGCTCAGCATTTCAAGGTGAGAGCAGAGGACGGCTTCATGACGGGAGAAGATCTAGTAAAGAAAAAGCCGGTCAGTTACAGTTCACATTCCTGAAAATGTCCATATTTTCAGTTCGCGCTTTGCGCCAAAAAAACACGTACCTCCGACCAAGGGATTGGCGTGTCATTTGCATTGGAACTGGCCTTGGAATCGGCGTTGGCATCGTCAACTTCATCCTCCACAGTTGGATTCATGGTGGGCTTAGACTTGGAAGTCATGTTGAAATTGAAGATCGGCAGCTTCTCCACGCCAAGACTTCGGCTTTGCAGATGACGCGCTTCCGGGCTTTAAGTACACGACAGAGGAAAGAGAGATATTGACCCGGTTTACTTGGGATTTGTTATTCAATCTGATAGAGTTCGACGGTCTATTGTCCCTATTGTTTATTTTTACACATTTATTGTGTATTTTCCCTATTGTCTATCGTATTTACACTCGGTCTATAGCCTCACCAGACCTCGCTAGCAACTTAAATAACCCGAGAAACTGACAATAGTATACCAATGACCTTGGAAAAGATGCAAAAAGAAATGAGCCACTCGAAGGTGACCCCAACTGGTTATTATTTCAATCTCGTTGTACATTATTTTCAAGCTCCAACGCCATTCATCCATGCTCGAGGCCTAACCATATCACCAAAAAATCCAGCTATCCAAGAAAAGAATAAGTCATACAATGGAGAACGCTCTCCTATTACCAAGCACCAGCATCAAAGTCGAATCGAGACAGGTCTTTCTGTGAATCTTCGACATCTTTCTTGGCTTTCATGCGCATGTAGAAGATCGGACAGTCACGGGATGAACAAATGACCTCACAGTGAAGACTGCCTTGGCATCGCTGGCACTGAGTCCACAGACGCCCGAATCGGACCTCTAGATCGGAGACCTTAGTAAGGGTTTTTGTGTAAAGTTCACCGAGGCGGGGGCGGCAGTTCGAGCAGACGGCACCCTCCATCTCGTCCTTGCTAGAAAGGGGCTTCTTGCAGCCCATGCAGGTCTGTGTTTTCTTGGCGAACTTCATCAGGCCGCCCAAGTTCGACGCCGCTTTGGTGATAGACCGTGTATGCTCGCCAGTGAGCAACTGGCCTGCCTTCTTCTCACCCAAGATGGGTTCGAAGATACGATTGAGTGGATTGGTAAGCTGATTGTCGAGGTAGTATTTGGTGTCAATGGGAATATTGTTTTCCAAAACGAAGATGGGATCTTCTGCTCGTTCGTAGCCCTTCGAATCACTAGCACCCTTGATCATGACGTATGCCACACGATCACCAAGTGTTGGTGCAGAACCTGCGTCACGCTTGTGCATGCGCTCAGCAAGTTCGACGTGTGCCTGCTTTCCTGCATAGTCCTCTTTGCGCTTTGATAGCGCTTTTGTGATGACTAGTTTCGACATATCAATCTTGTTCTGGAGAAGATCCGAAATGGTGGCTTTGACGTAGCTAGATATTATGTTAGTTTATTGATAGCTTGGTTTGAGGGGTACCACAACGTACTCTTGGGCACCATCGAGGTCTCGGTCAATCAGAATTTTGTTCAACACGGTTTCGATGACATTTTGAACCATCAGGCAGTTATCACGTCGGACGGTCTCAATACCCTTCGTGTCCATCTTGTCGGGTTTGTCGGGGTTTGTCCAGTACAGTCCAGCGTATCGCTTCTTGTTGATCAAAAGATAAGGGAAGTATACTTTCTCGAATTCAAGCTTGATGGGGCTGATGAACTTCGAAGAGACAAAGTCGGCTGCTTCTTGGCCAAGCTTCATCGCATCTGCCAGTTCGGCGACGCCGAATTTGACCATAACGGAATCGGTATCACCGTAGATGACTTCAGCATCATGAGAGTAGCCGTTGGCGATGGTGTAGCGTGCTTCTACCTCTTGCTTCGTCTTCTCAATCATCTGGCGGCCATAACTGGTCGTACTACTGGCAATGGGAAGACAAGGCAGTTTACCCACAGTGGCACCCGTCAGACCGTAAACACTGTTTGCGCTGATCTTCAAAGCGAGTTGACGACCATTCAGCACTGCCTTTTTGAAAGAATCGGTCTCGGTAGCCAACTCCTTCTTCGCGCGCTTTCTTGCCCCCAACAGCTCTTCGAGAATCTGGGACAAAAGGCCTTTGCGAACTTTGGTTGTGCAAAACATGTCTCCGTTTGGAGTAACAATGTAATCCTCATCCTTTTTCAGGTTCAATTTCTCAACACTGCTCTTGTTGAGCAAGGTCGTGTAACAGAGGTTGTGTGCTTGGATGATCGAGGGGTATAGTGATGCGAAATCGAGGGTTGCAACGGGCACACCATAGTATCCTCGCTTCGGCTCGATAACAGTGGCACCTTCGTAGTCTTGCTCGTCCTGAGACTTTGAATTGGGAATAACGAGTTGCTGCTCTCGAGCTTTGCGGAACAGTTGACTGATGAACTTGACTTGTTGTCCTCGAGACAAGAGGAAATTAAACGGTACACCCGTGACTCTTGCCATTTCTGTGTAGTTGACCAGGCACATCAATTTGTCCATTAATCGTTGTGGGAGATATGCATCTTTCAGACAGTACACTGCCAGTCGTCGTCTCGAATCGGGGGTACCGTTGAACAGCTCAGTAATCATCGTGTGGTGAACGTCTTCCTTTTGCTCCTTCAAAAACTCGTATGATACGGAATTAAGGGTGTAACTTCTCAACTGGTGATCTCTTTGGACCAATTGGAGAAGATCAAGTTGAATTCTGCCGTTTGTATTCGTCGCTTTCGTGTCCCGGTTGCCCATTTGCTTGCTCGAAAAGTTTGCATCCTTGGCCTCTGTCTTGAAACCCTTCAGTCTGGTCCAATATGGGAACCCAGTGCATTTCAAATGCTTGGCGCGATCGAGTAGGTATGGGAAATCGAAGTTGGCAATGTTGTATCCGATAATAACGTCGGGGTCTACCTTTTCCACGAAATCGCGCCAGGCGTCGAGCATCTTCTCTTCCTTTTGAAATTCAAGGATTTGGGTATTGACGATGAGACTGCAGGTATCGAGGACAAAGACGTTTCTGATAAATGGTTTCGTTTCTCCGTATCGAGTAACAACGTTGGCGATTTGGATAACGGGGTCCATGTTAGGCTCCGGGAAGATACCTTTCCGCCCGGCACACTCAATATCAAAGGAGAGGACGCGAAGAGGTGCCATTTTAGCCCATTCTCCATTTGGTGGATGAGCTACCATGTGGCGATAGTCGACACAGGCTTCAATTTGGCAGTTGGACAACCGTTGATTCTGTGCAAGAAGACGATATTTCCCAGCCATTGCCTCGACCCAAGACATTCCAGCCAGCCCAGTGTCAATCATAAAGCGCAAAAGGTATTGAATACTGTCAAATGTGAGGATTCCATCTGCGCCGCTCCACATGCCCTTGTAGTTCATGCTTCCACTGCCAGTCTCCAACGCACTTCGCAACCGAGCGGCCATTTTTGGCTCAGTGACCGTAATTTTAATATAATAACTCTTTTGATTACCTTGAAATCCGTAGATATTCTCGCGCATTGTGAGCTGAACGGAGGAGATCGCAGTGAAGCTCTGGCCTAGCTTTTGCTCTAGGAAATGTTTGTAAGGGTCGCAATCCGCTTTGGTGAAGCTGACAGGAGCAGCGATGTAGAGGTAGTGTTCAAAGCCGGTGACATGAAGGCAAACCGATTGTCCGGTCTAAGAATACTGTTAGATATGAAACCCCAGCGAATGGCAAATAAATTTACCTCGGTGACGCCGAAAAGCCGAATGGCAGGCTTGCCCATCAGCATTGCTTCTTCCGCGTCAATCTGTTGGAAACAGATGTTTTCCTTGGTTTCATCGAAATCACCAAGCGAGGGACGTTCCCATTGCTGGTCTTTCTCCGAGTTGTTCTCCTTCAACTCGCCGATATCCTGCGTCAACTTTTCCAGTACCTCCTCCTCGAATTGACTTTTCTGTGGTTGAGTTGAGCCAATCTTTCGCCGGGCGATCTGTGAGGATGGCGTAAACTTCACAGATGGTTCATTGTCGAGTTTCCGCTTTTTGAGACCGCTAGCAGATTTCAAAATACCGTTGGAATTATTGGCGGCATCGCCCAGCACCCGCTTCTGTGGGGGGATGGTAGCTTCAGGCATGGCGGCAACTTAAAGGCCGAGGCTCAGCAAGTCGCAGTCAATTTTGTGGGAAAGAGGATGGGTTGGGAGGGGATTCGTAAACTCGGGAATATGTTGAGCGGGCAACTCCTAGTGGAAGTCGCGCTATCGCGCCTTCGACGTGACGTTTACGCGTGAGAGTCACGTGCGATAAGATAGGCTAAATTGAAGCAGAGATTCGGGGTGATTTGATTGGTCGAAAGGTGAAGAGGTCGAGGATATACACGTTTAGCTCTCGATGTTTCTTTTTTATTGGAGATTCTCGTGTTATATGCGAATAGTCAGTAATGTATGTATGTTATATAGAGAGCTACATTGAGCAGATATGTGTGGCCTTTCATCTATACTTTCAAGACCCAACGTGTTCGGAAACGGATGACTCGCCTCCCTGGGCTTGGCATCGAATGACTCCAGGCTTGATCCTAAGCCAAGTCTTTGTCTACTTCTTCACGTTTATTTGCCAATTTCCCTGTACAATCCCTGACTCCAACATCCCTTCGAGTCTTCTGCCAAGAGCTGCATGCCCCACGCCCTGCTAGAGACATTCTAGTAGAACCCAATGGAAGCTTGAGTCAATGATCGCCCCGGGATTCTATGACATGTTTACATCCTTTTGATCTCAAGCTCAACGTGTCATCTCCGTCTGATTAATTGACACCTGTTTATTTCTGTCATTCTTTCAGTTTCACGTCGTTGTCTTGGTCAAAGAGCTTCCATTTTTACTGCGGGGCAACCTTCAGCCCAACTTTCCGGAGGCAACACGATTTATACCGACCTATGGACCTGTCTTTTTTCCCTTCTTCTTTTCTTGAATTTATTATACTTCACCTTTTGCCAATGGCGCCGGTGCAGCACTGATTCGATTCTTCATTGCGTGTGCTATTAGAATGAAAAGTGTTATCAATATGTCGATGTTCCGATCAGCAGCAGAAATATCATCGTCGGACTCGGATCCCGACTCCGATTCAGAACAAAATCAAATCCAGGAATCTGGGTCATCAACTCCTCGACATGTTACAGATAATCAATCCCGCAGCCCGAGGAAGGAAAAGACCAAGCAAGTTCCGAAAGACTCGGATTCTACAGATCCAGACTCTTCGATCTCGTTCGACGATAGATCAGCATTACCACAGGACTTGGTTGATGTAAATGTTGATCAACATGCAAATGTGATGACAGCCGCACTCTTGGAATTTTACTGTCAGAGTCGAGCAGCAGACATTCTCAATGCTCAACGTGGCTCAAATAAGCCGTTCAGTCGACACAGTCCCGAAGCTCAGTACCTTGGCAAGAAACTATACAAATTCAAATCACAGTTCCTGTCGACCCATGGTATCTTGGCCGACGGCATTGACAGAGAGGAAATGGGGCCAAGTAGACAGAGTTATCGGGATAACCTTGACTTGCTCGGTATATCTGCCCTTGAGGAGATGAATTTCCATGAACCCCACGGACGGTCTCCCGCAATTGGCTCTGGCGAGGATCTCCCCTTAATCTCAAAAGCTTGGATAAAGAATCCCAGCGTTGAAGATGCGGAGAGTCCTACTCTGTTCCGGCGGAACACCGAACCAAATCCAGCGTTTAGGAAACAGCTTCCTCCTGCTAGTAAGGTGGATTTTATTCCAACGGTTCCCCGTGCGACAATGAACCTCCCGAACCCCTCGATTCCCCTATTTGGTAGTTCACCTGTAGGGGTTCCGCTTTTCCATTCTCCCACAGCCCCACCATATAATCAGCTGTCGAGATATTCCGTCGAATTCCAGGAGCTCAAGATATTGGGCCGCGGGTCCTTCGGTGAAGTATACCACGTCACCAACCACATAGACGGACAAGACTATGCCGTCAAGAAAATCCCACTCAGCCAAAGACGACTTGAACAGCTGCAATTTGGAGGTCAAAATCAGCTCGAGGTTATCATGAAGGAAATTCGAACACTTGCCCGTCTTGAGCATACCAATATCGTTCGATACTATGGGGCATGGGTCGAGCAGGCCCATCACTCACACCCACCGGCCGAATACCCTTCTCACACAGAATGTGATGAGTCGCAAAACAGCGTGTCCTCTCCGGGTATCCCGAACGAGTCAAGCATGGGAATCGTCTTCGGATATTCTGAAAGCTCAGATCCCGAGTCCCAGTCAAGCTCTCTGCCTGAAGATCATAGCTTCGCCGAGAGCATTCAACGCTGGGACAGTCGTGCGACTAGCTCGTCTCATCGGTCAAAGAAAAGTTCACGGAGAGGACTGGACGAGGAAGATGATGATATTGAATCCATTCCCCGTACCTTCGACGGGAACACTTCTGTTGGCCAAACTTCCACTTTTGGAGATACCGATGACATATTCACTGATGGTCTGAGTCAAGACCAGTCTAAACTTCAAGTTCAACCCCGTTCCCGGCCTGGTCAGCAACCCCCCGCGGTCATTCTCCACATTCAAATGTCACTTCATCCTATTTCACTCGGCGCGTATCTGAACCCTCAAGCCGCTCCGAAATATGATGGATGTTCACTTGCCAGGCGCCATTGCTTCCACCTACTGCCCTCACTGAAGCTCATGATGGACATTGTTTCGGGTGTTGAGTATCTGCACTCAAAGGGAATTGTGCATCGTGACTTGAAGCCTGCAAATATCTTCCTGTGTGCACCAGAGAACAGCACAGCAGATATATGCGCCGCGTGCAGCTCCGGCGAATCTTCTCCCGTCCAGTTCTGTCGTCCTCGCATCGGGGACTTTGGTCTCGTGGCAGACATCTCCCACATCAACGAGGCGGCACAGGGCACTATGACACCATTCCGAGAGGGTCCAAATATACAGCGGGTAGTTGGAACCGAGTTCTATCGTCCTCCAGCCAATCTATCTGCGCCTTCAACTAACCCGAGCTCACCGGTGGATTACTTTGACGAATACAAGATTGATGAAAAGCTCGATGTATACGCCCTTGGTGTCATTCTCTTCGAGACTGTTTATCGTTTGAACACTAAGATGGAAAGACAATTCGTCTTGAATGACCTGACTCGCGGATCAGGTCAAGATCCCTCTGAGCGCACCATTTTCCCTGCAGACTTCGCCGCCAAGGTCGATTATGGCTCAGTCGTGCTGGACAATGGAACCACAGTCGCGGATTCTCTCATGAAATGTATGAAAGGAATGTTGGAACCCAAATCACAGCAGCGGTGGACCTGCCAGGATGTCAAGGAGCATTTGCGGGCAATGAAGAAAGCGGTTCGCCGATACGAGGAAACGCAGGAAAAGGAAAAGGACCAATGAGCTTGGATTCTAATACCATATACCCAAATAATAATGATAGAAATGCATAACTCCCCTCTATGAAGCACAAAATGATCGGCATTCGGGCCTCGGTCTCCATAAGCTCTCCCCACGTTCTTCACAGGCGACCGAGCTTGGTCTTCCCCGCATAAAACCACCTTACACTTCTAACCATCAAATAATCAAATATAGCTCTATTCCATATTCCATATTACCTAGCTAACTAGCTACCTACTTTGTATTCATCTTCCCTTAACACTAAATACTACCTCATAATGGCCGATACCCTCCGCCCAGCAACAGCTCCATACAGCGAGCCCCTGCTCCCACAACTAGACATCCGCAATCCATACTACACAGACCTGCACCACAACCTACGCGCCACTGTGCGCGAATACATCGACACATACATATCCCCGTACGCCGCAGAGTGGGAAGAAGCAGGCCAAGTCCCCGAAGCCGTACGCCAGCGCCATTGCAAGCTAGGCTACAGCATCGTTCATCCCCTCACGAGCGAAGATGACTCGGCCGGTCTCTCTCTGCCTGGAAATGTGCCGCACGAGAAGTGGGATATATGGTGCTCGCTGATTGTATCGGATGAGCTCACGCGCGTTGGATACGTCGGTGTGAGCTGGGGGCTTGGGGGTGGTAATGCGATTGGATGTCCGCCTGTTGCGCGTTTTGGAAATCCTGAGCAGAGGAAGAAGTGGCTTCCTGGTGTTGCGAGGGGGGATATTAGGTTTTGTTTGGGGATTACCGAGCCGGATGGTATGTGAATGTTTACTTTGTGGTGGAAGTATATCTTCCTAAGGAAACGAGTTGCTGACTTTGTTTGGTTCTTCAGCGGGCTCTGATGTTGCCAATATCAAAACTACAGCTCAGCGAGATGGGAATCACTACATTGTGAATGGGGCGAAGAAATGGATTACCAATGGTATCTGGGCTGATTATTGCACTGCTGCTGTTAGGACTGGTGGTCCTGGCAGGTCTGGTATCAGCTTACTTGTTATTCCCTTGGCTATTGCCGGGGTGACTCGCAGGCGTATGCATAACTCGGGTGTTAATGCCAGTGGTGGGTGCTTCTTTTTCTATACGACCCTGTGAAGACATGGCAAATTAATATAAGTACAGGTTCAACCTTCATCGAGTTTGAAGATGTGAGCGTCCCTGTCGAAAACCTCCTCGGCCAAGAGAACAAGGGGTTTCCCCTTATCATGTCGAGTGAGTTGCCTTAAACCATGGACTTTAATCTGGTATTAATATTTTCTCCAGACTTCAACCCAGAGCGCCTTTCCCTCGCCTGTGCATCCTTGCGACTCGCCCGAGTCTGTGCCGAAGATGCCTACAACTACGCCGTCCAACGCGAGACATTCGGATCACCACTGATTGAAAAGCAGGCAATCCAGTCCAAGATCTTCAAATTTGGCCTCATGATCGAGCCGGCCTATGCGTTCATGGAACAGCTTGTGAATATCCTCGAACTTACCAAAAATCGTCCTTCCGACGACGTCAACATCGGTGGCATGACTGCCTTGCTTAAAGTCATGTCGACCAGGGCTCTGGAGAAGAGTGTTCGAGAAGCACAGCAAATTATGGGAGGTGCGGGCTACAACAAGGCCGGGAAAGGTGCTAGAATTGAGCAGATTAGTCGTGATGCTCGGGTTCATGTAGTCGGTGGCGGAAGTGAGGAGATTATGGCGGGATTGGCGCTGAGGGAGGAGACGAAGGCGATTCGCACTCGGCGAAAGGCGCTTCAGAAGAGACAGTCTAAAGTATGAAGATTGGGTACCTGTGGGGACGGAGGAACGGAGGAACTAGGATATAAGCGTATGTATGTATTGAATCAAGCAGTTCTAAGGAGAAATATAGCCCGGCAGCCTTCATGAATTAATGCAATGAATAGAGACAGAAATAGTTGGCTGCTTGTGCGGCTTTATGATGTCTTTTCAGTGGTATTTATTTAGCGATATTTTTAGATATTCCGTTTACATGTCTTTTTCTTTAAGACATTTTCTCCCCGTTCTTAGTTTTATAGGTAGGTATACCACAGGAATAGAGAGGCAAGAGGCTTGATTTATGAATACGACTGTCTGTGTATGACCTGGGATCAAGATAATGCTATAAGGATAGTATTAGGGTCCACTGGTATTGTCAAGAAACGCCAAAGAAGCCTAAACCACAAGCAGACATTCTCTCAATCCTATTGAACAGTATAAGGCTTTGCATTGATACCAAATATCAAATGAGGCCTCTCAGCGGCAATCTTAAGCACAGTCTGCGCAAAGACCGAGTTCGCCCATGCGAACCAAGGACGGGTATAGTCCTTGATGTTGGTAACATTGATAGATTCGTGAACAAGCCCAAGCAGGCTAGAGTTACGAACGAGGTTGAGGTTTCCAATTATCTCAGCGTCGTCGTCAGAGGTCATAGTCTGGACAAGTAGAGACATGGGCCAGGCGTTCTCAAGACCGATATGCGGACCACCGATGCCGTGGAACTCCGGACCCACTAGGTAGTACGGGTTGGAGGCTTTGTCGGTGATCATTTTGCGAGTATTCTGGTAGACGGGGTCTGATTTGTCCACGAAGCCGAGGTAGGGCAATGAGAGCAGTGAGGGGATGTTGGCATCGTCCATGAGAATACGTGATCCGTACCCGTCGACTTCGAATGCGTAGACATCTCCGTATCTGGGGTGTTGGACAATACCGTGATCGCGAACTGCCTTGGCCAGCTTGGTACCGCGTTCCTGTAGGTCTGCGACGAGATCTGCAGGCCCACCAGCTGCCTTGATGACTTTCGCTGTCTTTTGGAGTTGTACTGACATCATGGCGTTAGGTGGAATGAAGAAGCCGAGGATCGTAGCATCATCACTTGGCCGGAACGCGCTGCGAATCAGGCCAGTCTCGCTATTCAGCGGGTTGCCTACACCAGCTAGGTTGAGGGTCTCAGTGCCAATGGTAGTCTGTCGTTGGAACGTGTACTGATTTTTGACGAACTGGCCCTGAGTATTGAATGTGGGCTGAGACTCAGTATCAATGGTTTTCAGCACAGTTTGCAGCGCTTTGTACCATCGGTCGGTTAAGAACTCAGTTGAACCAGTATTCTCATGGAACTCAGTGCCTAGCAGTAGGAAATGGGCCAACGAGTCAAGTTCGTACTTGCACTCAAATACAAAAGACTCGTCATATGCAGGGTGCACAGTATCTTTTTGAGTGCTGGCTTCTGGCTTGATACCGCTCAAAGCCGGGGGCTGGAAAGCATTACAATAGGGCGACTGGATAACGAATTCGGACTGGGTGTTGATAGCACCTAGGATGAGCGAGTAAAGACTCTTGTCCTTAGCAGCCAGTGCCTGGTAGTTTGTGAGCTGGTTTGTTGAGTCGCGCAGCCACTCGGCGTTGATATCGCCCGTCACAACGAAGGTCTGTACGCCGGTCCATTGCGCGCCGTCCCGCCTGGCATTGGTGCTGGACGACGTTGATCCGTTTGTATGCCACCGGATTGTAGTGTCTAGGGTATTTGGAAATGCATTTCGGAATATCTGAGCCAGATCTTTATCCACTAGGCGCGATGTGATGTCGTCAATGACCCTCTCCACAGCAGGCGATGAGAATGTCCGGCAAGCTTCCGCAGGTCGCTGAAAGGGAAGGTTCAAGGGACCACCACTGTAGGGAGCGCTGTGATATTATATCCTTGCTTAGCAAATACTCGGTGCATCTCGATGGGTATAGACTCTTACTGCGGTGTTGATGCATAAGAGGTATAGTCTGGGCAGGCCCGTCGCAAGATGGCTGGGTTATCTCTTTCTGGGAGGGCGCCAGCCTGAAGGCCCAGCAGAGCGACTGCAAGCACAGCAGGAAGAGTCATGCCGCAAGTGTTACGTCGAAAGAGAGGGACAGACTTGCACTACTACAGGGAAGAAGGCCGGGGTAAATAAGAGGGGATGTATGTCGATCCCAACCGGACAGGGATACATTCCACAGCACGCATACAATTTCTCCGTATTCGCAAGTATTGAGTTACATATCCCTCTATAGGAACCTTGAGGTAATTATCCCGGAGGAATAGAAAGTACACGGCGAAATCGAGGTGACATCGGTCAAGACAAGATGACACTCTTCTCCACAAGTGCGGAGAAGATCAACATCGCGGGATTTCCTTTTTGGGCGAATATAAACAGGCGAACGATATAGGCTTTCAATGTTATTAGATATCTGTGCTTTTAAAAATTCATTGTAACACAGCAATACTACAGACACATCACTTCTTTCCAAAGAAAGACATGATATTACCCTGTCCCGCAGCTTTGCCAGCCTTCGGCTTGGGAACATTGACTGGCTTCTTCTTAGGCACCGGCTCATCCTCGGAGAATGACTCCCACGTCGCCTCTTCCCGAGTAACTGCATAAAATTAGTAAACGTCACCAAAAGAACGGGCCTCAGCGGGATGCACGGACCTAAGTATCCTTCTTCGTCCTTGACTGTCTTCTTCTTCATGACTTGTCGCTTGCCTCGCCGCCGCCCGCCTTGCACGGTCACTTCTTCTTTAAGTTCGGCGGGCTTGGATGGTGGCGGTTGCTCAACAGGCGTGGGCTCCCGTGGCTCCTCATCGGCATCGGGCATTTCTTCATCTGCATCCATGTCAGTTAGATCATTCTTGGAGATGCAACCTGGACGCCCGGGCATACCGTCAGCCTCGTCGTCATCATCATCCATCATCTTCTTGAGCTTTTCCTCGCGCTCTTTCCTGTTTTCGCGGTTTGCTGCGGCTGCTTTATCGGCACTATCAGGGAACAATTCTTCTGCCTCTTCTTCAGATGCATCATCAAGCATGACTAGAAGATGTTAGATAAAGAAGTCTCAAAGCCAAGTGGGGTTAACTAACCATCGTCTGCACTCGGTGCGGCCTGTAGTCAAATGGTGAACAAGGTCAGTAATGAGCAAAAAGGAATAGGGAAAAAAGCCCAGCACGAGTGATTGCACAAACCGGTTCTGCGAGAG